TTCTTTTAGATGTATTTCAAGACAATGTAAAGCGTTTTGCCTCATTCTGTCCCACGCTCCAGAATTTAACACTTAGCGTCGCGCGTAATAACGTGTTTCAGCGAGATGCAAGATATTCTCTTCTACTCTCGGCGCGCGGGCAGTTGAGCGACTTTTTAGCGTTGGCTCTTTAAAATAGCACAGGATTAACACGCATTTTACAACGCGAGTCGCGTTGAGAAAGTGTGAGATTCCGAGAGACTGCAACACACAACGCAGGGCCTAAGTGAAGCGCATATGAAACCGAGACTGCAGCGCGATGAGAAAGACTGACCCTTTCTTTCTCTCACTAATATTGAGAATAAAGCGACGCGAAAGGGACAGAAGCCAACCTGACGATCTATGATGCATCTCGCGAGTACCATTACCTTTCTTGGTATGTAGATTTTGACACTTGTTCGCGACGTCTGTTTTTTTTTCTCGTCGACAGTTTGAAACATTTTATTCGATGCTATCTTTTTTTTCGATTTCAATCTTATTCTTTGATTGCAATGTGATTAACCTTTTTACCAATCGAGATAAAGTTTCTTCTAACTCGTTTAGAAGATTTACTTCCACATTGAACTCATTCGCTATCATACAAGTATAGAGCATCCGATGGTACAATTTCGCTCGGTGATAATAGAATTTTATCAGTTTTTTCGAGAATATAAATACTTTTTGTAAGGCTGTTAAATATTGAGTTTTATGTGTGCAGAGTTTTAATAGGTTTAAGCTAACATTCTACGTCACAATTCTTATAAAGCTTGTAAATAATTCATTCCACAGAATTTCAAGTCAGTGCTCGGTAATCCGACACGCTATCCTTACCCCTATTACAAGACCAAGTTCACTGCCCTATCTTTATAGATACAAACGAAGCTGAAAATTAGTTTTGATAACGTGTAAAAACTTAGTCACTGCTGTTATCAATGGAAATAAATATTTTTCGCATACTGTACTTAATAATGAATTAAACTTTTTGCTACTGAAGACGATGAATTTAAAATTTAAACATTTTTAAATATTTCAATAATTTTTGTTTCACGTGTAATACTTACAGCAACAATGAAACAATACGTAAAAATTGTAGTGATTTTTCTGGAGTATAAATCTTGTGGAACAATTTCTAGTCCGATTTTCCTGTCTTTTTGTATAACTAACACAACGAGACTTTTTTTTTCAATGCGTGTATCGACCAAACTCTCAGCTGAATTATTAATACTAAGGTCAAGTGCTCAATTGTCAACGAGATCTGCATGTATGTAACGTGGAATGATTTTTAAGAAAGAAAGTTTGCGAGAAGGAGATCAGTGCGATTCGTTGTATGCATTTTTAAAGCGAACTGCAGTGCACCTGTACGCGACATGCTAGAGCATCAGTAGACGTGGTTAATGAACCTTAGTTTTTAGAAATCTCTCGTCACATGTTGCATCGATCCGCTTTGATATAATGCAAAATTTTAAATTAACTAGCTTATTGAGACTAATATTAATAATAATAATAATTTTTTGAATGTATTTATAAATAAATACAGAAAAATAAATGAAAAAACTCGAATTTATGATAATAATGTATCTAAACTTGTGGTTATCATGAAAAAAATCGATCTTGAAACTAAACCCAAGAAAGTTCAATCCCACTTGTATTCTCGAAATAAGATACATGAGCGGTTACGCATGGTTTTATAGGCTAACAGGTGTTTTATATAAATTTGTAAGTTCATGATGTATCTTATTAGATAGATATTGCGAAAGAAACTTTAATTGTAAAGTAAATAACTTCTGCAAAATATTAGTACGTCTTTAATCTATGAGTCGGATGTTAGTATAAAAAATACCTTCGCATTTTTTTATCATAGTACTCAGACCTTATTGTTATCGCTGGAACTCGAAGCATCTATGCACAAACCGTAGCAGTCACTGCGAAAGTTTTGTAAATTTTAATCCCGAAAGATACTTGAAAAAAAATGGAAATCATCAATGATGTATCAAACGCGCTGTCTGTATACCTATACATACAGCGCAGCCGGCAACGCGCAGCATCTGCGCGCGACCTCTCAAACGCACCTGTGTATACAAATTGTGTACACGCATGTTCCTCATCGAATGCTATATGCTCGGCGCAAAGTATTATCTCCTCGCGCTCTCGCGTGCTCTCTTCTCTTTCTGCTCGTACCTGTATATAGGCATCGTCATCAGCGACACACATATGAGTTTTGCTCTTTACTTTATCCGAGTCAGAGCACGAATATATATATATCTGATAATGCCGTCTAATCTCGCTGTTCGGCATCACAATCGTCATCATCGAGCTTGTGAAACTGGGCGTACTTTGCTCATAAAAATATTCTCGGTTACGATCGATTTAGGTCACCTGTAAAATTCGAAATGTCAATTATCGGGAGTTTTTTCTTGATACCTCGAGGTGATAGTTAGCAAGACAAGCAGAATCGAGTTAAAATATAAAAAAAATTTTGCTGCACAATGTAAATTATTGTATGAAAATTCACCATTATCTAGTTACAATTTTTGCCCAAAATCTTGTCATCCGAATTCATAAAATTATATCATTAATAAATTCGTTTATAATAAAGATGTATTAAAATTGGCTCGGCACATAAAAGACAATTGAATATTTTCAACACAAGGTCTCAAGTTTTTTTTATATTCATACTTAGCTATAATGCACCTGCAGACGACACATTATTTTAAAGAGAGAGAAAGAGAGAGAGAGAGAAATTTCGCAGTGTAATCATTTGCTATACGTGTTATAAGTAAAAGTTGGGAGCAGGCAAGAAGTGATGCGTGTGCCATCCGTTGGCACAACGTTTTTGTTGCTATTGTTGCTGCTGATGTGTGCGCACCATGAGCGAAAAATGAGATATTCCTTCTCGGCTGTTTCGACATCCGTTTTTGGTTTTTTTATCATTATTTCTTTCTGTGCATGCGCATGCACATACCTCGAATACGACGAGCGAAATAATTCTTTCGCTGAATATAAGTATTTATTGAAGCGGATGATTTATTTATCTATGCATTATCAATTTGTTATAGTTAGGGACACTTATTATTCGCAAAACTTTTCAACAAATTATTTTTCTATAAATTTTTATAAAAATTGTTAATATTTGTTTATGTCTTTGGTCAAAGTACCAATAGAAAATAGTACAAAAAGAAATACAATTGATAACAATAAATTATGAACGAGAAGTAAAATAAATAATGTAAATGTTTATAATAATTTTCATTGTCGGGTAGTAAATAAGTCCGTGAATAATAAGGAATTTAACGAAAATTTCAACGACACATTTAGCAGGTTCCAGCCGGCAGTGGCAATGTGGCTGGGGCTCTCGTGAAGTTCTTTTGTTCATCATCATACCGCTGAATGAGAGGAAGCAGGTGTCTGCAAAGATGCAGGTTGCACTTGTTGTACATGATACTCTTATATACAAGCGTAAGACTTGATTCCCGGTAACGTAATTATTATAGCTTTTATCAATACAGATGAAATCTATACAATTCTCTATTATGAACATTTTCCGAAGAATTATCAACTGAATTTCATCTAGTACAATCATCTTCTAAAATAATGTATAAAAAAGTGCGAGTTAAGCGGAATCCCTGCAAGTTGTCAGTCGTCTGCAAAAAGATCGATATTATACACATTCTAACTTCCATCCGGATGCTGAGATTTGGCTATTACACGCATGCCCGTAGCCGTATATATAACTTATAAGCAACATTTACAAGGCTTCTATAAGAGGACAGTGACCAGTGTCAGTGCTAAAGAAGACAAGGAAATACAGAGATGGAACATATGTTGCTACAGTTGGCGCTTTTGTACGAAAAAAATATTCTGTGTACGATTAATACGAGGGTAAGAGTGAAAGGACCTTTCGGAAAAAGATGCTATGTTGTATAAATAATTGAGGCATTTTCTAATACAATTATCAAGTGTGAACGATGATTAGGATGAGTTGTAAATATTATCAAATTAGTCAGCTTGAAAAAATCGAATTTTAATATATAAGGTCAATGTCCCGAATTTCGCTCATGTCCCGATTTTCGCTCAGTTTGTACAAAAATATATAATAATAATTTAATTGCTAAATAAAATGAAATAAAAAAAATATTTTTGCATTCTCTAAGTAATTTGGATTGAAGTATGACAAACTAAATACAAAAACTGAAACTAATTTTGAAGAAAAAAAATAAGTTTTAAAGCGATGTCTGCGTCATGAGTGACATTTTCCGACATCTTAGCATTTGGGCTAAGATATTGCAATTTCAATTTTTATAATAAATCATGTTTAAAGATAATGATCTACTTCGGGAATGTTTTTTTTAATAGTATAATACCTTAGTATTCGATTGTTAAAAATTAATCATCGAAAATTTAAGTTGTTTTATAGTAATGTAGGTGAGCGAAATTCGGTACATGAGATCTATGCTCTGCTGATATTTTCGCTCGCTCCAATCCGTCGCAAACATAACCGCTTGTCCCTAGTGCGACGATACATCGCAGCACGGCTCATGCCGCATGGGTATTTACAGAACTTCGTTTCAATATTATTATAGCAGTTAGAGACACGAAAGTTATTAAATTGATAATTACATTGGTAATTACAATTAATAAAGTATAACAAAAGGAAATATTTCTTCAGAAGTTGCACAATCGTAAGTTTATTTACATATGCTTGGTCTACATAACCTAATTGATATATGTCTAAAATATATTTTATTGAAATGTTTACAGAGTCAAAAAATGGGTAAAAAACGCAAAATAACATCAAGTGACTCTTCAGCAAAAAAGATGAGAGAAAGTTATAGGAATTATAAACAAGAGCAGCTGGCTAATGCACTGACCGCTGTAAAGAAAGGTGTGGGCTTGAGAGCTGCAAGTGTTGCTTATGAGGTACCTTATTCTACGCTGAAAGACAAAAGAGATGGAAAAAGTCAAATTGGAGCNATGATGATGAAGCTATTGAAAACCTGAATGATGACACTGTTTCTCAACCTCCTGTTATTGAATTTAACAAGTTGGAGTTTGTGGAAACGTTAATTGACAAGAATGTTATAACCATGTTTAAACATGCTAAGCAGCGAGATGGTAATTGGTACGGGGAGGAAAAGTACGCTGAATTATTTACTTTCTGGAAACGTTGTGCAGATTCAAAAAGCACCCAGGAAAATAATTCTCATTGTGATGAAGCAGCTCTTCCTTCTGTCAACATCAATGAAAACTATTCCCTTGAGACTTCAAATATCGTGGTAAAAACATTATTAAATTTTTAAAACTAATATATACACCATTTTCTAAAGATAGTTATTATTTACAGTTTAATTTCAATCTTTAGGTCATTTTTAGATGAACAGAGATGTGATGAATTTTATTTTTTATTTTTTTTTTAGTGCAAACAAATTGTTGTTATTGTAATTATAACATTTTTACAAAAAGTGATTAGTGGACACACCAAATAATGTTTCACTCCAGTTAATTTGATAACGTTTTGGACATTTATCTTTAAATTATAGGTCGAGAAAGAAAAAATAGAAGATGAAAATATATTTGTTCGTGAATCGGTAATAAATGAATTTGTAGCTCAAGATGTGGAATTGGTTATAGAATCTGACATAAATTTAAGTGAAATAACCGTCGATGACATGGTAATTGTAGAAGATTCTCCTGAATCAAGTAATCAAGCTCTCTCTAATTGTTTAAGCAATAAAGATACAAATTGTAAAGTTTTAAAGGAAATTGAGCTTAATTCTAATCCATCAACAACTATTAAAAATGAAGGTAATAACTATTTCTTTACTTATATTATTTTATATTTAACATTGTAAATAATGTTTATTTTTTTTTAAATTACAGATGTGAAAAAGCCAGAAGCTCAACACGTTTCCAAAATTTTCAAAGATATTTTATTTTACCCAAAAAAAGAACCAGCTAAACCAGGAAAAAGACAACCAAAAGAAAAAGTTCCAGCAGTTGCAACTGGTGATATATGGAGAAAGTGGAAAAAAGAAAAAGAAGACCAAAAAGATTTAGCTGAAAAAATAAAAAAAGAGAGAAAAATTTTAAGAGAAGCTCGAACTAAGATAAAGCAAGAAAAAGATAAAGAAATAGCAGAAAAGAAAAAGGAGATACAATTAGAAAAAGAGAAGCTGAAAAAACTTGAAGAAGAATCTAAAATGCTGAGAAATAAAAAAATTGAAATAAAGGAAGAGAAATTAGCATTAGTACAAGAAGAAGTTAAAACATTGAAAGATGTTAAAAAATCGAAAGCTGCTACTAAACCAAAACCCAAATCAAAAGCCAAACCTACAGCAAAATCAAAGTCAATACCCAAAAGGAAAAAAGAAAATAAAGAAAACTAAGCTAAAAATAAATTATACTTTTCAATACTAATTTAATTTAGAAGAATGTTATCTAACATTTAAAATACTTTTTATTCTTGTATTCTTAAATATGTAAAACAATATATAAGTTTTCCTACTCTAAATTGCAATTTTATTTACATAACCCTGTCTTGAATAATGGAGCAAAGTCGCTGAGCGAAAATACGGACAGACGTGAGCGAATTTCGGGTCAGTCACGTTGTGCGTGAGCGAAAATAGGTACTGTAAAGGAGCCAGCTTTATTTATATTTTTTCAACTCAAAACCTTCGAAAATAATTTTTCACACGTATCAGTATCATAGCTGGACATGTAAACTATCATTTAAATACACTTATTTTGCCGAAAATTCGTTTAATCTTTTTATATACGCTAATTTCGCTGTTAAACGCCCTTAGCTGAGCGAAAATCGGGACGTTGACCTTAATTGAGGTTCATTTGGTTACTTACTAGAACATTTCCTAATAAAATCAATAATTCAACGAATTCAATATTTCATCATAATTTACACTTTCGTATTATCCCTGATTGCACCTATAAGCAACGATACTGACATAGTGAGGTTGTATGTATTTAGGAAAAAAACTGATTATAAATGTAATAAATTAACGAGTATATTTATAATAATTGAACCAATCAATAGTTAATGAGTTAGTTAGTGTCCAGCTTATTTTTGATCATTTTTAATCTTTTTAATTGGTTTGAAAGTATCTTATTAGTTTTTTTACTTTAGTTTATTAATCAAATATAAATTTTATTGTAAAATATTCTATGCAATTTGTGTTTTTAAATCATGACAGCACTTGTCTTGCTTTGTGTTAAAATCCCTCGTTTTGTGAAAAAAGGCTTATCCGCACTAGTTGGGTAAAGCACTACTACACAACAAGTGTTGTAATGGGAATTCATCCAGAAAAAATTTTTCTTACAATTTTAAATTTATTGTAGCATGAAATAAAACTCAATCAAGAGTAATAGTATCAGCGGATAATTTTAAATACTCCGTGACATAATCACTTCGTCCATGCTCAACTCTAACAATTTTCAGGTTTTTTTTATCAGTTTTCTACCATTGCTTTTGGTGATTCACTTTTCTTTTCAAAGATTCTAGCCAAAATCAAGAGATAATTGGATTGTTTTTTTCCGTAGTTCTTCTTTACAAAAAAACTCTGACTCGGGAAAAGCAGAGCATAAACGAGAGTTACAGTATGATATTTTCAGGTTGACCAAGTATCTCTCCTTGGCGAATTATTCCCAGTACAGTAAATAGCCGAGTAAAAAGATTTGGAGCGACCTACGCACATATGATTTTTTATGATATACTCTTTTCCGTCTAAGTGAGCTGTACTAGTCAAGTAATTACAATATTTACATCATCGCACAACGAGAAAAATGTGAATGTTGATTACTATCGACTACTTATAAAAAAATTGACCATATTTTATTCATATTTACATAGATGCTGTTTGAACTCAATATGTATAAAATTATTTGATAGGGCGTTCAGGAAAAACCTCATCTTAAATTTAAATAGCTAGGAAATACTTTTTAAGAAAATCTTTTTTTGAAAAAATCAGTAGGAATTTTACTTTAAAAAACGTTTATTTTAGGTAAATTAATGCATAATTTAATTTCTGATAGGAATGTAAATTAGGAAAAATGAACTCCTGTATTATAGGATTCCTCTTTAGGTTCCTGTAGGCTCCATTTAAATACTAAATCGTATATGGAGGGGAGAAAACTGCCGTGATGACCACGGGCACTCTGACACCTCCGTAAGATTAACATGGGAAGAGGTGGCGCCCTCATTCGCGCCCCCAGTCTACATGCACGCCACTGACAGTTTTATTTATAAAGCTGCAATAATGATAAGACTGCATCGTATGAAAAAAATCTTAAACAAACAACTGTATCGACGTAAGGATTAAAAAAAAATTAGTTAAGTAATATGTTTGAATTTTCAATCAATCTTTGTTTTTGAACTTTTTTGAGGTATTATTCATCCCTTATGAAATAATAACATGCAAAATTAGTCTTAAACTAGAATAATTTGGTCGAAAAAAAATCTCTTTTCCGAATATTAATTAAAAATGTTTTAATAAAAATCCTAATTTTATCGATTCATATTAGTGTGAACTCATGACTTTCATTTCAAAATAATGTGCAGTTGTCTGTATAGCTCAGCGCATAGCTGAGTTATACGCTGCACGTGTGTATGTACAAGCTGCTACAAAACCATTTGTTAATGTACAAAATGTAATTTATGAACAATTTTTAATCTTTAAGCCAAATTATGATTTCTGTATTTTTCAAAGCAAGAACTACCTCGTAAATCGATTAGAAATATAAATAGTTTTTTTTCTAATAAATACAATACTACAATATTGAGTTCGCGCTTGCGCGAACTAGAGTTGAATTTCCGCTATTGTATGTAACACAAAAGCTACTGACGCTTAACTTGTAATAAAGATTTGAAGCTACACACTCACAGCTATACTTGATTCTCAAAATTACCGAGAGAAATCGTTCCTCGAATCTGAAGTCTTTGATCAATGTTACAGTGTCATCGATTGATAAGACTATTGCTGATGCTGATACATTTATGTCGTTAAATTGCTATTAACCACATACTTCTTGAAATTAACAGATTAATTTTCTCGGATTCTCTTTTCTTATTGATAAATGTCATTGAAAAACTGGATGTAACTGAATGAGCGAAAAAATTTCATCTTTGAAGATAAATCTATTCGAATTTCGTCCACCTTAAGATAATAGCTAATGTGGGCTTATATTATAAGTGATGTTTATTCTCATATGCGTCACTTTCGTAATTAAAGATTTTTATCACACGATGTTGTAATTACAGTCTTTATCGGCTCATGTCTGTAAGTTTCATAGAACAAAAAAAGTAAAAATTTTACAATAATACGAGTAGTTTTTTAAAATTGTTTTTCGTTACTTTTAAATCAGTTGCATCGTGTTTCAAAAAACTAGCATCGTTAAATTAATATTTTTCAACGACATTTACAGCAAGTTTTCAAAGATAAGATGTGTCGATATACAAGCTTCTGGTGTAAGCTATAAAATCATCTAGGATATATAGATATTTAATATGCACTTGATTCACGCATGTATTTATATCCATATGTTTATTACACAGGAAGATAACAAAAGGATTTATCATATAAAAACAATAAATTCTGATATAGAATGATAGTTTGGAGCAGAAAATGAGGTTGTGGAGCATTAGTCATCAAGTCCTTTCAAAATTGAAAACAAATGTATCACTAAAACAGTATTTTCGGTTAAAAGATAGTCAATTCTAATTCTGCAGAAAAAAAGTAGAATATAAAACGGTGGACATTTAAATAAATACTTCTACACTTTTATCTTGGTTAAGTTATTATATTTTACGTAAAAATAAAAGTATTATAGATATCTGAAAGTAGGCGTAATGTTTGTATGAGAATAGTTCATCGCTAGAGCTAATTAGAACTGGTGAGCTGCAGACTACCGTATGGAGGGGATGACCACCTCTTTACTCGGAATCGAGAATGGGGGGATACATACAGTAAATTTGCAGCCAAAGAACGAGAAGGAAAGACAGATGAGAGAGAGAGAGAGAGAGAGAGACGCGCGTAAGAGCGCGCCTCCCTCGCCTGTACAGAACGCACACACAGCAAAGAGACGAAAAGTAAATAGGTAGGGGGAAACAGGTAGAGTGCTCCGTCAACCGGGCGGTCTCTGCTGCTTCTCTCGGGTGAGATCATTTCCTTTCTATTTGTCGGTCTGAGCGCATCGCGGTTGCTGCCGCCGCGCGCGTTGCTCCTCTCTGTCTCTCTCTCTCGGTTCACAGTGTGTAGCTGCGAAAGAAAAAAAGAAATAAATAAATTTCAACTGGTGCGAAACACTCGTAATGTGATATATATATTAAAGTAGTGAGAGTGCAGGTGTTTATACATATACAAGGTGTGCATTGAAAGGTGATTGACTACTGCAAACGGTGATATTGTCTAATATAAGTGCACAAGCTCGATATCTATACGTGTACGTATATAGATATACCTGGATGTATACCTGTATACGTCGTTAAGGCTGTATAAATACAATGACAGATAACTAGCAAAACTCTTCTGCCACGAGATAATGCTTTTGAGGTTCGTACTCTCGTTATTTCTTCTTCTGCAAATTTTCCATCTTTCACGAATTTCAAACTGAACATCTAAAAAGTGTATTGTTATACAACTCAATTGCATTGCTCAAAGACCAATGTTATTTATTTATAGATATCACTGTTGTTGATTAGTCGTTATTATCATATTCTTATTATTATTGTGGTCTGCGTAATCTAACTTGGTCAATCTAAAGTATTATTAATATTATTGTTTAATTCAGAATGAAAATGGATGAATTATGCAATATTTCGCTTCAAAGTAATTTCTTTTTAGTTGTGTTTTTGATATATCTTCTAAACTGTTTTTAATGTTCAAAGAGTCAACGTCACGCCAACTCACAGCATGTTCGAAAGCTCCATGTTTAAATGAATTTTCGATATTTACGTAGAATAATCAGTCATCACTGAAGATGACTGTCAGTTGAAATTAGATAAGATTGAGCCATACAATATTTAAGAATACATTTCATGAATTGGGTTCTGTGAAATCATTTTTTTTTCAATATTATCTGCGCAGATTACCTGCTAGTGCTTTCCACCTGTATTATTTTCAAAATATCACTAGACTAAATGGAGCATTCTGTAGATATGTATCTATTCAATTTGGCCTAGTAAAATGAGCACAAGCTCGATCGAAACCCAATGTCATAAATGTATGAGTTTGTTTATTAATTTTTCTACGAAACTGTAAAAGTTTATAATTTTTATGTATTACAATTAATTCGCAAAAATATTGCACCAACAGAAACTATACTGATTAATTCATCTACATACTTCCAACGAATGAAAAACAGTTTCTTACAGGACACGATTGTTTATAATATGCATGCATTTTATTTTTCCATTCGCCATTGCAATATAAAATAGTTATAGTCGAGTCACAGCATCGAAGGGAAAAAAGAAATTCGATAAAATGTGCGCACACGCTCACGGACTAGTGCAATAAAAGATCCTGTTATAAATTTGCTTGTGGTTCTTCATGCTTAAAAAGTGGCATCCGTTTATGTGGTACTTTTAAGGCAGGGCAGGTTGCAATCAGACGTGACATCAAACGACACGTGCCTGATTCTGGACGTAGCGCGCACCACTCCCGTTTTGTGTGACACTTGTTCTCGTACGCTGATGTTTTTAAAACTAGGCTGCTGCCTGCCTCTGATGCATAATTTTAAAAGGATGTCAAGTTTTGAGAAAAGTCGCGTAGCCAGTCGAAATGTGCTCACCGCCTGGTTATACCAGCTCCGAAGTACTTGCAGTATCCTGTGTCCACCGTTTGCGGGGTCGACCCGGGAATATCACTTGGGAACTGGTTAAGCCGGCTATCGCTATTACAACTCATCACTGTAACAGCTCTGCGCAAAATTAGGAGCCAAATTAAGTTGTCCTTCATTTTAATTATTTTATAACGTGTGATGTTCAGCAAACGTTTTGATATATTCATTTTATTGAGAACAAAATTTCCAATACGTCTATTGATTGGCCAGCTATATAGGGACACTGTATAATGGAAAATGCTCACAATCTATTTGAAAGTATTTCTTGAAGTCACTTAAGATCTCATTAGATATATTATATCAGTATTTTCAAGTATGCATCTCTCAAGCCTTATGCTTGTTTTCAACTGTCCTGTACATAATTAGCAAAAGGATACATCCAGAATCACGATTTTTAAGGACAGATTGAACAAAGTGATGTGGGAAAAAACATAAATAACTTTTGGTTGGTTTAAAAAATGTTGCCACGGAAACAGGGTACAAAATAGTTACGCTTATTTTGACTGCCTTCATTTTTTCCATTTGATTTGATATTCATAGTTTTAAGGTCGTTCTGAAGCCAATGAAAAAATGAAGCTTTTTTAACTAGTTTTTTGAGACTTAGCTTTTGTCTTACTATTTTTAAGAACACCATAGTTTTGTTTAGAAAAGTATTCAGTAAAAGTATCTGTAAAATGATTTTGGAAGTGCTCATTTTTACCCTGGCTTTGGCGTCGCCTTGAATACTCTTGATTCAATATTCAATATGGAGACCTTGGTTGTGTTGTTCTTGCGGTCTCCATAGAGACTTTTAGAAAATCATTCTGTACAGAATACTCGTTTGAAATTGTTTATAACTTCGTAGGTTTTAAAATTCGTCAAGCAAAGCTATTCTTTCCAATCATGTATTGTTATTCTTTTTCTTAATCAATCTAATGATTGAACTTGCAATAACGAGTACACATTGAATCGTGATTGTTCTGATACAAATTGCCACGGGGAACACCCAGTAGAAAAGAAATTCACTCTTCGAGTGATATTATTTCCCGCAAGAATTAATTATTTTTGATATTAGTTTCGTATTTTCTTTCATAAAATAATAAAAGCGTTTCTGTATTCTTTTATTTAAATACATTCATTCATGAACTTTATAAGTATAATTTATAATACATGATGTACACGTAGATACGTATGCATCTAGACTTTTTAGCCTCTTTTTGCTAATTTTAGGTTTACCGTGTACATCATATACAAGTTTTGCGCATGGCTTAGTGTGCATGTAATAATATTGCACATGGTAAAAAGAGCAAAGAAAAAAAGGTCTGGTACTATAGAGAGGTATATATGCGAGTCGCGCGGGCGACGTGGCGTTGCCATTGGTAACAATGCACCCATACAATTACAAAGCTGTACCTTGACTCTTGAACGTTTTTACCTATAGCTCGAGTGAACTTTACTGCGCTGCACTGAGAGTTTATTTATTATAAATTAAGCATCTTATTGTGTTGGTACATAGAGTCGAAAAATTTATTTATAATATATAAAAGCTTTTGAATGAAAATAACTATTCGTAAAATCTGTCCTGAATTATTAATGGCTAAAATCGATAATGAGATACTTTTTACCATTTGGCAAGAACTTTGTATAAATATTATTTCAAGAAGCCGAAGAATAAAATAAGATGGTCTAAAAAGTTGTATTGTTGATCTAAATTCCGTTTATTGTGAAAATATCGAGAGCAGGAATCTTTCGAAAGTCCGGCGATGCTATTGATCGCTACTCGACAGATAAAAAAGGCATTTATTTATATTCATTACCGAATCACTTGTCACTCGTGCGAGTGAATTATCAATTTTTCTATGCTGACTAATGGTTGATAAGATGAGGTGAGGCGAGCATTAGGGAGAGCTCGGACGCAGCAGCGCAGCGAGAGAGGAAACTTAAACTTGACGTCTTGGCGCGTGCGCGCGGAGACTTACGGCGAAGCTGGGGGCGTTTGCTACTCGCAGGCTCCGCCACATCTTCGGAGCGAGCGGAGAAAGGCCAACCAATAGCCGCTTTTAGGTTACGCCCCCATATTCAACATCACTCTCTTTTGTCCAGCATCCCGCCCCGAAAAATATCAAGCTCTATTATCCCTTCTACGCTTCTGCTTTTCTACCTGTGTGTCTTTTTCTTTTACTTGTCCTCCTATTAATTTGTTAATTTTTTTTCACATTTAATACCGTTTGGTGTCAAGTTCTTGTGGAAATTGATACGTAAATCAAAAGTAAAAGTAACCTTCGTATTTACTTCTCCGATATTAATATTATACCGACTTTTTTGCGATTGTAGTGTATGAAATTATCATTCTATCTATTAAAAAATACTCGAGTATAAGAATAAGAGAATATTTATTTACATTTATTACTGAAGCTTTATCTGCAAAGCTCTAAAAAGCACATTTCATCTGCTTTGACTTCGCAGAAAATCATTACGAATAATTCTAATTTACAATGAACTTTCAACTTGTTTCTTTTCCATGCAAAGTCTTATTTTGACCAGTGTAAGAATCAATTTTTGTTTTCTGCAAATGTTAAGAATTAAAAGGATATTGGGGCTATTTAAATTATACTGAATGATCTTAATTACCAGGCTTGAGTTAGAAACAAATTTTAAAAATTGCACATTGTTATAGAGCAATCGTTAAATAATTCGTTATATTTATATTAGTATTCATATACTACTGTTCGAGATAACAATTTTTTAAGCCACTAAAAGATGAATTGTTCAATGGACTTATGAAAATTAAAAAGAGTTTATAAATTTACTGTAATACAACTTTTTATGTCTTTTGGTTTCAGTATTAGAAAAAAAAACATTTAAAACGCATCGCCTAGTTTTTGTTTACTTCTTGAAAACAACAATTGTTACAATCTTAAATTCGGGCGATGCTTCAGATCGATTGGTATATCACTCGAGTATAATTATGTTTTGACAAAATAGTTTTCCTTAAAGGTTACGACATTCGAACAAATTTGAGGATAAAATGTAACACGCCAATTACACAAAAGTATTACGTACAAACAAGTGCGTTTCATAGAAATTTTCCAACAATGAAAAGTGCATTGGGCCGGTAAAGCAAATCCCACCCGAAACCGTAACACGCAAACTAACAATTTAAGATAAAGAAATTGAGGTTCTTTTTTCTTTTAGATTCTCCAAGCGATTATAAATCTATTTACTAATTTAATTTCACTTGAAAATCACGTACGCGCGATGAACGAAATTGTAAGTGTGACACTTTATCTTATAAGAAACTTCGCGATCGCATTGATGAAGGTGCCAAACATCTATCATACGTTCGAGCAATATACGGATTTCATCATAAAAGATTAAGTGATGAGGTTTTAAAAAAAAAATACAGTCATCACGTAGAAAAATGTCTTATTATATTTTTTTTATCGGTCATTTTTCCTCTTGTTATATTTTTTGTGTCTCGATTGATGTATCATAAAAACAATTCAAAGTAACACAAGCATGCACGCGCAGTAATATACTTCTCGAGTTTATCAAACGATTTTTCTCATTAAATTACTCGCACGAGTTATTTACGCGGCGGATTTACATGCATACTTCAGTGTCGATCTTTCGAAATTTAATCTTTCTTTTTTTACTTTAAACAAACGAAGATGTTCACGTGTCGAGGAGATTCTCGGCGCGAAGATTCTCGCGCCTCTTCGAAATAACGTCGCGAGCTCGAGATTATTGCTGAGAAAATGTCCACTTTCAGCGTGCCTCAGTTTTATTATCGGTTCTCGCTTAGTGAGAATCAGTAAAGAATGTATTGATATCCGCTTGAATCACCATCCGATCAATACTAACGCGAGAGAGCCTTTTCATTGTTTCTAGCGATCGATAACAGAACATTTAAGCTTTTATCGCAATTGTACCTGGTTTCTACGAACACTTAATATGTATAATATAACTATATTTCTCGCTCGAGAATCACATATGTTGTACACATCTTTTGTGGGTCTGAATCAACTCGTTGCATGCGTGTGTTACAAAGATAGGTAAAATACGAAATGAGAAGATCAGTCGTTGAACATCCGGTAGACTGCGGATACTGCTTTAAAATTTTTAAAGCACAAGTTAAATCTTTGAGTAACCGTGAACTATTATTGTTTATTTCTCTACTTCTAATGGTTCGTTTGATCAATCAATTAAATATTCAATTGAAAAGCCTCGCAACGAAATAAGTATTAAATTTATTTATTCTTCTTTTTGTTACAGTGACTGCTGAGATCACAACTGATCAATGGTACGACGTGAGTTCTTGCAGTGATAGTCGAACGGATGTTGCATCATCGTCATCAGTAAGTGTTGCTGTGTGTAGCTATATACCGAATGCGTCATTCGCCTTGAAAATCTGCTCACGCACAGAGATCGTCGCAATAAATTTTCCTTCCTCAATACCGAACCATCCTCTCAATCTTCAAGATAAGGCCTCTCATATGCACACGTCATTTTTGTCTCGTCGCTGAAAAAGATAAGATAAACACCTTGACGATCGTATCGAACTCGAACAAGAAACTCTTTAGAGGAGATCTAGCCTATACAAATTAAAAATATTTTTACATCCCGATGTTACATTGAAAACAGCTTCGCGAAACGAGCGCGACAACTTCAATGCTGCCTCGTTCGTCCTTTTCATAATTTAATGTCATTATGTACCAACTTATTACACGATCTGGCACAATATATTAGAAATTTTTTAGAATCGTTGTGCGCGCCTATTTCTCCTCGAGTATTTATGTATTGTTCGGTAAACAAGAACAATAGCCTTAAAAATTTACCATACCATTGTTATTATCTCATCAGTTCACAGTAAATATAGCAGACTGCTGCAACGCGCTCAACGCGACAGCACCTGTACGATGCATCGATGAAAAAATTATGTTTCACATTTTATACTCTCGTTATCTCTGTCATTGATTTGTGGGTTCTTGTTCGCGTTACCACGTGTTTCAATTTCAAATTTTTGAGAAAAAAAGTGATAGCTCGATGAAATTGAGGATTTTGTGAAACAATTTTTAAAGAGATTGTTTTTGGTGAAGTTCGATGGATTTGTCTGGTTGTTAAAAAATATCTTTAAAAACAACCAATATATGTCCATAAAAGTATTTTATCATTATCATCGCGTTAGAAAAATAAGAATAGATCGATCGAAGCCTTGGAAATTAACAAAGGCACAATTTTGCAATTGCAGTACAATTATTTCAAGTGCGAGGTCGAGCTGCACTCGTTCCCGTGCGACGCCGCGACGGATTTGGACGGGAAGCGAAGTGAAGCTTATCTAGCCAGCCCTGGCGGGCTGGCCGAGCCGCCAGAACAGCAGCAGTTGCAGCAGCAAGAAGAGCAACGAGAACGATTGAAGGACCTGCTGCGGAGCATCCAGCAGCATCCTCGCGACAGCTACCTCGAGGAGAGCCAAGCCGAAGTGATCAGCTGGTACGGCAGGATGGCGTTCACGGCGAGCAACGGCCTGAGCGAGCGTCTGCGCGCCGAGCACCACTCGGTCTCGCCGACGTCGCAGCACAGCTGCACCGACTCGGACGGGGGCGGCAGCAGCGACAGCGAGCCACAGAGGCCGGCGCACAAGCGACGCATCGTCCACGACGAGTACAACAACAACGAGGTGACCAAGCGCCAGTGCATCGAGACCGACCGCAACGATCCTCGCTCGCTGCTGCTCGCCGATAAAAAGAGTCAGGAGGAGGAGCAGCAGCAGCAGAGCAGCCAACAGCCTCGATCGGCCAAGCAGCAGCATCAATCGGACTCGGGTCCGCACACGTGCGACATCTGCGGCCAGCAGGACTTTCCCACCTACAAACTGCTCGACGCGCATCTCGAGCAGAGTCATCCGGACGATCCGATCAGTTGCCCGGAGTGCGATGTCGCCTTCAAGAACTATCGCACCTACAGCGTACACAGGTACATGTCGCACTCGAGCTCCACAACGACGACGACGCCGACGCCGACGACGAGGCAGAGCAGCGCCGAGTACAATCACAACAGCGTCGTGGGCTTCTCCGACCTGACCTACGTGGACTTTACGAGCGACAAGTTCCCGTCGATAGCGCGGGCCGCCTGCGAGCGAGCCCGACACAGGCCGTCCTCGAGCGACGAGGCCCACCTCAGCTTCCAGTGCGACAAGTGCCAGCGCGCCTTCCCCTGCCGCTCGGCCGTCGAGGCGCACGAGTTCGACTGCGGCCGGAGATCGCCGCCCTTCGAGCCCGAGCACTCGCGGCGCAACGACTTCTTCGCCGGCCTCGATCTGCAGAACAAGTCGTCGTCGAGCGAGGTCAAGGACAGTCGCGATCTCGCCGACATACAGAGCATCATCTCGGTGACCTCGGGCCCGATTCTCCAGGGTTTCGGCGCCGGTCACCACGGCGAGTTCGATCACGGCCGGCGACGCTCGGCTCACCTGCCCACCGAGATGATGTCGATGAGCTCGGAGCAGCAGCAGCAGCTGCAGGATCAGCACCCCCAGGAGGAGGAGGCGCAGGACGCGTTCGCCGCCGAGTTCCGGCGCATGAAGCTCAAGGGCGAGTTTCCCTGTCGGCTCTGCAGCGCCGTCTTTCCGAATCTGCGCGCCCTCAAGGGCCACAATCGGCAGCACATGAACGTGTCGGCCGGCCAGTCCTATCCGTGCAACATGTGCTCGTACAGCCACCCGGACAAGGCCACGGTGATCAGGCATCTGCGCTCGCACAACGGCGACCGGCCCTACGAGTGCTCGCTCTGCAACTACGCCTTCACCACAAAGGCCAACTGCGAGCGGCACGTGCGCAACCGGCACGGCAAGGTGACCCGCGACGAGATCAAGCGGGCCCTCATCTACCATCCGAACGAGGACGCGACCAACGACAGCAGCCTCGAGCAGAGCTCGCCCCGCAGCGGCTCGCTGCGCGCCGACGACGTGCGCAAGTCTCACATCTACCTACCCGGCGCGGAGAAGCGGCCGGAGATCCACGCCGACAACATCCTCTCCTCGCTCAGAGTCAAGGACGTGGAGGCTGTGGTGAAGGCTCAACGAGCCGTCGACGAGTTCGAGGAGCCGCTGCGCAAGCGACACTCGGACGAGGCAGACTCCCATTCCTCGGACGGCGACGCCGCGGTCGTTCGTTCGGCGGCCAGTCAGGAGGCGCTGATGGATCGCAAGAAAGACAGTCCCATTCATCGCTACTCGAGACTCGACGAGATTCCCTTGGATCTGTCGATGGACGTGCTGGACCTCAGCAAAAAGGCAAAGGCCGCGGCGGCCGCCAAAGCCGTCGACGCGATCGCGATCGGGCAAGACGCCCGGACGAGCAAGAACGGCCTGGAAAATTCGAGCAACGAGCCCAAGGACGTCTACAGCGGTAGCCAGGACCACTTGCTGCTGACTCAAGCGCTTCTCAAAGCCACCAACATGGGAGCTCCCCCCTCGTCGCTCGAGTCCCTCTACGCCAATGCCCAGATGATCTATCGCAACTTGCCCGGTTTCCCGCTGCCGTTCAACATGTTCCCGTTCTTCGCCCAGGATCTCAGTACCAAAGACAAGCCACAGAAGGAGCTGGTGCGCGGCCTACAGACCAGCGGGGGCAGCCTCGTCGAGCCGTCGAGCAACAGTCCCGTCGTCGGACACTCCCTCGGCCACTCGCCCAATCCGATCAACTCCGAGCACAACGACTACGTGGCGCTCATCAATCAGAAGCTCATGAACAAGAGCGGCAGCAGCAGCGGTGGCGGCGGTGGTAGCAGCAGTGGCATGCACGGCAGGGCCGACAAGATCGAGACCTCGCCGTCGTCCAACTCGGTCAAGATGGTCATCAAGAACGGCGTGCTGATGCCCAAGCAGAAGCAGCGCCGCTACAGGACCGAGCGGCCCTTCACCTGCGAGCACTGCTCGGCCAGGTTCACCCTCAGGAGCAACATGGAGCGCCACATCAAGCAGCAGCATCCGCAGCACTGGAGCCAGCGGCCGCGAGGCGGACACTCGAATCGCGGCCGACCACCGGCCAATCCGCCCACGCTGCTTCAGAGCCTCAGGCACTCGCATCTGCCGTCGAGCTATCCGACCCTGCTGCCCAAACTGAGCCAGAGCTACAATTACGAGAAGCACGAGATCTCCGACCAAGTCAAGTACGCCATTCTCACTCAACACCTCAAGTCCAACAAGTCGCTCGAGCACGAATCCGACGAGGATCTCGTTATCGACGAAGAGAGCGTCAAGGAAGAGAAGGAAGGTAACAAATCAAAAGACAAAACTCTGAGCTTGCTGAGAGACAAGTTGGAGTCCGGTATCGTAAATCAGAGTCACGAGGCCGACGGCCTCAAAGTAGAAATAGATACGAAACAGGAGCTGGCCTCGCCGGAAAGCGATAGTAAATTATACAAAAAACGTGCCAACACGATCGAAGACGAGCTCGATCAGTCGAGGATCGGCGAGAAGACGAGCGAGCGCGGGGGCGTCAAGGCGGAGAAGCAGGAGTCCGAGGATCTGGCCAGCGTCTCGGAGATTCTCGACAACGCCTCGCAGAGGTACCAGCAGTTTCAGCCGCAGTACATCAGCGACGAGGAGGGCCTCGTGGCCTCGACGAGCGACTGCAGCGACGACAAGTCCGACTCGTTCAATTCGGGCTCGGGCTCCTCCTCCGGCCGCAAGAAGAAGAAGAAGCTGAAGAAGAAGAAGAAGGCCAAGTCGTCGGCCTACTCGCTGGCCCCGAACCGGGTCCTGTGCCCGTACTGCCAGCGAGCCTTCCCCTGGACCTCGTCGCTGAGGCGTCACATCCTCACGCACACCGGTCAGAAGCCCTTCCAGTGCACCTACTGCTCGCTCCTCTTCACCACCAAGTCCAACTGCGATCGCCATCTGTTGAGGAAGCACAAGAATTGCCTGAATCTGAATCTGATCCGTAATCGGGCGCGCAGCACCTCGTCGCCGGAGGTGCAGGAAGCGGCAAAAGATAGTATTATTAATCAAACGACGACGACGACGAGCAACACTACGACGGCTGCTAACGTCGCCTCGAGCATCTCGGCGTCGCACGGGGCTCTGGCCCTGCGCAACGTTCCCGAGCGCCCCTACAAGTGTCACCAGTGCCCGAGCTCGACGTTTTCCACCCTGGGCAATCTGAAGAAGCACCGCACGACCAAGCATCCCCTCGCGGATAATCAATCGTACACCAAAGCTAACGAGTCAAATAAACTTGATAAACCAAATAAAGCCGAAGACGGCGAAGAGATGGCGAGGGCCGAGGAGGAGGAAGTGGACAAGGTACGATCGTACAGCGTCGAGTCCGACGCGAGCCTTCGAGATAGCCCTCAGCCGTTCGATTATCAGACGGCCGGCCTGGCCGAGTATTCGAGCGCCAAGAGGGACTTCCGGGAGAGCCAAATGAAAGCGAGCAACGACCAGAGCGACTACGACAGCCAATCGTCCGGCGTGTCGGACCACATGGAATCTTCCGGCTCCGTCAAAGCGGCCACGAGTTCCAAGACCTTGATGATGAGCAGCAGCAGCAGCAGTGCCAACAACAACAACAATAACAACAACAGCAGCAGCAACAACAACAACAATAACGCGACGTCGCCCTCGAACAACGACGCGGCGTCCCGCTCGAGACGACAGTCGCCGCATTTGTCGCCGGGCATGGTGAACAGCGACACACCCTTCAAGTGTCACCTGTGCGACTGCGGCTTTCCCGAGCGGCAGGACTGCCTCGATCACATCAGGGACAATCACGAGAAGTCGTACGAGGTGCTGGTCGCCAAGGGCGCCCTCGACATGGAGATCGACGGCGTGGACGAGCTCATGCCGCAACAGCTGGTGGCTCAACAGCAGCAAGCCTCCAACGCCAGCGACGGCGAGGACAAGAAGGGCCGCTTCCCTGACTACAGCAACAGAAAGGTAAGCCAGTCGCTCTCGTTTTCTCTTCTTTTTGTCGAGCTCCAAATTGAGTTAACGTGTTTCGTTTTTGCTCTGGCGTTATTTGCGCGCAGGTGGTATGCGCCTTTTGCATGCGTCGCTTCTGGTCGGCGGAGGATCTCAGGCGCCACATGCGCACTCACACCGGCGAGCGGCCCTTCTCCTGCGACATCTGCTCGCGGCGCTTCACCCTCAAGCACAGCATGCTGCGCCACCGCAAGAAGCACGAGTCCGTCGACTCGAGCATGTACGTGGGCACGAGCGGCGACGAGGACTACTCCATCAATCAGCATCATCATCATCATCATCATCATCATCAGCTGGCACCCGTGACGACGAGTGGCATGCGCACATCACTGCCCCAGGTCGCCGCCGTGGCCACGGCGGACGCCGCCCCAACTAGTCTTACGCACTTCAGCCCCTACGAGAAATTGTCGGCCCTGCAGGGCAAGCTGATGGCCGGCAGCCAGCATCAACAGGCGAGCAGCCTCGACTCCAACGACAACAACGACAACGATTTGATTTCCAATCTTCTAGGCATTAAGGGACACATGGTCGACGAGGTGCTGCAAGCTTCGGCCGACGACGCGGCCAAATTACTCGGAGTCAAGGGAAATCAGGAGTAATTGAGCTTTAGTATATAATCCAATTAAAAGGTTTCTCGTATCTTTTACGTGCTAAATACAAAATAACGAAGGGATGCTATTCTAATCAATGGTCATTGAACTAATAATATGTGTTGTATAAGGCATTTTTTGGACATGATCGTGAATTTTTTTTCTATACTAAAGGCTGAACTTTTACGTTACTAAGTCAGAGGAGAATGATAACGATTGTAATTTGATGATTCCTCGTTGAGTAAAATCCTATTCATACAACGAATCATACAGATTTATCCAAAGATATTAAAATAAAATAAGGTACTATATACAGTCGAATTCTTACATCACTGGAAAGATGATTTTGTAGAATAATGAGCGTACGTGCGTTGATATGCAAAAATGTTTTATCGTGTGAATGTTTATCGATTTGCGAGTCAGTAATTATAGGGTATAATCGAGAAAAAATCGAGGGCGAGTTTAGTTTTAACTCAATGAAAATGAAAAAAAACGTTGCAATTACAGATATATTGCGTTTTGCACCAAATCGAGCATGGAAAGAAAAATAATGTATCTAAATAACGAGTCATGCATCCTAAATACTTGCGCATTTCTTTTCGTTTCATATTTTTAATCGTTAATAGTGAAAAAAAAAATTGACATCGTCGATGATGCGTAAAGAGAGGCGAGTTCGATTAGCTCTCTTTATGGTGTGCAACAAACTCGATGCTGCATGCACAAACTATTATAATGAAGCTCCGCGTCGAAACCCCATTGCACCGATGTCAGCGGGCCTCGTATCACCTTATCGTCTGCGGACTGCGAAGCTTATATTTATATTACGTACAACGTAAATAGATATAACTGGCCTGGCTACATTGATTGTGATAAGAGGCCTGCCGTTACATCAGGGTGTCGAGCACGAGAGGGAAAAGTTCGTATGCGGTTGAATATGTCAAAAAATAATCTTTCTGACTTTTAAAGAGATGACATCTATATTGAATAATTTTTCTCATATTTACTTTTTTGACATTGAGCTTTATTCAAAATAAAATGCACGAAGGTTCATAAAACTTAATATTCAAAATATTACATTTTGCATTTTCTCTATTCTCCGCGTATCCGTCGTTCTATGAAACGATTGCGCTCTCATTTTGGAATATCTATATCATGCATATACTATTACATCAATATTATTTATGTTTGTATTTAGATATTTTTTGTACCAATAGTTAATTACGATGAATTTCTTAGATAGATGTATTATACACGGAGTGAATTATGAATTAAATTCTTCACTGAATAATTTAGAAAAATTTCAACGAGGCAACGATTTGCTACTAATTACGAATAAATGGCAAATTCTATATACATATCTATATATATATGTTTGAGTAAATATTTACACACTCATATATAAATATTTATATATACAAGTAAAAAATGTAACATAATTCAATATTTACAAAAGTATAGCGTGTAAGTATAAAATAATTACATGCAGAGGCAGCCCAAAAGAGCCTTATTAGTTTTAAACAAAAAATGTGTATTTGATGTAATATAAAAAATTAATATTAAATTTTAATGTCGTTCGTTCAAATTCCAAAGAGTGGTTTGTCTTTGGCATACCCGTTTATATATTGTCTATTATTTCAATTAAATATCGACCACTTGCATTACACAATTAATGTGTAAATCTTTGTCGGATAAGTATAGTAAGTATGCCTAAGATTATTAGTGAATTTAATATGTATTCTTCAATGAAAGATTCGCTAATAAGCTCAGGCACTGCACTGATTGGTACATAATTTTACTTATTAAGATTAGCTGGGACTGCGATTTCTTATTATGTTGTACGAAAAAAAGTAAATAAAAAGGTATTCATTTTCTGAACTATACATACTTTTTATTAATAAAACATGCAATATCTCCTTAAAAATATAATCTTAAATAAATCTAAAATGTTTTAATAATATATCAACTTTTTTTTTGATAAGTATCTCAAAAACGAGCTTATAGTGGTTTGACAACAAAAACAAAACCAAAATTGTTTGACTCACTTGAACGATAACAGTCGTCTTCTAAATGCGGAACGTACTAATAAATATCGTTTGCAAGTTATTTCTAAGTAATAAAGGCACTTCATGAACCTTACATTTTGAATGTTGAATATGTTAATAAATGGCAAGAAACTAAAATATTGCGGTATATATTTCGACGACTTTTTTAGGATAATGTTATACATAAGTATTCCAAGCATTCTGATTCCTTGCCTGATTGGCATCCATTCTAATTTTTTCTAATATGTCTTAGTGGAATTTGTCTATATACAATAATTTCCTTTTTGGCAGAAGTGATAAGCTGTGGTGTAAGGTTATTCTTACTTTTATCAAAAGTTACCTAACTATTTCTTGTATAATATAATAGACATTAACATCGATAAAAACATTTTTTATACATTTTATAAATTTTCCAATCAATTTTTTACTACAAAAAATATATGATGCTGTTGCTATTGATGAGCTGTTTTGTTTGATATTATTTGAATTTCAAAGATTTTTACTCAAGAAAACTTTCTTGAAAATCATTGCTTCTAATGCTTAATAAATACGTCAGGGAAAATTGATCAAAATTATGAAAGTAGCAAAAATTCAAACGATTATTCATAAAAATTGTGAAACAAATATACGAGAATTCAGGAGTCTTCGAGTACTTGATTTCTTTAGTGAGTCGAGAAAATTCGAGAGCCGAATAATTTCGGAAACTCGAGTTGTCTTCGATTACTCAGAAAATGTGGTCAAGTCGGGAAAATTCGAGAACTGAATTATTTCGGAAACTCGAGTATATTCGAGTACTCGGAAATCAAGGTTTAGTCGAGTTTTTTCGAGTACTCTTACACCTCAAAGAAAATTCCGATAATTATACCATTTTTTTAATATCAAAATACATTCTATAATTTTAGGGTCTGACTATTCAGGGAAAATTCGTATTCGAAATTGTATAATTGGTAAACGAAACTCCAAAAAATTTCGTGCACGAATTTGCCCTAAATAGCCACTTCGATAATTTTATTTATTTTTTTATAAATGTTTGCACGTTCTTATTTTTTTCTCTATTGATCCAAATATAGGAGTCTCCCTTGATTTATTATATTATTATATTAGTTATATTTGTTTATACTTAATTTAATTTTTTACTGCAATATATTTTTATATTTTATTAAAATATAAATTTAAAAATGATGTTAAATGTATGTGTGTATTCACGTGTGGAGAGTGGAGACTTCTCAATCGACGTCTGCGCGAACACGAACGCGCAGCAGAGCTCAGCAGCTATAAGAAAGTTACCTTGATACTCATAACTCATTACTCGCGCAATGTGCATATCGCATAGGCCATAGACTATGAAATTCGTAAGATTTTTTTCTCCCTCTATGCTGAAGACAAAACAATCCGTCTCAATTATTATAATACTTATTTTGAAAATTACGATAACTGTAGTTACTAAATTCTTAAAAATGTATAAAAATATACAGCCAGTCGATGTTTTTAAAAACAGCGAATTAAACGGTAATATGAAATTGCCGTGGTTAGTACTTTACTTTGACGCACGTAGCGCTTTCCTATTGCGCGTAGTAACACGCTTTTATGCAATTTGTTGCCTATCTTAAAATTTTCACGTAATTTATGGATTCCTGGCTTTCACAAAAGTCAAAGTCTCACTGAACTGTCTGGAAATGTTTCACTCAACACTCAGTATTGCATCAGCCAAGTTTAATTCTAATGGATATTATAAATTTCATTGTGCACATGAATTCATTGTTATATTTTATTGAAGCGAACATGAATATACCCTGTAAAAAGTTTATTTGGCATATGACATCTACAACAGCATTGACAGTAACTGGTGTTTCATCATTTTATTGTTAAAATATCCATTTTCTCCAATAAGTTCATGTAAGTACAATATACTTTTACACTCACACACTCACACACAAATTTTCCACTAAAACATATAAAGTTGCATATTAGTACAAACTGTGGCCTTCTATAGATGATATTTAAATATGTCATGAACAGTCTAATTAAAGATGTCCAATAGCACATGTATAGATCTATATGTATAGATATTAAAGAGCATGTGGTTTAAATCACTTCTGCGCATCTCATATTATGAATACATTTTTGACGTGATCTTCAAAGATTTAAAACTCAAATTTTACTGTTTTTTTAGAGAAGATCATAGTACATTTCTCAGTCGGTATTAGCTATAATTTGTTTAATTTTTAGAAATTTTCAATTTTTGTAAACACTGGTTTAAACATAATAATAGTTAGTCTAAAAGTATCCACGATTGATATTTCAAATAACTCAAGTGTATCATAGGTATACTTACTTAGCTGTTAATAGCTTTATATTAAATTCTGATACTTAGGTATTGAATGTTTTGACTTCTGATTTATATATTATCAAGATTAAAAATGATGCAACAAAAATTTTTATGATTAAATTACGTTCATTGAAATGTTTTGTAATGCAGTATTTGTATTCTTATAAGAAAATCTGGTATTAAAAAATGTACTTCAAAATTAATATTTTAATAATCTGAATATATTCGTTTACAAAATTTTTATTCATCCAGAGGAAGAAACATAATAAAATCAGCGCTATCTTCATGTACATCATGTTTATTATGATACAACACATATTGCGCAATTAGGCATGATAAACAATTATAAAACACTTTACACATTTCACAAATAACAAAGTCATAATAGTTTATTGAAAGTTATAACTTCAATTCTCTAAATTATGTATAATTTATGTTGTAGTACAATGTATCCAGAAAAAACTTCCCCAGTACAAAGATTATTGGAGAGTATGACTGGTATTTCAAACAAGTTAATAAGTCAGAATTCTGGTATATTTGTAAAGAATTTCAATATTATGGATAATCCTTCATCTATAACTATAATTTCAAAAGATTTGCAACAGTTTTATTTGCCACGCAGCAACAAGGATAAACCTTTTTCTTTTTGTACTATGAATTCATATGGTAATAAAATTATATTACTTGCATGATGTCATAGATATATCTATATAAAGAAATGCATGCTCTTCACAGATTCCCTTTCATTGGAAACATTTTTTTGAGAAAAAATATTAATAATTAAAAAAACAAACAAAAGGGAATTATATATAATTTATTTATTTATAAAGGCCTTTCTTTAGATAATTTTTAGCAATAATCATAATTTTCATATCATGTTGCATTTTTATGCTTTTATGCAATTTTTAATTTGAAATTTTGTTTCAACAGCGTCAGCAGCGAATGAAGAAAGAAGTTGTACAGAATCATTACTTCAAGGCAAAATTTATACCAAAAACCAACCGAAAAAACTTAGTCTAATGGATTTTAGATCTTTAATCTTAGAAAAATCACAATTTCTTCTCACAAATTACAAGGACGAAGTAAAAAACAGTATTGTACAAAAATTAGAGCTCAGTAGAAATAATATAGTTAACGATTTACCAACATCTTTAAAGCAAATAAAAAAAACAAAATCACATAGGAAACGTGTGATTTGTAAAAAACCAAATCTGATGATTAGGATAAAATCAAAACAGTGTAAAAAAAGCCAGAAAAAAAAACTTCCAACCAAAACTATTTACAGATTAAGAAGAGTGAACTTAAAAGTAAATAGAGAAGATAATATGGAAACTGCTACAGTTAGTAATTTAATACCTGATGGTATTTCATTGCAGAGTAAAAGAACAAATAATAATTCAACTCTCAAGGTGGATAAGGAAAGTATTTCTAATGCATCTAATACTCAATTTGACAGTTTAAGTTCTAATGAGAGTAGTGATGAAGAAGAAAATTCTGAATTAGATGGCTCAGGTTCTGATGAAGATAGTGATTCATCAGACGATGATTTTGTTGTTTTTAGCAAACAAAATGATGATGGTAATAATGATAAAAAAAATATTTCAATTAACTCAACAGATTCAGATGATAACTTCATCATTTTTAACCATGTAAATGATGATTATGATCAAAAAGATGATGATGACGATGATGATGATGAAGATGAAGATGAAGATGATGATGATGAAGATGATGATGAAGATGATGATGATAATGATAATGATAATGAAATAAATGATTCAATCAACTCTAAAGATTCAGTTGATGGATTCATTGTTTTACAAAATAATGATGATAATCAAACAGCGTGTTGTCAAAGCAGCGGTGCAAATGACGTCCAAAAAAATGAGAAGAAATCAAAAAAAGAAAAAAGAAAAGCTAAGGTATAAAATATTTTTATTAACATTTTTAAAATAATCCTCATCATTATATAGTGACCACAGAAATATAACTTTTTGACATTTTTTATAGGTTTCTTTTGACTTAAAGCCACAAGTTCATTTGATGATCAAATGGGATTTTGCATATCGTAAAGCACGACCCGGACCTTGGGAACAAGCAGCTCGCGACCGAGGACGTTTTGCTCGACGAGTCTCCGACTCGCATAAAGTCCTTGACAAAATACTTTTACCAGCTCATCGTGCACGTATTTTTGAAGAAAGATTCCAAGATACTTCATAAATGAGCGTCAGTCAGAAATTGAAACAAATTGAACTGTGATAAGTTAATATATAATTATTAACTTGTAAACTATATGCATAATTAGTTTATTTATAGGAACAAATTTTATTACGTTAGGAAGTCAATGTGGAATTTATTAAATTGAATTTAGCTTACTGAATAACATCAATTTACCTACAATTAGATTTCGAATGATTATTTTTTTGTACAAAGATTATACTTCATTTTAATATAAATATCATTCTAATGTGTTTTAATGTTTCTATTAACCATTTATAATTGGTCTTGAATTTGGAATAGAAGTATTTGCAATTGTATGCATACTTTTTAAAGTTGAAATAATGAATTTGAAAAAACACATTTCATGTACATCACCGACAGTTTATATAAAATCTTAAGCGTAATTTTCTCTATCTTCTTAGCTGCTGACTGAATTTGTAAATTTTGCTCTTAATTAAAGTAAGAAATAGAGATTATAAATTTTTTATTGAGCTGTTACTACATGATGAAACACATATTTTATTTTAACATAACATAATCAAATAAATGTTTTATATGACTAAAATTGTTAATATGATTACTTATTTATTTATCTTATTGATAGGGAATAATTTATTTTTTATAGCATTAAATACTATTTAAATTTTAAGCATTGCCATGATCTTTAGCCTATATTTTAAAGTATTTTTGAAACTGGAAGCAGGAAAGATAACACAAACCTTTGATTGAAAAAAGAAAAAAAAGTAATTATTTATAATTATCATTGATTCTAGTTCTTATTTCTATAATTCTAAATGGATAACAATATCAGATTCATTGAAATTCGTCACAGCAAAATTATTATTGATTATAATGGTCATATTTTCCGAGTTTTTAAAAATAATACAGTTCATTAAATAATTGGACGATTTAATTTTAGAAAACAGAAGCATGAGTTGGTATCGCGCTTTAATTTTCGTAATTCTCTCAAACTTTGACACAATTTATGATAGTCACATGGCATGATAGTCGTTAACAGGACTTGTACATCCTCGAAATAATACTTATTATTTTTAATTTTATCCGATTTATCCAACAATTGAGATTGAATTTTTAACATCATTGTTTAATCTTTGATATGGTACATGCTTCAAACAACCATCAAATATAAACATCAGGTGTTGCCGATCGGACCGCATAAAAATCGTTGGAATTTTTTGCTTTGATCTAACGTAATGACGAAATATAACGATAATATCTTGGTCGATATTTGTAATCTTTTCATTTATTTTTTTAAAAAGTTTTCTTTTAATTTAGAAATAAAAAATTGATATTTTCATTGAAATTGAGTTTTAATTAGTTTTCCTTCATATGAATTATGATTTAGTTTTGGTAAAAAAAAAATTCACTATAATAAATTTGTTATCTTCGTAAAAAGTTAATACAATCAATTGTTCAGCTGAATTAAAATTTGTCACTTTTTACCTATACTTGACATTTGACAAAAATGAAGTCTAGCCTACCTACAACAATTTTTTTTTTAAACGCAGGCTGATTACTGATAGCATGAAAAAATATCCAACTACATTGACACCTCTTTAGTGTAGGTATTTTGTACACATCAATTGCATTCACGACGTCGTCTGAAGAAATGACATCTATAGGTCTTTACTTTATCTGCATTATACAATTTAACCTAGAATATTGTACGGGCTCTAATTTTTGATTATATGTTTTTGTTCGTGCATTGTATTTTTGTATTAAATGAATCATCCATTGATAAATGACGCGATAAACTCAAAATGAGTTACTAATTCTTTCTTTCAAGACGCAGGTAAAGAAATATCTCATTAATAAATTGGTCTTATGTTATTTTCTTTTGGTAACTGTCTGTCTGTACCAAATTGTGTCACGGTAATAACACGGGAAATTTATGTAACAACCAAATATGTTCATCTTGATATGAATTAAAATTGAAAATTTTGAATACATGTAATAATATGTCGTCGATTTATTGAAGTAGAAAAAATTATCATGTTTTCACAGAAAATTTATGTCCAAACACAAAAATAATTTTAACTTTTAATTTTAAGGAAATTGAAAAATTTTCAAGTTAAAAAAATACCATCATGCCAGATCAAAAGAAAACCACAAAGGGCGGTGATGAGGTATGTATTATTGTTTTATTGATTTTCATTAGACATGTGGTATATTTAATAAAAATTTTTGTAGGTGTTTGCAGATACAAAAAAATCATTTTCTTCTAAGCAACATAAACAATCGGCACCACTAAATTTAAAAAATATAAAGGTAAAATCAGTGAATTAAAATTCATTTTGATAATTAGTAATTGACCCTAATAAATGCAATTTATTTTAGGCAAGAGTTGATAAAATTCATATTGATGGGCTGTCTCGAACAAACCAAGATATTGTAAAATCACAAATTAATGAATTATTCAAAGCCCAAGATTTTCAAGATATTATTATTAACTCACATAATGTTCGAGGTAAATTAGAATCCTTAGGATGTTTCAAAAATATAGGCGTTTATATCGATACCAGCAAAGGACCTAATGCTACACCTGATGGAGTTGAGGTAATTGAATCAATTTATATTTTATTAATCATTATCTATTTTTATTTGGGTGTTAATAATTTTACACTTTAATTTTTTTGTTTATTGCAATAATTTTACTTTTTCAGGTTACATTCACTGTTCATGAATTCAAAAGGCTAATGGGTAACATAAATACCATGGTTGGAAATAATGAAGCTTCTCTTCTTATTGGTGCCAAAGCTCCAAATTTATTTGGTAGAGGCGAACGATTGCAAATGGATTATTCATATGGACATAAAAACTCATCTAACATAAATATATCTGCTGTAAAGCCTTTTTTTCACGATAAACTGTACAAAGCGTAAGAGTACTTAGAATTTGCTAGTAATTTTTTTCTTTATAAGGTATTAATTATTTTCCTTTTTATAGTCTAACAACAAGTGTCTACACTACAACAGCTGATTTTCCATGGTCTGGTTATAAAGAAAATGATATGGGCTTCTTATTGGAATTTGCTTTCAATGCTAATGAAACTGATTCCTTTAAACACCAAATTCAATATGAAGCAGTAGTCAGAGATCTCACAGCAGTAAGACAAGCCACTTTTAAAGTGAGAGAGCAGTGTGGTCCTACTTTAAAGTCATGCATTCGACATATTTGTAAAGTTGATAAGAGAGATGAGCATATTTTTCCATCATCAGGAACATTAGTTCAATGTACAACAGAATTAGCAGGATTAGGAGGAAATATAGGCTTTGTAAAAAATGAATTAGCTGTTCAAAGCAATTGGTCACTGCATGAAAGTCTAGTGAGTATTTGTACTATGCAACAAAATCATTTTTTTTATCCCAATAACATTTTAATAATTATTTGTAGAGTTTACAATTATCAGCTCAAACTGGTTTTTTGAGGGGAATTAATAATGACATGAAGTTGAGCATCTCTGATAACTTTTTCCTTGGTGGGCCTATGAATTTGAGAGGTTTTGACATAAGAGGCTGTGGTCCAAGGGAAGAAGGCTATGCCTTGGGTGGCAATACTTATTGGGCAGCTGCTTTACATGCATACACTCCACTCCCATTTAAACCAGGCAAAAATAGTTTTGGTGAACTTTTTAGATTACATGGATTTGTAAATGCAGGAAATATAAACAATGTATCTTTTAAATTAGGTTAGTCAATATATATGCCATTCATCTTTAAATATAAATCCGTTATTAACTTATATAATGATTTAAATTACTTGTTATGCTGTAGGAAGCAACTATGAGGATCATATGAAAATTTTCACCGAAAACATTCGTTGTGCCGCTGGATGTGGTATTGCAATGAAATTAGGAAATATAGCAAGAGTAGAATTGAATTTTTGTTTGCCTTTGAAATTTTTAAGGACAGATATTCAACAACAAATCCAACTTGGCTTAGGTATTCAATACTTATAATTTGACGTAAAGTTCATAATAAAAAATGTTTTGTTTCTGAAGTTTACATTATTTTGTGTTTGTTTCCTCAATGTAAAAAAAATCATACATTTAAATTAAAATGTTTAACTTTTGGCTTATTTTTAAAATTACTTATAAAATGAGATGAAAATAAATTTCTTAATAGTTATAAAGAAAATTTTTTAAATTCATTTAATTAATTCAAAGTATGTGCAATTATAATCTTGCGAATTTTAAAAAATTTTGATCTTATTAAACTCATGAAATCTAGAAATAGTTACACATATTGCTTCTCCTCTGCAACAGATATTTGCTCACAAAATTGTTTGAGCCGTCAAAGTATATAAAAACTTTATCCGCCCGTATTTAACTAATTTAAAAAAATATTAATTTGAAAAAAATAAAATAAAATTCACAAAATATTTCTCGCATTAATATATGTTCGATAATGGGCAACTTTTATTTTTACGACAAATAATGTTTTTTTCAAAAGTAACTTTTCACGTAAAACACCACCCTCAACTTCACCACTATGTCTGGGAAGTTATCTTCCTTTGATTGACCTTGGCATCGGTTATGTGCGTACTAGGCCAATTTCAAAGGAAACGAGTCGCAGCCTATGCTAACACGACCGATTTTTTTCCGATACCGGATGAAAAGCATATTTACTCGATTTCCCAATACCTTCGACTCGAGTTCTTACGACATGGGATAAGCAACATAGACGCCGACTATCGTTAAATTGTCATTTGGCTCAACACTAGGTCATGAACCTAGTGTACAAAGACTCCTGTCACTTTAGCTCAAGTGTGAAGGAGTGTTGGCTATACAGATGTCGTAAGCAAATATATCAGTCCCAAAACTTCAAGATTAAGGCTGAGTGTAGGATTACGATAACACCGGCTTTTTAACATTGGCTACACGCCAAAAAGTGTTGCATGAACTAGAATCTGTTATTGCTTACAATAGGTAAAAAAAGAAGTAATTTTTTTTATGCAAAGTTCTTTGTGTGTGCAAAAATTTCTGACACAAATGAATATTCTGGAAATTGTTTCTTCATAAAAGGATTTTACGTTATTTTGTTGCCATAACTAAATGATTATTTATCGACGATCAAAGTCTCATTAAATCAAATAATCAGTTATCATATAGTTTTTTTATCAATTATTTAAACTTTTTCCACTATAAATACTCACGTAATTAAGCGATCCGCATGTACGTGCTATGCTCCCAAGCCGAAGTGATTTTGATTCTGAATAAAAAGAACTTATTCACAAAATTTTATTTTCTTTATAATAGCATGCTTTGATACTTGCCACAAACTAACTATTATACATTTTTGTAAAACATAGAAATGGAAAATAATTACTATTTTAAAATGAAAATTTTTTTTATCTTCTAAAATCGAGTATTTTTTCGCTAACAGGTTCGAAAATTTGCTAAAAGATCGTTAAAATTAATAATTAAAATACCTAAAATTAATTATTTGCGTTATTTCGAGTATCCTGATTTCGAACATTGTTTGGAGTAGAATAATTTTTAAATATCGAAAATTTTAAACAACATTCAAGAAAAAAACTGATTATTCCATTTTTTTCAAACAAAACACTGCTTGAGAAATTATAAATACGACTTTTCAGTATTTATTATAATGAAAAGTAAAAAGAATCATTTTGTATTCAAGGTACATTTGACCTTGCATTTAATTTGTCAATGTCCAACTTGACAAATTTAACTCCAAAAACTTGATTGCATTAAAATATCGGTGCAACGAATGAAAAAAAGTGAAAGTTGAAAGTACATTCATATGAGTATCGTAATAAAAAAGTTGAATTGATTAAATAAATCAAATAACCAAACAGTTTTCGTAAAATTTCACAATTTTTTCAAAGTTTATGAATTGAATGCATTTCCTTTTAGACTTTTAAATTTATTAATTTGTTATAAAAATCAATAATTAAAAACTCTTCAATTATGCAGTACATTATTTTATTCTTTGTATTTTAAACGCGTATCGAGATATTTTCAGAATATATTCAAATTGATTAAATCAATCATTAAAACATAGTTTTAAATAAACTGTATAAAGGACAACCAATTGAAAACTTGTATTTTTCAATTTATACATGTTATTTTTTCGAAACAGCCATACAGGTTGCATAATTTGTTAATGACTCCAATTATCATAAATATATAACTCTATGCATGCTGATCACAACTAACGATTACACAAAAACAAAGAAACTATGACGCATATTTGAGAAAATATATGGGTGAGAGCGAGCTGTTAAAAGGATGTGCGAACGATTGTCACGAGTGGGGTTCCCTACTTCTTCAAGATATAAATAGCGTCAACGGGCCTTAGTCTCAATCACTCCTTCCAATATCGACTCTTCGATACGTTCTGAAGCGGGTTTCAGTTGCGTTTAAACAAAATGAAGTTCTGCAGTTTAACAATAATTTTTGCTCTTGCCATCGTATATGTTAACTCACAAGAGGATGGAGCTTCTAAGACATATCGTAGACTGATACCGGCTGATGTATTAAGAGGTGTGTAAATGTTATTGTAATTTAAAAATAAATCTTGAAAAGATTTTGAATAAAATTTGAATTTATTAATAATAACTTGAGTATGATGCATACTCAATTTATTATTGCTCAATATTATTATTCAAATATAATTTTACTTTCATTATATTTTAATTTTCTTTTTTTCATTTTTTTCATTTTTATTTTCACCGTTGATATTATTTTTATAGTATTATCATTTTTGTTATAATAAATTATCACAATTTTTAAGCAGTAAAGAGTTTTTTCTGCTTTGTTTTTTCTAAAAGCGAAAGTTGGTATTGAACCACTTAAGTTAGGTCCTCTTGTTACTTAATTTCGGAAATGTTTAGTTACCAGTAACAAGTATTACCTCTTAGGTGTTAGTTTGTCACCTAAATTTTTTCAAATTAAAATTTTTACATTAATATTATATATGATATATATGAATCTTAGATTTGAGAATACAAAAATTGCTGTACTGTTTTGTTCGATTTTTTATATTTACGGGTGTATCAATTTATTTAATTTAAATTTCTTCAAAATTTAAACTAATTTAAGTTAAATTTCAAAAAATTGTATTTCATTCACTTGGAAATTATCAATCTATTTGATACATCGTTATTGTCACGAAAATGTTTAATTGAAATGACCATCTAAGAGTAATTTGAATTGTTATATTGTTACATAAAATAATAACTTCATATCAATCAGTTAGATGCTTCGTTTAGAAGCATCCAAACTACAACTTCATTACGCTTCGATGAGTCAAGAGGTTGGTATGGTATTATTTTGTTCGCACGCAACTTTTTACCTCGGCCTACTTGAGAGGTAGAAAAGGTACGCAGAAGGTAGAGAACTGTGTAATTTTTTCTGGCATACTTAATAAAATTATGCAACATCATGACGTTGTGTCTCTTTAAAGATTCATTGAACAATACAATCGATTGTTTTTTATTCTGATCTCGTTACACTTCATAAACATTACAGCAATGCATGATGAATGAATTACATGATTTATTTTCATTACCTAATTCAGTTCTCAAAAACTAAGTAAAGTTTGGTGCACTGCGTTGAACAATTTTTCACATTTGTTTTCAAAATTGGGGATTTGAAAAAAATTTGTTTATAAATTTTGAATATTTTCAAACCTTTTCTGCGGAAAAATTTTTACCATGCGTTTAACTCTGGTTCAATAAATATTTATAATACAAATTTTCACGATTAATTGATTTTATACGTGATTTTATATACGCATGCATCCTTAAAAATTTCTAGATTTTCCTGGAATGTGTTTTGCATCGACCAAATGCGCAACTTTTGAGCCAAAACAAAGTTGGGATTTGACTCCATTCTGTGGCAGATCAACTTGTGTGTCAGCTGATGATAATAGCGGCCGGCTGTTTGAATTAGTGGAAGATTGCGGTCCATTGCCAAAAGCCAATCCAAAATGCAAGCTCAGTGAGAAAACGAACAGAACCGCATCTTTCCCGGATTGCTGTCCCGTGTTCGAATGTGAAAAAGATGCAAAACTCGAATACCCTGAAATTTCAACTGTACCAGTTGCCGGTGGCGAAGACGACGTGCTTCTCAAAACTGCCAAGGCGATTCAAGAGAATCCAAGAGCATAAGGAAATTGATACTTTGTTTCGTCGATTTTTAAAATTGTATTATATAATGCATCGATAAAATCTCCGATACGCCTTTCCATTTTAGTCCAGTGAAATTTAATCTGAAATTGCATTTCTTCCAGAACAAGTAAAACGAGCGCGTAAATTAATGTTTCTGAATTTCAAGAGTTTAATGTAACATTTTTTTTACTTACGAGCCCAGTAATAGCACGTCAAAAAGAAAGTATTAAACGATCTTCTTCTCGTAAATAACTCTGGAAATTTACAGAGCTGCAATTTATGTCGGGAGTGTTTACATCAGTGAAATTTTTGAAGTTATTTTTCGCCAAAATTAAAAAAAAATTAGTAAAAAATTATTTTGTTGAAAATAAAATTGTTGTAATAATATGTCAAAATTAAAAAAATTAAACTAAATTTGTAATGCAAATTTCGTTATAAAATAGTTGACATGACTATTTTGCTGGATTACAAAAGACTTAACTTGTGAATTTTTATTATTCCACCTATCAAATACGATGGCTAAAAACGTGAAAAAGTAAAGTAAAGATTTGGAAAGTAAAGTTTTAGGTTAAGTTATAATTATTTAAAATGAAACAATCAATTAATACATGCATTTTTTATACCTCTCACGGAATCATGCACTTCACATAAAATAACCATTAATTAATATAATAAAGTTTATATATTGGCCATAGATTATACGTCATAATGTAAAGACACTTAAGAAATAATTTTAATAAAAGTGTGAATTGTATAGGAAAAAATATGCATTTGTACTATTTTCGATTAATCCACTTTGACTTATCCGGAATATGAAAAAAAATCGATGTGTCTTTCAACTGTTTAGATTACAATGAATAGCAGATTATAGTTTGTAACATCGACTTACGTATTGAACTTAAGATATACACCATTTTCCAAAAGATTTCGTCATTCAAAAAAGTTAATAAAAGATATTTTTAATCTTGTTAACCGGTGATGTTTCAATGTATACATCGGCAAATATTGTTATGAAATAAATAAGATTTTTATAATATGTAGATCAACTTCAACTTTTCGAAAAACTAGCCACTCATTAATGAAGAAAATAATTTTCATTTTCGGTCTTTGCTGTAACTGTAATTTTTATGACAATTGAAAAGATTTCATTTAATTTGTTTACATACACCAAAAACCAAAAGTATTTGAGATATTTTTTCAGCGCTCTACAAATAAAATTGATGGATAAAGACTTCTGACTCATTAGCGGAACAAAATTAATTTCGAACGAGCCTCCGATAAATTTTGTCCACTTGAATGATATTTTTATCGATGTATCAAGTGGATTAAAGAGTTACGACCATACATGGAATTTTTTCTTAGAAAACTTCATTTAATTTATAATAAATAAATTCATAAAGTGTTCTCTGTAATCCTTTGTTTTTTCCGATTTTTCACGGCATCTTTGACTTTTTCAAATAATCGTTAATCTTCTACTGTAATTTTAAAAATCGAAAAATCAGTTATTGAAATATTTTTATTTCAACACAATATTTTAATTAATTATTTTAAATTTCTTAAATTTAGTAGTACAATTTTAATTTTTTTTTCAGTGCATTTAATTATTTGAAAACAATAAATCTTAAATTAATTCTTATCAAATTAAAAAAAATTATTCTAAAGCTTTTATCACTGTGTATACGATTATGTGATATCATTTAGAAATAGAGATAAAAATAAAATTTCATTTCATGATCTTTTTTAAAATAATTGCAATTTATTCAAACAATAAACGAGTTCAGAAAATCCTGCAGAACTGTTATTTACTAAAGTTTTGAAAGTGATAAATTGTGGTATTTTCAACGTCTAAAATTTATTTATTACTATTAATTTTAAAGAATAATTGAGTAAAATAATGACAAATGAATAATCTGTCATATGTGCCTCAAAAATTATCACTGGCAACGCTGCAGTTGTGTTACAAAATATATCTGGAATTAACTGTTTACGTACAGAATGTATTTAATATTGTCTTTTAGATCATCGACAACGCCGCAGGGGAGAACCGACGCTGTAAGCGTAAATAAGTTAGTGTACCGGATCGTTCGTCTCAAACGCTTCCGAGTGATAGCTATTGCTGTGCCACAAAATGAAGTACTCAATTTTTTTGATAATTGAGTAAGAAGAAAAAAAATATATACCTCACACAGAGACAGATGTGATTATTGAATATTAAAATTCATAAAAAGAAGCAGTTGACGACAGTGATTAAACTAGTGGTAAGCAGTGCCAATGTTATTCATTTTAAAAACCTTTATAATACGTTAACGTTAAATTTTGATTGATTATTATTGAACAACAAAACTATAGATTGGTGACGTAAAAAACTGGAAAAAGAAAAGTGTTATCATCACAGCAGGCTATCAGTCGTCTCGAGAATAACAAATCTAGACAGCCAAATTTTTAATGACACGTCCTACGAGTCTTTGTATTTGAAGCTGCTGAGTCATTTTGATCAAATCGTTACCACTCTAGAATATATAAATTCCTCTTAAATTATAATCATGTTAGCTATAAAATGGATAGAGCCGAGCCTCCTCAGATCATCTATAAGTTGTTCAAGTTTGTCAAGAGGCCGGTGCAACCAGTTGATACGAACTCTGACTACCAGTAGTCGAAACATCAAAAGCTTTAAGCTCCAAAATAGTTACAAAATGTTTGAGAGACATTTTTCCGAGACAACCTGTACAAAACCAATGGTCTTGAGCAAAATCAACAACGTGTCCATTATTGCAGAGTCATATTACAAGCCGTAAGAAATTATTTATTCTACTTAACTATTTTTTAAATTGCCTAGTTATATTTCACTAGGGTCTAGACAAACATTTTGGTGCAATGTTTTAGACATTTTCTACTTTTAACACCCAAGCTTTTAATTTCACCGATTTTGTTATATTGAATTATTTGATTATTAAAGTACGAAAAAAAGAGGATGACAATGGACAGAACATTTTATAAACACAATTTTTAATTATAATATTCATCTTTTATAATATAATTATATTTATAAGGATAATTATTTAGTACGAGATTATTTTAAACAAAAAAATAGTGTTTTTTTTTACTAATTTTTTCAACGGCTTTTGTTAATATAATAGCACTATTACAATACTTTTTTATTACAATAATTTTCACTATAATATTATTTTAATAAATATAATTTTTACTACAACTGTACTATTACAGTACTTTTTTAAAAATCGAAATCATAAATTTCTCAAAAAAGTTTAAAATATGAAACGAGTGTCAGCCAGTGAGGGTAAAGCGCTAGTTTTATATGATATTTTGTGTCGAATTTTAAATAATTACTATACAACTTTTGTTAAATTCATAGGTAATTATTATTGCGACAGGAAATTTTTAATTGCAAATACTTGAATAAGAAAGCAATGTTTTTTCCATAAATTTTTGTTTTCAACATAATGAATTTGTATATTTTTACCAAGTCTGAACTCAGATTGAAAAAATTGTTTATCAATAACTTTATTAACGTACTGAGAAGCTGTTATCATGTGCAGTCAGAAAACCATGTGTGGTAGAAATTTATCAATAGCAGACAAATGCAGCTGTTGCTAACCCAGACGTGACGTGAGGGCATCATAAGACTCGAACAAATATTATGAGTACTTTTTTTTAATGTAATCTAAATAATTCACATATAAAGTGCTCAAAAGCAAAGTATCACTGTAAATGTTGGAATTGTATTTATGTTAATTTTTTTATTTAGCTTATTTAGAATTTAAGCCAACGATTGAACAAAAATTAAAATGACTATGACCTATTTGTTACATACATAGATAGAATTGACTTGAAAAAATTTGAGCATTTATATCGATATTAAATCGCACTTTTTGAAAAAAGGTTTTTAAAATTTAATGATAATGGTTAATAATTATTTTAGTTACTTTTCATAAAACTTTTTAATAAAATTCATTAAATGAATTGTAAAACTTAATGAGACATTTTTTATTACAGAGGATCACGATTATTATCGACGCAAACAGTCAAAGATGTCGAATTTAAAAGTCACGATAATATCGCTGGAAAGCCTGTTGTAAGCAATATCAGTATTCCTTTGGCTCCAAAAGTACGCGATTTTATTGAAGAAGCCGTACGACTATGTCGACCTGATAGTATTTATATTTGCGATGGTAGTGCGGTGGAAAATGAAAAATTATTAAAGCTAATGCAAAGTAAAGGCACTATTGAACCACTCAAAAAATATGATGACTGGTACGTTTAATATTTTCATGCCATTTTAAGAATAGAAAAAAAATTGTTCGTAAAAGAGAATTTAAGAGAGTACTGAGTACTAAAATTATTTCGTATTTTCTGAAATTCAAAAAAAAAATGGATTTGGAAATGCTCATTATGATATAAGCATTGTCTTTCCCATAAAAGTTTTTCCTATCTAATATGAAATTTATTCCAGCTGGTTAGCTCGAACGAATCCTGCTGATGTCGCTCGAGTCGAAAGTAAAACATTTATCAGTACTGAGAATAAAAATGATACCATACCAAAAATCCGTGATGATGTGAAATCCACTTTGGGCAATTGGATCTCCCCAAATGATATGGAGATAGCTATTTCAGAACGTTTTCCAAATTGCATGAAAGGTATTATGAGTTCGCATACCATATTTTAATTTAACACTCATCCACAAAAATGTGTTGCAAGCAACAGTTCAAACTATAATGGAGATAATCCTTTCATTTCGAGTGTTTTGTCTACTGGAATAATTTTTAGTTGTCACTCAAAAAGTATAAAGCATACAATGATATGATAAGACGTAGCTGATTACGTAAAATTTTTTTAATTATTATATTTTTTTGCTTAATTTGGTTCTTTTGATGAACAAATCCAAGTTAAATATTGAGCTACAAATCAGATTTTTGAATCGGGACTTCTGGTTATATAAACACATTTCGTCAAAACAATAATTAATATTTCAAATTATCTGTATTTTATGTTAAATTATTATGGACTCATATATTTATATTCATGCAGGTAGAACAATGTACGTCATCCCATTCAGCATGGGACCAGTTGGGTCTCCACTATCTAAAATTGGGATTGAAATCACTGATTCAGCTTATGTAGTTAGCTCGATGCGCATAATGACGAGAATGGGTGAAAATGTGCTTAAAGTCTTAGGTAATCAAGATTTCGTAAAATGTTTACATTCAGTTGGAGTACAAAAAGCCAATTCTAACGCCAAAATTTATGAGACTTGGCCATGCGATCCTGATCGTACGATTATTCTTCACAGACCTGCTAAAAATGAAATTGTTTCTTATGGTAGCGGCTACGGTGGAAACTCATTATTAGGAAAGAAATGTTTTGCTTTGAGAATTGGTTCAACTATCGCAAGAAAAGAAGGATGGCTTGCAGAACACATGCTGGTGAGTTTTGATATAATACGTCGCTTTAGTTTATAAATCGTTCATCGTGACAAAATGTTCAACAAGCAACATAGTTTTCATAAAATGTATTATCGCACACATTCAAATAACATTCACTCAGCTCTTTAAATTCTATGACGCAGTATTTGCTAATAATCGCAGATATAATTTTTATTATATAAGAGAACTTTTCTTAACGTATGTTTGTGTTCTACAGATTCTTGGAGTTACGAATCCCAGTGGTAAAAAACGTTATATTGCTGCCGCCTTTCCAAGTGCCTGTGGGAAAACTAATCTCGCAATGATGCAACCAACCTTACCAGGCTACAAAGTCGAATGTGTTGGTGACGATATAGCCTGGATGCGTTTCGATGAGCAGGGTCGATTGCGTGCCATAAATCCGGAAAATGGCTTTTTCGGCGTAGCACCTGGAACGAGTAGCGCTACAAATCCAAATGCCATGGCTACAATTTTTAAAAATACAATGTTTACGAATGTAGCAAAGACTGATGATGGAGGAGTATTTTGGGAGGGCATGGAAAAAGAAATATCCCAAGATGTTCAAGTAAATAATTCTTCATTATTAAAAAATGTATAACTATACACCATATTTTTACGCTCACTGTTTTTAATGTTGATTAGATAACGGACTGGCATGGAAAACCATGGGTCCGTGGTTCTAAAACACCTGCTGCACATCCCAATTCACGTTTTTGCAGTCCAGCTCATCAATGTCCCATTATTGATCCAGCTTGGGAAGATCCCAAAGGAGTTGTAATTGATGCTATATTATTTGGAGGTCGCAGACCAGAAGGAGTACCGCTTGTGTATCAAGCACGGGATTGGCGTCATGGTGTATTTATTGGTGCCACTATGAGATCTGAAGCCACTGCAGCTGCTGAACATAAAGTAAGAGTTTTGAATGCCCTTTGCCTCCATTTGATAAATTACTAATTCGACTTTTTATATTTAGGGAAAAGTAGTAATGAACGATCCATTTGCTATGCGACCATTCTTCGGTTATAACTTCGGTCATTATTTGGAGCATTGGTTAAGCATGTCAAAGGTACAAAATGCTCGACTCCCAGAAATTTTCCACGTTAATTGGTTCCGAAAAGGTCCAAATGGTTTCTTGTGGCCTGGTTTTGGCGAAAACTCACGAGTCTTAGATTGGATTTTACGTCGCATTGATGGAGAGGACATTGCAACCGATTCACCAATCGGATACATTCCAAAACTCGACTCCCTCAATCTCAAGGGAATAAATAATGAAATTGATTTGAAAGAACTCTTTAGTTTACCGAAAGACTTTTGGCAAAAAGAAGTAAAAGAACTAAAGCAATATTTGAATGATCAGGTTGGAGAAGATCTACCCGCAGACATTGTACGAGAACTCGAAAAATTAGAGAAAAATGTTTCTAAACTCTGAGGAGCAATCTTTAAGTTGATTCAAGAATTTTGTATTTGTTGAATAGAAGTTTTATATTGTATTTTTATATAATAAATAAAATATCACAAACTTATTTTTCGAATAAAAATATTATTTAAATAATTGCACAGGTACAAGTAAAAACAATTAATAATGATTTTAATTAATTACTAAGCTCTGCAACCTCATTTTCTATAATGATGACCTACATCATTTTTCTTATTTATGAGGTAAATATAATTCAAAGTGTGAATCAGTTGACACTGATGTTCAAAGAGTAGCCATTATAAATACTTGCATTATAAATACGCACATTAATACTTATGCATTAGTTACATGTTCAGTTTCAAAAGAGGGTTGGGCAGTCAAAAGTTATTTTAAATATTACATTATTAATACTCTTGAATCATTTTAACAATTTTTAATCAATATATAAATTTTCGTTTTAACACTGTTGAGAGATGGTACCATAGTCATCTTCTATATCGACTGAAGAAGTAAAATGATTTTTTGCTGTTGGTAACTGGTACAACGACGGGTAATAAAAGGTATAAAAGCCAAAGATTGCTCTTTATTATTAATAATCCTTTTTTAGTAATATATTAATGAAATCATATAACTTAGGTTTAGGGTGGTAGCGTAATTTATACATTTAATCATTATGAATTTTATGATTTCAAATAATAAACTGTAAAAATTGTAGAAAATTTTGGATATCTCTAAAACTTTTCAAGTTTCTCAAACTTGCACAGAAAGATCCTTTTTATGTAAAAAATTCTGTTAATTTGATTCTGAGCCGAGTTAAATATAAATATGAAACCACAATGTTAAAAATTATAATTTATATTTTTCGTTTGAGTGAAGAGAATAACTTACCCAATGTAGGAGTGAAAACTATTAAAAAAGTACACGGAAATTCTTTCACGAAATTTTTTAAAAACACAATCACGATTTGTAAAAATGATATAATAACAATCGAAAGAAAATTTTTTCAATTTTATGTAAAATTTTATTCAGTTCATAGAGGATAATAAATAAAAAATCCATGACAAAAAATTAAAAAGGTATTGGGAAAAGTCTACCTTAAATTTCAAAATTTCTCTACAGATAAATAATAAACATCCCGTAAACATACTTGAGAATTATATTGCTCTGGCATTGGCCTTATAATAAATAAGCATGTAGTGTTGTCTTGGTTGAATTAATATCTATTTGATGATTGACTAAAAATGTGGAATTTTTTATTGAAAAAATCTGTCTAAGAATAATTGAATAATATAAAAAATTTATTTTGTCACACTTCGTGTTCAATTAAGTTCAAAGTTACAATATGATTTTTCATTATTCAACAAACTGTAACGTAATACAGACAAGCAGTATTTTTACTGGATTATACCTATATTATCCATATACTAAAAGATACGTTTTAAACAGCTTCGACAGGATTTTCTCATAAATTATTTTTAAAAGCTAATTTTTTAGAAGTCGTTAAATATTAATAGCTATATAATTGTATCAATCATTTATAATTAAAAAATGTGTTCATGAGAATTAATTCGACTTTTTAGCATTCTTTCATACAAATCCGATTATATTTTTATGATTACAGCAGTTCTTATTTTCTCGTATTTCTGTTCTATCAGACTTATCAGATTATCGTTGAATATACTTCAACTAAATTGAATTACCCTACGATTTTTTTCGATTCCATTTCCTTAATAAATTAAATTTTTTTGATTTGAGTTTGTATGATCTAAGTGAATTGATAATGTATTGACAGTTGTCAAAAAACTAGTGCAGTTTTTTACCTCTGGACAATTAATCACATACATTTATGGAGGATCAATCATACTTATTATACTTATAGTGGAAAAATGGTAAATTATATATGATATTGCTTTAATTACCATTATGCTAGAAACGATAATCACCATTCAAAATTATATGAAAAAAAACCATTTATAATAAATAAATAATTTAATTTATAATTTCTTTATGCATTTGATTTTGATGTTTTAGAATTATTATTGAATTGCATAATGAATTCAACATTTGATCCAAACGCGCAATTTTTATTCCATTAGATAACGCACATAAGTTAGTTACCTTATCTCTGACAAAAGCTTTCACTCGTAAAACTTGATTTAATCGTTTTCATGGTTCGAATTATACTCTGATATAAATAATTTTTCCAAAAAATTATGTTATGTAAAAATTTGTAACAATTTGAAAACAAATGAAATGACGGAGTTTTTTCTGTTGCAGCTGGGTAAATACTTATACCAGGCTGAAGAACACGTGTAAAAATTTTTCCGATCGATTCTTTGTGTTTTTCAAGCTACTGGATTCGTTTAGTTGAAATTTTACAACATAAAGTTTTAATGTTTAAAAATTTTTGTGAAAGATAGTATTTTCGCGCAAATTCTAGTTATAGTTTGAATAAGCTTTGTTCCTGATAATTACGTATCATTTTATTTGATTCACTGAATAAAAGTTTTACTTATTTTAATAATTTCAAATAAAAATATAATTTTATTATATTATAATTTATTTTAATTAAGTAAAAAAATAATAATAATTTGTTGATAGTTGTTCAAAAAAATTGATTACAGCTTGTATTAGCTGATGCATTTCTATAGCATCAACAACAAGCTGAGTTACTATTTTAAGTGACTGAAAAATAACTGGAAATTAGATATTTTATTAATAATATCTTACTTAACATTTTTTTATGCACGATGATCATACAAAAAAACAAAGGTAAACTAGATTTTATCTGTATGTCTAATTCTCACTACATCTATAACTTTTGAGGTAAATAATTAATGTCACACATTTACCCTAATTTCACCTGAATCATCTCAATAGATTTCATTTTTTAATCCATATAGTAGCAAAGGTATTATATACCTGAAAAAAATGATTGTGATGATTATACTTTATAATAGCATTTTCTGCATCTTGTTTTCACAAAAGTAAATCATTTTGATAAACTATTTGTAATCCCGTAAAATTTATTTTCATTGTTCAATTAATATTAATTTATTGTTCAATTTGAACCTGCGATAGAATGTATACTTTTGTATTCAAAGTAAATTAAAAATGCCTAATGTAGAAGATATTATTTGTGGACTAATTATAATTTACACAGCATTTTTAATATTAAAAATTGTTTATTCTTTCTTAGAATTACAAGAATGAAGTTTTTAAATAAATTCTAGAAAGTAATAAAATAAACATAGACGTTAGACGAGTAGATATTTCTTGGACCATCTTAATCATCTCAGCTGAACGAGTGCAAGAAATTTATAATTCATTCCAGAAGTATAAAAATTGCAGTAGCTAATTAAATTTATTGACCGAGTATCGTGTTTTAAATGATCTATATAATTGGAAATCATTTTGTTTCTTGGTGTTCGGCAAGGTCAGCTGGCACTCGAGAATCGCGTGCTACGTTATATCACGCGTGAAACATTATTACTCACGCTTAACATGCGTATTTCTGTATTGACTTATCATTTATTCATGCATCAAGTTCAACTTAAGTCTCTCACCTATGGAACTTTTACAATTATTTGATTTGGCTAGGTACACCCTCGTGAAGAAACCGATTGGCACCAATCAAACTAATATTATTAAATGATTTGATTTACTGTCAATTTTTTCGTTTTTTGAAAAATTTATAATTTACGATTATTATTTTCAGAAAAAAGAATCACTGATATGAAATATAACATTGATAAGTCTCATGATGCATATGCATCGTTTTTTACTCGAATTTTCGGCTTAAAACAATTTATTTTTATTGCCCCACCTTGAATCACAAGTTTAACGTTAAAGAAGCACAAGTAATGAATAAAAAGTGAAAAATCAAGATAAAAATTAAAAGCCATTTTGAACATCATTCTTGCATTTTAAAGAGTCCCATTCGATTCTTTTTTATCCATTCTATTTAAAAATAATTAATGAACATTTGTGCATGTGTAACATACCATGAAATTATAAGATGATACTTAACTTGAATTCATTCCCATAACTATTTAATTATATTAATTAGTCGAATTATCTGAAAACTGAGTCATGAATTATAGACATGTAACGTTGAGAAAATTTGAAAATAATCATTCATTTTTTTTTGGTCACTGAAATTCTTTATGTATGCCATTGTCAGTTACTGTATTCAAGGATATTCAATTTTAGTGTGCCTGAGTTCAATCAACCATTGAATCATATAAATGATTTTTCCACAAACGCTGAATAAAACAAGTATAATTATGCAATTACAGTTCAGTACAATTATACTTTTGATAATAACAATTTGAATGAAAAAAATGCACCAGTAGTTTCTTTTATATCATAATTTTATTTACTTGTTAAACACAGACAATATCCTGGATAATATCCTAGTCATATTTAATCGTGTATCTATTGAAGTTCTTTGTTTCATAAATTGCAAGCAATTTTATAAGCGTACTGCTGTAATTCTATATTTTTTATAGATTAACTTATATGTTTAATCTTTATAAATAAAAATGTAAAACAAAAGCTGTTAGTGTTTTCTTATAGTTGCACATGTGTTGGTTTACACCAGCACTCCAAATATTATCAAAAAAAAAGTATCCTGGGTTTTTTTACTAAATATGACTTGCATAATTCTTTGTTCCGAAAAATATAAACGCAATTCGCGAAAGTTCATTAATAATAAGTTTTGAGGCGTAAATACTGCAACCTTGGCAGATGACTAGAAAATGCCACAGTGTAAAAAATTTTTTAGTAAATGCACGCGTTCTTATAAGTTTAAAGTATGTACGAGAAAAAAAAAATAAAAATGTGATACATCGGTTGATTGGTACGACTACGCAAATACTCATAAAAGTCAAGGACAATTCTGTTCATTATGACATCACACACTTCTTAATAACAAATGCTGATCAAGTTTTTTGCTCCTGTCTGTATAATAATACGTTTTTTTAATATGTTTCTTGAGAAAATGTTTCTTTTTTACCTTGCAACAAACTGTGAGATATAGGAATAACGAAGGACATTATTTTACATACAATCGTATAGTGCATATTGAAATATATATGTGAAGATATGTATAACATATTTTATGAATAAAATAAATAAACTGTATTATAAATATACATGCATCAAACCATAAATTCATAATGTTTAACTTACAATGAAATTTCGTTGTTAATTATTCGGTAAAGAGTTATTATCTGAATCTTGATTTGTTTATTATTTGTTAAATAGATCTGGAAACATTGAATATAAATCAGTTCTTATTATCCCATAGATTTAAAATTTAAATTTATTGATCATTCAAGTACACGTTTGACTAAAATTTTGTTGTTCAATCGAATTTGCATATTATATGGGCTGGTATATCCCAATATAAAATTTCCGATGTCCGTATGATACTCTGTAAATATTCCATAAAAATCAAATATGCATATAAAATATTCCATGGATCTTCCTCTTCAGATTCAAAATTTCACCGTATGATTGTCAATGATAAAATTACTAATCAAGTTAATTACTTCAGAGGTTAATACAAGATTGATTATACTTTTTCTGTCTTATTCATTTCTCGGAACTTCAAGCATCCTTTTTTTATTTTTATATTGTCCAATAAAATTGTTAACATTAGGATTTGGTACTTATTATAAAAAAAATTATAATCAAAATTCAGAAATCAGAAATTATATTTTTATTGACAGGGGCACCCGAGCGTATCGGCACTGACCCATAAATACACATATATTATTTTATTTATATTTAAATTTATGATCATTATGATCATTAATTGTGGTTATTTAGTTCGGAAAAAATTGTATTGTACTTTATAAATGTATACCTCGTATTACTCACTGTTCGTCTAACTCAATACAAAACTAATTTTTTTTAAATGGTATTAAAATTTGATCTTGCCTAATTTAACTTATGTTTTTACCTCTTGAAATATAGACTTTGAACTAGAGAGTGCATATTCGTAATAATACCGGGAGCAAAGTACTGTTGAGACAAGAGTGACAGGAATGGACAATGGCACGAGACATCACTGACACAAGAGCCTCTTTGTCATCGTGTTGTTGACTGGATCGTAACATGATTTTTTGAGTAGCACGTTATGATCTGCATATAATTGATTTCCGATTCTATTATTTGCGAAACAAGTTTTTTCATTGTTAAGATGTTTACACGTGCTAAATTGAATATTAACTATAAATACACGGATGGATATAATTAGTATTGAGGATTTTTGAGTAGAATGGAATTTATTGATTAATAAATGTCTTGAATAATTATTATGAATTGTTTTGTAATAGACCTGAAGAAATTATCACACTTTTTTACTGCAACTTTTATTTAAATTGTGTTACTTTTAGGGCTGTGTACTTTTGACACGTAAATAAAGAAAACTCATATTAAATGTAAATTAAGCCAAATTTCATTCTAGGTATCACAAATTTTACTTTTTAAAAATGCTAAAGAATACACAGCTAAAAAAATGTCATTGTTCTCTTTTAAATATACGTTTGAATAACTTTTATCAGGATTAGCTACGCCATGCGGTGTGTGCAGAGTTTTGATGCTATTTTACATTGAAAACCACCTTATAGCTTACAGTAATAATATGATATGTTTATATTTCATAACAAGATAATAGAGAAAAGGCAAAAAAGAAAATGTTATATTCTCGTTTTATATCATCTTCCCTTATTATATAAAGGAAATGTAACTATTTATCAATCATTTTTAATAAAAAAATACTTTTACTGCTAAACAACTTATGAGGAAAAAGACCAAGTACCGCCTTAAAAGAATTCTTGTACAAGGAAAAGTAGCCAAAATTAACTTGTGGGTTACTTTGTTCATAAATTTATGTAGTCGTTAAGAAAATGGGTTATTCTGTGATTACCTCAATATAATCAATTCATATGATATAAAATCCAAAGATCCGAAGACATCTGATAAGAATTGAATTCTTTATAATAATTTATAAGTTTTATACGTCTACGATTTTTTAAATATATTCTATACAATTGCGTCAGTAGGCGATGTCCGTATAGACCTGTTAGCGATGACGCAGACTTGTAAAGTATAACTGTAAAATGCGCACGAGCGTGTAGGAAAATCCACGCACGATTTGTAGTTTTTTCCCAATTGCAGTTACGCACATTCATTTTTTATATTCACCTTTTGAATGTTTCTTCCTTTAAACACGTTTTACTTGCGTATAAGATGATTATTTGTTCATAATTGTTAATTTGTAACTTTGATTTACTCACGAGGATAACATGAATCGATGTTAAATTTAAAAAAAAATCGTTAAAATTAGAACGGTTACAATATATGATAAAATAAATTGTAATTGTACGAGTTGAAGTTAATTGAATTGAAAGAAATGTGGGAGTTCACTTAGCTTACAAAGGTGGATTTAATTGAACGTAATGGAAAAAAATTTATTGACTTGATAATGTTGGGGGCTCGACTCATTAATAACTGATTATGCAGATACCCGTGACAGATTCTTGCAACAACCGAGCAAGTGTTTGACGATATATTAACAATTTATTGAATCCTACATTAACTTATAAATTGAAAAAATACACACGCGTACACGCGCACACACGTGCACATAGCACGCACTCACTGCAGTACCCACATTTTTCAATGTTTTTCCTTTATTCATCTGATAAGATGTAATAATGTCTTTAAGGAAAACGACGAGAAGTATTATTAATTTTTGAATTTAAAAAAAAATTAAATTAAAAATAACTTTGTTCGAACTCCTTGTAAAGTTGATTTAATTTTGGACGGACTTAACGAGGATTAAAAATAAAATTGATACAACAAAGACTAATGGTTCATTAAAATGAAAATAAAAAATGGAAAATAATTTTGATATTTGTGAAAAATTTCAGTTTGATACTCGTTAAAAAATTGGAATTTGAATATTTGGAGACTGGAGTAACTTTTTTTTTGGTATCTTGAATACAGAAAGCTTTGATTACTTCGAAATTTCATTTATTAGACTTTGAGTCATGAAAAGTTGAATCGAGCTAATTGTGGACGGAAAAGATAAAAACTCCACGGCAGAGTAATGTGGATATAATATCGGTGCGATAAATCAACAAGATCAGTTGTTTTTTTTTTATTATTATTATCATTTCAATAAAAAAGCTTATTGATCATTAAAAAAATGCAATGCGCTCTGCAGCCGAGAACCTGCGCTCGGCGCGCGATAATTAAAAACAGAAATTTTTCAGCAAATAATTATTAACACAAAGAGGTATCGTTACATACGTCAACGGCGAGCCCCTTCTGCATGCGCGCTGTAAAAAAATAAAACTGCCTCGCATGTAACGACAAGGTAAAAGTGCCTCCCGAGATATTACCGCGAGGCAAGCTTTGAGTCAAAACACCTGAGTATATACCTTGCATGGCATCGGAGCTAACTTGCTGCCGCTGCCGCTGCTGCTGCTTCTGCCTTGCCACCACTACACCAGCTTTATAAGCCATAAGTGTATTCATTCTTCTCTCTTTTTTCGTATCTGGCCGCGCGCGCGCGCGCGTAAGACAGTGTGTAAGCACGCCGTGGCGTACGTGAGCACGCGCGTGGAAAATCAGAGTGAATTAATGAATATGACTGCTCGAGGTGGGGGCACCCCTGACCCCGGTGCGAGTGAAGGGAGGTTGCGTTTATAACGCGCCGCTAACCCGCCCCAGAGACGCATTCGCTCGTTGAAGTTGGCCTGGGGAGCCTGATTATATTCAAGAATTCGCGGCAAATTCGTTCGGCCACATTGTATTAATATTGTCATTTCGACTAATCACAAGTGCACACAATTAGCGTCGACTGCACTGCTGCAAAAATTAATCTCGACAATTCTCAAGAATAAACGCAAAACTTTCGGTCGCTCATTTTTGACAAAAGCAGGCTCTTCCTTGTGAAAGTATTCGCTGAATTTGAATTCGAGAAATTATAGTGTCAGTTGACAGTTTTTGTTTCATACATTCGAGAAAAAATAGTTAAATTTCATTATTCGAAATGGCTGTAGCTGCTGCACAAAAAAATCGCGAGATGTTCGCCATCAAGAAATCATACAGTATCGAGGTAAGTTTTATTCGATATATCGAGTGATTGTAATTTTATCATACTAAATAAGTTTAACTTTTTAAATTCAGTTTTTTAAACGGTAAATTTACTTGGTTTCGGAATTTTTTATTTCACAAGAAATTATTTGAATTTTAAAATATGTATAAACTCTCTTCCGTTACGAGACTTAAAATATTCTTACCGATCATTAAGAGCGCTTTCTTTGGACCAGATAACTCAATTCCGCTCAAAACTTTATAAAGGCTAAAATTTTGACATTTCATTTTATGTGTAATCTTTTGACTCACGAATTTCGGCTAAAAAGTACAAAATTACTAAGGATCGTTGTTTTTCGTGAATAATAATAATTATTCGAAATTGATAGATAATTAGGAACTAAATTTTAAACCCTTGCTACAAATACAAAATAATACGAACTAAGTTTAAATCGGTTGTGGATGAATGGTTATAGGGCTGAAGTGTTAAATATAATTTAGCAAAATTTTCAATTTTATTTTCCTTATGGGATACATTCGAAATTTCTAGGCATTGTTTTTAGTGAGTCACACAATAAATTTGAAGAATGATTTTTGAACCAAATTCTATTTAAATGAGAAACTAAAGTAATTATTTCAGATTTAAAGAAAAATGACTCATTGAAATTATGCATTTGCATTTCTCGACAATTAAATTATTCGATCACCGACTATATAATACAATTAAGGGATTCTTAATATACTCGGATTATGTGGTCGAAACAAGCAAATTGTTGAAACATGTAACTGAGCAGCAATTACAAGGCAATTAGTTCCGGCGCAAACTGCACGCGTAGCACACACATAGTCACGCAATTTTTCTCTATATCTTTTTCATAAAACGCACGAGCGCGGATATCTCTCACTTTTTTCGATTTCTTATTATGAAATCAAATTGGCCTTGTTCTATTCATAATTATGGAGTTACCGCATACCGAAGAAACTACTCGTGTGAGTCCTGGCGACTAAATGCGTGCGCGCGCGAAATCTATATGAAAACCATTAGAATAGCGCACAGATGTATAGACGATAGTTTACCTTGAGCGCGTTGCCTTGTTCCTCATAGAGTAGCAATGGATCGTCACATTGGGGATCCTTGCTCGGGCTTGGAGGCTCGCCCCCGCTTTGTTAATAAGTAATCTTGTTACACATCGATGATGTTATGTCATTCATTAATAGGCTGGCTTTTTTCAAACCTCATTACACGATTAAAATAGATATGCATCTTGGAATACATTATAAAAAATCTAGACTTAATCTTTTACAACGTTAATAGTTTTAGTAATTAGTTAAACTCGTTCTTTAACAATATGGCATCTGATGATTACAATGCACGCGGCGATTGGTATTAATTATGCTATCAATATGTTTGAAGACGTAATCTCGTGCATAGTGTGTGTGCATTATGCGAAAAAATCTATTCGTTTACGGTCAAAGGAATAAATCGTCTTGCTTTAAACATGAGCAAAAAGCAGCGCCACATAAGCCTGCATACCGGAATAATTGTGTCAATGCTACATTACAAAGCAAATGGTCTTATACGCGCTTGCATAATCCGAACCATTTTTCTTCTGTACGGATGAGCTTTTACTTGCTGCGATTGAAGGCAACAGTTATTATACGCATGCACGCCTGTTTAATTACAGATTTTTTTGCTTAATGAACCATGATCGTAATCTTCGCGTCATTCTTACTTAACTATCGTATAGGAATCGAGTCGCGGCCGATTCGTAAACAAATAATAGATCAACAAGCGCAAAAGATTTGCTGCTCATTTACCCACAATTAAGAGAGATCCTGAAGATTATTATTATCGTCGCTTAAATGCAACGACAGCAATGCTTAAATGTAAATAATTTGACTAGGCTTTTGGAATTGGAGCATATTTCTAGACTCGGTCGCGATTATTATTTCTAATATTCAAGAAATCAGTTATTGTGATTGCGATCGGATATATAATTATTACTTTGACGCGATGACGCGTCTGCACATTTTAAATCAAGGCTGTAAGAGTTGTGACGTCAGACGGAAATTTGATTCAGAAAATAAATAAAAAAACAAACAAATACCGACCGAGAAAAAATTGAATCTTTTGCGCCTTCTTAACAACAGATATCCTTTTGAAGGATATACGTGCATACTCACACAAACAACACGTACGTCGCAGTAATTCCGATTTCAAATTCACGGGAGTTTCCTTTTGTGTTCTTTGAACTTTACCTCAATGGAGAAACATTAACGCAAGGAAATGATTCATCTAACAGTACTATACACGGCTTTAATTATCTACATCGCGTTACCTCTATTGTGCACATTTAATCGGATATCGAAAAAAGTTATTCCTTTTCTTTCGACGAGCTGCGTTCTCAAGTTTGTAAAGGAATTAGAAATTATCGAGCCAGAATGAGAGCTTATACAAAATCGATAGAAATTAGTTATAAGTTTTATCCATTGTAATCTTCTTAATTTTTATTTTTACATTTCTAATTAAAATTGTTTCATTTGTCATTTGTTTCTCAGAATGGATATCCAGCCAGACGTCGTTCTCTAGTTGACGATGCTCGATTTGAGACACTTGTTGTAAAACAAACCAAACAAAGTGTACTAGAAGAAGCACGCCAAAGAGCTAATGGTAAGGACAAATCATTATACATACTGTGTACTTTGTGTTATCCGTTTTTCAAAATTTTAAAATTTCATTAATTTCATTTTTTTAATGTTAGTCTAAGTTAATGTTATGTGTTCAAAAATTTTCTATTGGTATTTTAATAAATTATTTCGATGTTTTTTGATGTAATATTGCATGAAATAAGAATTGAAATTATTAGTTTTTTGTAAAGATGCCATTTTCGTAACGCTTTTTTCAATGTCAAAAACTATTGAAAAACTATTGAATTGTAAATGGTCGTTCAATTTATGGGGAAAAAAGTTCAATTTCAAGTTTTTCATTTCTATATCAAACACTCCTCACTACACAATGGATGAAAATGATCCAAGAATTATCACTTTCTTTATGATTAGTTTTATTTATTTTTCTCGTCGTACTTACATTTTGTTTATTTGGTTCTCATTCATCAATTAGATTCACCTGTAGATCAATTGAATCCAGACCCAGAAAAAATGTCTGATAACTCATTAGCGTCATCATCTAGCGACGAAGAGCAGCAAGAAGAAACATTGGCTTGTGCTGCTCAAAAACAAGGTACGCAGGTGTCACAGTGCAGACGACTGTGTCCCTATTCATTTCATGAATTTTTTTTTAATTTTACTATGGCTGTTTTTTATTTGCACGTGCATGAACGTTTTTTGATATTGTATTTTTAGAAGCCAAAGCAGAAGTTTCATCCGATGGCGAGGAAAAAAGAGACGATGGTGAGTGTTTGATGTTTAATTGTCGCGAAATAAAAACTTTTTATTTCACATAAAAAGTATTTATTAGATACTTATAATGCAATCATATAATGCACTGAAATGCCTGTTCTAAAATTTCTAGTATTTTTTCAAAAGATTCGATCTCAAATATTGCGTATTATTCATGATTTTCTTTGAGTAAGACTTGCTACTTTAACTCACTTTATCAATTATCTTAAATGAATGTATCATTTAATTATTTCTTTCTTCGTGAAATACATTAGCTCAGTATAACTATGTAAAGAATGATGACGCAACGAATCTTTTTGTTTCAAACATTTCTATTTCAAAGCTACATTCTCAGATGCACGTTATGATTTACCATAATTTTAGATCCTAAAAAATAGCTGGGATACGAGCGCAGCATTCTAAAATGCAGTATATAAATGCTCTCGCACTCACGCCTTGTGCTTCTATATTTTCAAGCGATCACGTCGCAATAGAAAGTGGCGTTGGCACTTTATCTTTCTCCCGTCCACTTTCTCATTCTTTTTTCTCTATTACCCTTATTACCTTTGATGCGCGGAAATGGATTTGAAATTGCCATAGAGCGTTATTCAAGGTGGACAATCTTCTCGGCACGAACAATTCTTTCAAGTCTGAAAGTATAAAGCTCTTAAATCTTTTCTATTATTCTTTATAATATTTTTAGTTTCTTTTCAAGTATAAAAATTCTGTATAATTTAATTTTAAGTATCACAACTACTTGGAGTTTTATGTTATTTTTGGAATTCATTGTTAATTTTTATTTAAACATTTTTAGACTTTGGTTTGACTGAAGAAGAAGTTGTCCTGTCCCGTACGATTGCTGAAAATCCCGATGATCAATCGATCCAAACTGCTGCATTGATTCTCCGTATGCGAGATGGAATGAGTATGCTCCCACGCATTCTCAAGACAATCGAAAGTTTCAAGGGTCAAGTTGCTCACGTCGAAACACGATCGTCCAAAAATGAAGGACAGTACGACGTTTTGGTGAAAATCAATATCACTCGCCAGAATCTTGCCTCGTTAATTCGTAACTTGCGTCAAGGAACATCTCTGGGAGGCATAACTCTCCTTGCTGACAATACAAAAGCTGTTACTGTCAAAGATCCGTGGTTTCCTCGACATGCTTCCGACTTGGATAATTGCAATCACCTTATGACCAAATATGAACCCGATCTGGATATGAGCCATCCAGGATTTGCCGATAAGGAATACCGAGCTCGTAGGTAAGCAGATTCGTCGATTGTTTTTCGATTAACATATTTGTTCTTAAATTGCAAAAATTATATTTTACGTTGTTAATGCACGCGAATTAATGTTTTAAAAATCGTTTCATTTCAGAAAATTAATAGCTGAAATTGCTTTCGCTTACAAATACGGTGATCCTATTCCTCATATTCCATATACCGAGACAGAAAATGAGACATGGAAGCGTGTATTCAACACATTGGTAGATTTGGTCCCGAAACACGCTTGCAAGGAATATCAGCGTGTGTTCAACAAACTTATTGAGGAAAAAATTTTCGAGCCTCATTGCGTACCGCAGCTCGAACAAGTCAGCTTGTTCTTGAAGAAGAACACCGGATTCACCCTCCGCCCCGCTGCTGGATTACTTACCGCTCGAGACTTCCTTTCGAGTCTTGCTTTCAGAATTTTCCAAAGCACACAATACATTCGTCATATCAATAGCCCATATCACACGCCCGAACCGTAAGTATACTCAAAAAATAATTTTATCAATTTTCTTTCTTTTTTGTAATTATGAGATATTATTTGGCGCGATACTCGGATTCATTGTTGTTATTCGCACTTCGTTAAATGAAACACTGATAGTTGCGAGCTTTTAAAAGCGTTTAGTTAAAGCGAACAGACTTGCCGAAGTGACACTCGAGCGCTTAAAGTGAAAACAGCGGTAACAGAATTTCCGTTCGCTTCTCTAAGCTTGTAATGGAACTCTAATTGGCTTTTAACGATACAGTAGCGGCTTTAATAACTCGCTTTGATGCAGTGTTGCCCATGAAATTTCGCGAATATGCTACACGTAGCGACGAACGTAGCATGCAAAATAACTAGCAAAATTTTCGATTGAAATTTTAATGAAATTATAACTGCGACAATTTCGTCTGCAAGATGTACCTATAGTTTCTTGATCCTTTTCGATACGTCTACGGAACTAACTGCGGGTAATATTTTGTACAGAATTATGCTCATATTCTATTTTTTATTGTTGCAGAGATGCTATTCATGAACTTCTTGGGCACATGCCGTTGCTCGCCGATCCCAGCTTCGCTCAATTTTCTCAAGAAATTGGTTTAGCTTCGTTGGGCGCCAGCGACGAAGAAATCGAAAAACTCTCGACCATCTATTGGTTTACAGTAGAATTTGGTTTATGCAAAGAAGGAACAGAAACTAGAGCTTACGGCGCTGGTCTACTTTCCGCATACGGTGAGCTTTTACACGCTCTCAGCGATAAATGCGAACATCGCCCCTTTGAACCATCAGTAACTGCTGTCCAGCCATACCAGGTTTGTGCAAAAAAAAAACATATTTTAATTGACAATCTTCAAAAAGTGTAATTGCAATAAAAATGTCATTTATAGGATCAAGATTACCAGCCAATATATTACGTCGCTAATAGTTTCGAAGACGCGAAGGAAAAGTTCCGTCGATGGGTAGCTACGATGTCGCGACCATTCGAAGTCAGGTTCAATCCACACACCCAATCGGTCGAAGTACTGGACAGTCTAGAGAAACTCGAGGGCGCCGTGTCTCAGCTCAACATCGAGTTGACCCACCTTACAAACGCCATCAATAAAATGAAGGTGTCGTTCGCGTAAGGATTCCCGGTACCGGTGACTTTGAGTCCATCTGGTACCGCAGATAACGATGACAACGATGACGCATTATATCGTTACGACGATTATCGAACCAATGATGGGGACCACAAGTACCGGTATTCCAGTAATACGGCCAATCGTAGAAAACGCGCGCGTTTGCCATGGCTCAAGTATAGGAAGCAACTATGCCATGCCCTTTGAAAACGTCGTAGGCAAATTTCCTCTCTAGATATGCAATGGCAATATTTATCCCGCTTTCTTTCAATAAATACGAAAAAATGAGAAGAAAATTGTCACTCGAGTATACTTATGATAGAACAGTTAGCCAAAGGGTATATACAGTATCGTTATTTCAAGTTTATGTATATCACGTCGAACAATATGATTCAATTTAAAAATGCCAATATGTAAAATTAGATGATTTCTGAGATGAAATCGATATTTATTGATAAACATTGTTGTCAAAACAATGTTTATTATTAATGTAGGTAGAATAATGTATTCGTAAAAAGCAGTGACAAAATCAATACATGAATTCAAGACAATACTTCAAAGTAATCTAAAAAATATATATCATATAAAATTGTACAGAATAATATATCTGTGACAATATCGCAATTGTTATATATAATTGCAAAAATATTACGATGCAAACAAAAATAATTTATGATAGCCTCATACATAAATGAAAAAAATTTATCAAACAATGGTTAATATGTTCTGTTATGCTGCTTTTTTAGCGGGTCGTTTCGTTAATGTTAATATTGTTTTTTTGCATAAAGTCCTTTGTATAAAGTACCTCTCTGTTACTCTATTTTTCATTTTCAGCTATTTTCTCTTGTAAAAAAAATTTGCATGGGTGGTAAAACGTGCGTGACTTGAAAGTATTATTAGCTTACAAATAAGAAATGCTCGGAGATTCAAATAAACGTTCTAAAACTATAATCATTATCAAATTACGTCTGCCTAAAATTTCACTTTTTTCAGAACCTTAAACTTTCTCTTACACTGGCTCTCTTGATCACTTACTTGAAGTTTCAAGTATATACTCTGAGTAAATTGCACGTTTATTTGCTATTCGTTGTATATTTAAGTATTGCGTATATTTATGATATAATTACGTAATATGACCTTATCTTTCTGTATTTAAAAACTTGTATTAGAACTATAAGTATTAATGTATTTCAATTGATAAATACTATATGAAAATGTATATCTGTCAAACGATTTAAATAATTTTATTTCAAAGATAAAAGTTTGTGATGACGATTATAAATAAACTTATAATAGATTAAATGTTGAAACAGGATTTATGTATTATCTTTTCTTGCAATTTATCTATTGAACGATTTTACTTCCCATGATACCTGCAATATTTTTCTTAGATTCCCTAGAGTAAATTTCGTGGAGATTTAATATTTTGCTATAAAAAAATAATTTTTTTTTAGAGCACTAGACTGACAATAAAAACATTTTTTTTAAGTCGGGGTTTGAAACTTTTGAGGGAGCGTCCTGTCGATTTAAAAACAAAAATTTTTTTTATTGTTGGTCTATTAGGGCACACTCATGTAATTTTTCGGGGGACTTACAAATGATCTAAAATCCTGAAAAATTAGTGTCCATTAAATTCGGGTGTGAGCTTAGAAAATTTAAAATAGTACATGTTACATCTGAAGCTGATGAACCATCTTTTTAAGACAATATGTACTGCTAAATTTGGTTAAAATTTTAACTTTTCGCCATTTAAAAAAAAAGCACTCAGCGTTATTTTTTCTAAAATGGCAAAAACTAAAATGGGTGATATGAATTATACCATTCAAAGTCAAATTATTGATGTGCCACGCGAAATTCGCTTCAAATGTTCTTAAAATTAAATTGGGCACGAGCATAGCCCATGTTTATATTGTATATTACTTTTTTTAAAAAGCACGTATAAGTGGAAATTCTACTTGATTTTACGCAAAAACTATCTTTTCTCATAATTTGGCTACAATTTACAATAGGGCCTTTTGGGATAGTGGGATTTTATTTAAAAAAAATCGTTAAAATACTAAAAATCGAATTGAATTCTTCTTCAGAGTGTAAAAGGCTCGGGCAACAAAGCACCCCACTCAGTAGTATTTATTTTTTAAAAGCACGGGATCTGAGAATTACTTCTGTCTAAAGCTTGATGGACCATTCGTTAATTAGAATTTAAAAATTAAAAGAAGCATGAGTTGAATATGAGAATTTGTAAAAAGCACCATAAATTGGACGTTTTTTGTATGAATTCGTGTTCGTGTACCACTAGAAATTGTTTTGAAGACCAGAAAAAGTTGAAAATTTAACATAAACATTACCAGGAATATCAATTATCAAGTTTTCTCAAGATTATAGTGGAGTTGATACAAGTATAAAAATCTCGCGAGATTTACTCATAAATTGACTTTTTTATTTCCACTAATTCTAGTAGACGAAACACTGAGAGTTTAGGGGCGCTGCAATATCGAACGAATTAAAAGTTTCCTATAGTTTTAATAATATAAAAAAATTGAATGAGCTTTGAATGGAGCATTGAAAACTATATGAAAAGCTATTCACATTTCCAAATTTTCCTTTATTGTAATTAATTGTTTCTCTTATAATTACAAAGTTATAAAAAGAAAATTCACATTGAAAAGTGTACATTATCAACTACTGTGCGCAATCACATTTGAAATTCATAAAAATTTTACATTAAAATAATATTGATACAGGTATCAGTAAATTATGTTTCGAACAATTTTTACGGCTTTTTCAAAAAAGTTTATAACTTTATTGAAATTTAACGAAGTTTACGTGGGAATAACATTTCAGCATATTTTGCGTAGTCTCGTTGCAGCAAAAGGCTGATTCAAGAAGAGTAGGACTCAAGGAACAATTTCGAGTTGGCTCAATAGGTTCGATATTTATAATATCATAACAATTAAGTTTTTCCCTCAAAATTAAACTTCTCTTATAGGAAGCTCTACAGTAATTTTTTTCTTTAAAATACAAATTAATGTAAACGATATGAAATTTGATTTTTATCATTTCTTTTTTTTTTTGAGAAAAATACGTTAGTGAATGTATGAATTTTTTTTATAGTGTATTAATCAATCCATAATTTCTCGCCATTTTAATACAATTAAATTACAAATTTCGTGGAAGATTATATGTTTTGATCCTATAAAGATTTTAATTTCTTAACTACTTTTGTAATTTTTAAAGCTTTTATACAGCAACAACATTATTAATTACATTGAAAAGGTAACTGAAGCGAGATATACAGTATAAATACATCATAGTACTAATCTTAAGGTGACTTGAGAAAAACGAGGAATTACAGATAAAAATAGTATACTTACAAGTTCATGTTTTATTTTCACAAAGCCCGTGAAAACGTGGCAATGGCGACTCAATTACAACTTTTTCATTTCAAGTGCGAGCTATTAAATGATAGGTAATTTTAAAAATATTCACAAAAAAAAATATTTTTCACCTTTCCCCTTTTGTAAACTCTTTTAAATGAACAAATTTCATAATTAAAAATAACTTCAAGCAATTTTTAGTTATTCATAAAATTTTGTAAAATTTTGTATAGGATATTTTTTTATAGGATTATAGTATTACATTTAAAACTGTACATTGATTCTAAAAAATACATGATAATTCAAACATTCATGGGAACATGAGAAAATTCACAAGATTTTAAAATAACTAAAAAATTTGAGATAATTTTTATATTTATAATATATTATTATTTATGAAAAAAAAAATTACAGATACAGTTATACTGTTTTTAAATGTACATATTTGAGAATTTTAAATTTTATGAATTTCTTAAGAGCTCCTAGATACATGAAACTGTATATTGTAATAATCTTGTACGAATAATTCCATGGCGTAATTTTAATTTTAATTTTGAATAGACTGTTTGACGGCCGAAACAAAATTTTGTTCAGAACAATGAAAAAAATTTGTTTAAATTCAAATTTTGACATATCTCTGAGCCCTTAAGCTCTAAAAATTCTATAAACTTTGAAATTTTTATAAACTCATACGTAGACTCCAAAATCTGAACATCTTAGTAGTGTATAAAAGTTTCAAAGAGTTTATTCAAAATTCTCCTAAAAACAATTTTCGTCAGATCTCAGGTAAAATCTTAAACGATTCCTTACTTTATAATACAAAGAGAGTTCTGTGTAATGGAGCAAAGATCCAATGAACATTTTTTTTCACTTTAAAAATATTATTATAAACATTTACTACAGTATTTTTTCAGTTCAGGTTACTGATTTAAAGAAAAAGCCCCAATTTAAGTGAAACCAACATAGATCATTAAAAATTTCCTTAGATTCATTTACAATCAAAATTACGGTCAACGCAATTATACATTTTTATTTTCATAATTCATCTTCAGTGGTTTCGTAGTAAATGATCAATCATAAAACTGCAAGAATTTTTGGTAAATATCTAAAATAATCACACATATAGTAGAATTGATAGAAATATATAAAAGTTTTAAAAACGGGATAATATGTAAACTAATTACTGTTTTCAGAAAAAGAATCACATTTTAACGATGGAATGTACGCTCCAAAAAATTGAAGTTTAAACAACAAAAATTTTGTTGGCGGAAAAAATGCAATTTGTTTATAGAAAAAAATTGAGATTCGTTGTTACAAGTTACAATCAATGATTTTGCAGGATAAACTACGATTTTTCGTGAATATTTGTATTTACTTTAACCCCTTAAGGTTTTGATATTTCTAATGTTATGGAAAAATCACACAAAGTCCACATTATAAAGTAAAGAAGTAATAATAAAAATAAGCATATTTGTACAAATTGTACGTACAATTTTTTCTTACGAAAGTCTAAATTTAGCGTCAAAATTGCATCATTAGATTTGAGTGAGAAAAAATTGTATAATAATCTATAAATAATAATCATGATATTGTAACATTTAAGATTAATGAGTAGATCAAAAGAGGAAAAAAAATTGAAAAATTATCTGATTGACTGAAATTTTATAATAAACATAAAAAATGCTAGAAAGAAAATAGATTGTATCAAAATATGTATTATAAAGTTATGAATTTGTTTAAAATAGATAAAATAATGCACCAAGCAATCCTATAACATGTATAAAAATATGTTATTTTAATCAACATAAAAGCATTCTCCTACTGGATTTGGGAACCCTTACTATTCTAACATCGACGTATTTTCTTAAAATTATATCTTGCATAACTCAACCAATCGATTTTCACCTAAAAATCCTATAAGATATCATCTGAGATTTTATTTAAATATACGAATATTTTCTCAGCAAGATTCATGTCATTAGAAAATAAACCATTGCCAATGTTCAGATTTAGTAAAGTCTCTTTTTACAAAACGTGCAAGTTTTCGCAGCTTTTCGATTTGCTGTCACGTCCCCATACTTTACCCAAAAGATTACGCACTTTAAGACTAGTACTTATTCTGTTGCCTCTAAATTTCTTTGGTGAACTAGTTTCTGAACATGAACCGAAGGGTGAACGACTGCGATTGCGTCGTGATCGACGACGGTATAAGTCCCGACTTCGCTCTGGATTCTCTAATTTCAGCCGGATTTGCGTTAGTAAACCCACTAGTAGTTCATCTACATTATGATTAAAGCTCACTGACGTTTCGATGAATTTACAGTCATATGAAATTGCCATAGATTTTCCTTCTGCAATAAAAATCATAATCAATTAATGTAATGACATTAATTTTATTACATGATCATAAATATTTTTTCAGTTGAAATAATCACTACTTCAATCTTCGAATAATTGATTTTAATTGTGAAATTTCTTAAAGCTATGCCAAGACTTCCTGTTTTTTTCAGTTTACTAAAACTGTTTAATTTGGTTTAAAATTTTTTTATGCAAACGTGTTTCAAAGTAGCTTTTAAGCGCATTGTAAAAATTGGGAGTTTTAAAAGCTTTTATCTCAAGGAGAAAATTGTGAAATTAAATCGAGTAACACTTTACTCACCCTCTGTCGATACCAAGCGACTTCTTTCGAGATCGACTTTATTTCCAACGAGGATAACTGCTCTAGCAGGTATGTGATCGCTGCGCCAAAGATTTTGAAGTGCTTCTTCGGCTACCCGTACAGAAGCACGGTCTGTTGTTGAATAAACAATGCAGTAACCATGAGGTTCATATGAAGATATGCAATTTTCGGGCTGAAAAGAAATCATATTAATTTACTCTGAATGTGATAAATGAAGAGACTTCAAGCTAACGAATGAATGCAATTTTGTAATATAATGTTAATATAAGTGGCATCGACTAATTTCGTCAATTGGCATTAAAAAAGCAGACATCAGATGTAGATACTATTTATTTTTATAATTAATAATGATGCACTTACCGTCATTTCTGAATAAGGATGATCAACAAAAGTTAGTTCAGATTCATCACCGGCTAACAAAACGCTGACAGTTTTTTCTCCAGATTCGTCATCTGCAGCGTGAAAGGATTTAAATAAAGACAATATTGATAATTTTGAGAATTTTTTGAAACAATACTTGATAAATTCTGTCGCAACAGAAAAAATCTCATAAAGTTTTTTTATGAATTTTTACTCACCAATAGAAGTATCGTAAGCATGTAAATATTCCGACGTCATAAACTGTGATACAAGAGAACTTTTCCCCACTGACGAAGCTCCAAGCATTAACACTCGATATGGAGCTGGACCCTGAGAAGCACTACTTTCACGAGAACTTGCCAATGAACCTGCTGCAGAATTCCGAGCAGAACCCGGATACGAAGCAGTGAGATGTTCCGTACTGAAAATGATTACCAAAAAACAATTTTATCATACAAATTTTTTGAATAATAAATAACTATTATTCCTTTTTATTTAATTCTTGAATCGATTTGCTTTTAAAAATAAATTCTTCATTATAATTTTTTTAGAACTATTAGATCCAAATACATTACCAATAAAACATTATTTTAATTATAAAAATTAAGTTCTTGGTTTCATTGAAAATTTTGACAAGATACCATTAAATTTAACAGAACAATTGCACTACTTTTTATTAATAATAAACATATTTTTACGTCTAATTATACCATACCGTGAAGGGCTAATTTTACCACATAGTATTTCTTAGAGCTACTGATAATAGAATTTATACACACAAAAACTGAATGCCAATTCTCATGTGCCAAGTTTGTTACAAAAAAAAACTTCAAATTAGGTATTATTACGCAAAAACTTGATTTAATACATAGATAATAAATAAATCTTGTTATTTCATAATAAAATTGTAGAAAAGTGGAAGTCACGACGATTCTCTGAAGTCAAACACGTGTATCTACGTCCACTGCTGGTCACACGTAAACTCACGCGTTCGATCCAGAGCTTTCATCGTATTCAATTTTGCGTTTCCCTCGACGTGTTTTGAAGTTGAATACAGACAGAATCTGCATAATCAGCTGCTGATTTTATTTTAGTTGATGTAAGATAAATTTCAAGTCTATCAACGATGCAATTATATTCAATTTTTAAATAGTTTTAAATAACTACATTACTTGGAAAAATATGAAATTTGATTGAGATGGACAAACGGACTTTCTAAATTATCATACATGCATTAGATTAACTGTACAATCAAGTCATAGCAAATATATATTAATGTTAGTTAATAAAAATTCAATAAAAAAAATTGCAAAAAAATTACAAGAAAAATTCTCAGAGAAGTTTCCAGAAAATTTTTTTCGCCAACAATATCAGATGATAGTTTTCATGAAAGCTTAAAAAAGCTTACTGAAAGCTACTGTTTCAACAGCTTGCCAAAACCTTTCAGAGTAGCTTACACGATATTAATCTAAAAGTGCTATTAAATCTTGTAGTAAGCTATTTCTAAACTTGATGGAAAATGTTTAGAAGGCTTCCTCAGCAATTTTCACAAAGGCTCTTAGTAGTTTTCTGAAAGGTTTGAGATGAAACTTTCTGAAAGATAAGTATCAAAGTTTCGACGAACCTCCAAAGAAAATTAATGCAGAAAATTACAAATAATATTCCAGTTCATCAAAGGCTCTTAGAAAGGTTGTAACGAAAGTTTCATACAAATTTGAAAAAGCTTTCTGGAATCTTACGAGTGAACTGTAATTTTCATAAATTGACGATAGGTAGCATATACATAAATTTTTAATGACTCGCACTAAAATATATTGGGCCCACTCCTTATTCTTTGAAATAAGATTTTCAAATGTTTTTTGCGTGAATACTGAATTAGGGGAATTTATTGGGAATTTTAAGTTTCCTGAAAGCCTTTCAGTAATCTTTCAAAATATTTTCAAAAAACTTGAAAATAAGTTGTAAATGAAGTAGGAGTATTAATTACATAAGAGTAAGCATGCACGAATGACATGAGTGGTTTTACAATAAATTTATAATACTCTTCAAATTATCGATAACTTCAGCTGAATTATTGAAAGCACGTTGCCTCATCTATTGTGCCGCATTTCGGAACATGTTGAGTCTTCTCAATATAATAATCAAATAATGCAGTTTACATCACGACATAATGTTTGGAAAATAAAACAAAATGAGATAGAATTAAATTTAATATATACCTGGAATTACTTGAAGCTACACTCGTATTCGATCTTGACCGTCGACTTTTAAGAGAATCACCACGATTAACGACACCTTTCCCAGTTATACTGAAATGTCGTAAGAGGTAATATTCTTCTTCGACGCCTGTATTAGGCATACTCGCTACACGCGAACGTTGTTGAGGCAGGCATAAATAATTAGGACGACCCGATGATCTACTTCCCGAAGCACGAACTGATTGTGATCGACTGTGATGAGGACTACCGTGTCTGAAATTTTAAAAAGTATTTGAGATATCTCGAAAACAATTAAAATTGTGGAATAAATTATTAAAAATGAATTAATTTACCTCATTTCAAAATCATGAATATCTTCCAATGTCAGCATGTTTGTTCTATCCATAAGCTGTTTAACACTTTCCTCGCGTGTTTTTGAAATGCTATCAGATGACTTTAATAATATTGTGGATGCTGGACTATCTAAAGAAAGAGAAGGTTGTTGTACAACAATAGTTGCTTGGGCTGCACGCTTTGTACTTCCACTTTGTCCTGAAAAAAATTCTTAATTTAAGTTGATTTTCATTTCAAAAATTACAAAATATCTATAAGTACAACAAAATACTAACTTGAAAAAGTATTGGAAGATCCAACGGAGAAAGATCCCACACTCCGATTACGTCCTTGCAAATTATTGCTTGTTGAGCTATCTTGACTGTTCATTTCCTGGTTAAGTGGCAGATCCAACGGATTAGTAGTCACATTGATATTTGGTTTATTGTTGGTAATTGTGGCGTTAGCATTAGTGGTCCCAGATATATTTTCGGTATTAGTGGAAAATTTATTATCAACGGTAGAGGTTTTAGCGCTACTGGTCATAGATTGTTGTTGTTGTTGATGGTCCTTTTTATCATTAATGATCGAAGCATTTATTACATTATTAGTGCTTTTATTAATTTGAATTTGCAAATTTTCCTTTGCCACAGATATGGCAGAATACAAATTCGGTTGTGTTGCATCGGCTTGGCCTTCATCCATAGAACCTCCTACAGCTTGGCTATAAAATAAAAGTACCGTGAAAAATTGATGACATTCCTTAAAAACTTTAATTAAGAACGTTATCTATGTCATAACATTTCCACATAATCTGTAATTTTTGACAATAATGACTAGTTTTACTTTTTATACGAAACATTTTAAGGAGATTTCTTTATAAGTTTTTATGGGTCTTTTTCGTATACTTTACGCGTTGCTTTTTTTTCTTTTACATGTTCCGATATTTCATATTTTTGAATATTTTCTGAAAAATGATCATTCGAAAGCATTATTACCTAAAAAAATCAGTTGTTTTGAGATCTGGCAGGGTGGGTATTTTACGATTTTGGTCCGGAAATGTGAATCTTGATTCTTGGTGCAACCCAAGCATAGGAGTGGGTGGTGGCACACCAGGACTATCAAGACCATTAAAATTATTATTTGATGTCATTGGTATAGAACATTTTTCATCGTCATCCGATTGAATGGCGGCCGTCACAGATGCAACGATTGATGAAAATACAGGTATAGTACATTTTTGCTGAAACAAAATTATTTGTGATTACAAGAAAATCGCGCATTGAAAACCTCTTTTAATTATTGTAATAATGTAATTTCTCTATTACTTTACTAAAAAATCTTAGTTCATAGTTTCATACAACATTTGAATATTATTGTTTATTTCATGACAGTTATACGATCTTTATACGTAAAAAAATAATATGAATTTTATTTTATACATTGCATTTTTAGTATTATCATATATTGCTGCAATTAATTGTATTATAAAAGAGTTAGCTTTATTTACCAGCATTGCTTCTTTTAAAATTGTTGCATCATTTTGGTGAGTGACAGGGGTTGCGCTAGTTGTGTTTACTCTAATGGTTGAAGCTGCATTAAAAACTTCGTTTACTATTGGGGGTGATAACTCAGAGGGTACGTCTATTAAATCCAGGCTATCGTCATGCTGTTCACCGTCTGTAGTTGTCACCTGCAATTCATTTTTTAACTCAATTTTTGAAATCCCTCGAAAATGTCAACCTTATTAGAATTTTTCATAATTAATTTATGCGTTTATCAAAATACTAAGGATAATAGTTTTTGGCAAACGGCGAGCAAATGGATAATGAAAAACGTTGCGATTAAACGTAGTTGCTTTACCATAGTGACCACGGTATTGGCACTGTCGGTGCTGGTGTTGACAGTATTTTCCGAAGTAGTACTGGATCCCATGATGACAAGTTTGGGAACCGTTCGACTACCGCCCAATGATTTGAAATGCAAGCGGCGTAAAGCCGAAGCTGCGTGGGCAAGCAGATCACCGTCGCGCGCGTTGAATCTGTCGACATGACGATGAAGATTTTCACGCGACGATGATATGATGCCAGTAGCACCTTCAGCTCTCACGCTGCTCTTTTTCGTTACAGCCGTCACACAACATCCTTTGGAACCACGATGTTCTGGACATTCCTGCAAACAAATCCCAAATGTTTCAATATTTACACTATAATGGATGAGCTTCATCAATAAAAAATGTTTCGTTGTGATAAGAAATTATTCTATCGAACTCTTTTTTTAATTATGTATACCGATAAATTATGTACTTTTAAATATTTTAATTCTTTCGAAGTAAAACGTACGTGGTTTGCATGATCTGGAGTCGATGGCGTTTTTGGAGTATTGGGCAATGAGCTTCCAGATGATGTGCCATGCCGCAGCCGCGCTAAAGCCGTACGAAGGCCCTCCGTCACGAAGCTCTTTAATTATTCTTTTGACGATCAAAGAGTTCACTACTTATGCTCGAATGGACTGGACTGTTTTATTGTGTACTTCTTAACTATGATTATGGAAGTTTTCATTATATGCCATACAAGAAGTGTTATCACAAGTAGCTTGGATATCTAACACCATTGAAGAATCTAAAAAATATCGATTATGTCGTAATTAACATTTTGGAGATGTATTAAAAAATGAATTAAATTTGAATATTTGATCGGTTTTTCTGATTTTCATGTTATGATAAATTCCATCAGTTAATTTCGTGAGCCAATCTACTACTGCGCATGTTCAATTTTTTACTGCAGTTACTTTACTACCCTTAGCGTTAGCAATAAAGATAAGGAATAATGTTTCTCATAATTTACTCAGATCGATGAGTTTTTGGGATGTATCAAAAAAGTAACTGGACGTTTACGGATGAAAAATATTTCTACATATTTTTAACTATATACACCAACCAAATTATATAAGAAAATATTTTATGCTAATCAAAACAAACCTTTATCAAAATCGCATTTTACTACCGATAAATATATATCGTTTTCAGATGTGTCGACGTAATATTTACAAGAGGTAATATTGATCATTTTCTTTTTTATAATTTATTGATGAAGTTTAAAGTAAGTAAGCTGAGGTAAAAAGTAAAGCAAAAACTTAAAGCAAAAAATTATCATTATTATTTTTACAAAAAAAACATTAATACTCAAATATTAAAATATTTCTTATTCTTTTTTTCACGCAATCTTAATGTTATATCGAATACATATTATTTATTATTTAATATTATAAAAATTAAAGTTAAAGGTAGCAAATTATTGATGGTGAAAAATAGAAAAAGTTCAAGGTAAAACTATATTTTTTATTTATGAGTCTTAAATAATAATAAAAAAATGGATGAAAACTTTTTCAGCTTTTCTAAAATAAATTTAAATTGTGAATATACAATAACTGGTCGTCAAAAATTTCAATAATTATAATAACAGTCGAATCAAATGATCAAATGATCGATATTGAAAGTAATCTAAAAAAAATCAAGTTTAATCATTTGATGAATTACATTTCCAAGTACGTTACTGTAATTGCTGTTTACATCTATCGTTGGTATCTTGGCAAATGAATAACTTTTGTAAAATACTAAGCACGTACACATTGTTCACCCTTGACAAGCCAAAACAAATTATATTTTTACTGCGATTATGCTGTCTAAAAAGTCAATAGTGACGTATAAAATGTACATCTAAATATTACCAACATCGACTTTTACACATTCGTGGAGAAAAAAATAACGATAATGTGAGCTCTCAAATTCCGGAAGTAAAAGGAGTGCGCATTTTAATATTTTTATTTTCATTGCAAGCGCAGTTCAACAAAACCGTGAACTCGAGATGCGATATAGTCACTAACATAATAACTGATCTGAAACCTGAGTAACGAAGATGATTCATTTTATTTTATGCGCAAGCGCCATGTTTGTTCTACTTCGTGAAATAGATGTATGTGTACGTCAGGGGTAGTAATGCAGCGAGGAATAGCACGCATGTGCTGAGCGTGAGCGAATGTTCGTTGTTATACAAAACTAAATAATCTATTCTACAATAACAAATTAATTGAAACACATTTTTTTAATTATAAAAAAATTATTTTCTATGTCAATTCATATTGTAGAACTCAAAAAATATTCGAAAAAATTGTGAAAAAATGGAAACATTTATCTATACCTATGTGAGCGAGATATTCTCATTTTATTAAATGTTTTTACTTTTAATTTATGTTAAGTAATTTACCAAAATTTCAAATTAGAATAAATAACAATCGAACACTCATCGATTACATTGTAAAATATACAACTACTAAAGTCTAACATTACTAATTATACACAAGTATCTTCATTAAAATTAAATAAAAATATGCCTAAAGTAGACTATAAAAATATCGATAAGCATCCATACATTAATTATTTATAATTAATCATGTTATTCATTAATTGATAAAAAATTAACTAATTAGTAAGAATGAGTTAAGCAGTAAATTGTAACGTAAGACATGTTTATACTTGTTTTTACAAGCAGCCATATTGAAAACATAAGTTGCAGATTTTAAAGCCGCAGCGTGCATATATCGCACACTAACTAAACATTTTCTCTAACCTCACATTATGTGAAGATCGTCATTATCATATATCACACAAAAAAGATAATAATTCTAAATTTCCACAGTGGTGGATTTATTAGGACATCTCACCTATAATGAACATTTGTGGACATGGTCCTAAAAGCCTTCACTTTGCTTAAATTCTAAACTATGTCATGTCGAAAAAGACTACTTACAGCACTAGTATGTTACACTACTTTCTTCACGAATTGTGAATATATTTCAAGACTCTCAAACATTAACGAATGAATTGTACCATAAAGATGTATCGATATCAGAAATGAAACGCAATTATTTTGGAAATCATGTACTCAGCTCAATGTAAATTTTTGAGTATATTTAAATTATAATTTTTTGAAACAAAAATGATTTAAACAAATTTAAATGCATTTGAATGATTATGTAACAAAGACATTCATTTTAAATAAAACTAATATCTAATATAAATAACAAAAAAATTTAATTTAAAATGAAAAACTAAATCGACAAAATATATAACAAAAATATATATTCCATCAAGAATATCAGCACAAAAATCGAAAATTCTAATCACAAATAATATACGTAACTCTTTACTTTTATGTATAAACTGATCGATTTGCAATTTAATAATAGCTATATACCCATTAAATTTTAGATTGCTTAGGATAACATTAAAAATTTAATAAATTAAAAATTCATGTTGACCACGTAACAGCGTAATTCATTTCTAATTTATAAATGATTTCACGTAAAAGTAAAGAATACATTTTTCGGACTGCTAAAAGTCTTACAAATAATTGCCAAATGATCATTACCGAACATAACAATTTACATTACTTACATTTTTTACATAACAAAACTCTTGCAATACTTAACGATACATTGTACGCATATTTTATATTGTAATATAAAGCATCTAGTACGTGTTAATTGTAATATTCATTTTCAAAAAAAAACTTAGTTTTATTAGATAAACTTGAAAATTTGCAGATATTAAAAAAAATAATTGTCGTGATATTCGGTGCTTATAGAGATTTATTCCGACAATTCTATCCGATAGTTACTCTGAGCTTTGAACTTTATCTATAAACACTCTAACAACGCAAAATAAATTAAAACGTGCATGGTCAATCACAATTACCTTTTGGCGAATTTCTTAGTATCCAAAACTGGATCCTTAAAAACGAACGATATGCTTCTTAATTTTTCAGAATTGATATCTTTAGATTTTACTCTTTTATACGGACTATGATGTATGCATATCAAGGAACAGTTCACATCTACCTATACTCCACTAGTTGGACGATCTGACCTCGCGCGCAGGCGGGTTGAGTGACCGTCGTGTGATACCACACTGCACTTTATCGATTGCCGTGCTACCACGTGGTTTTTTCTATAGGTATTCTCTTAAAACAATGCGCAAATGTACAAGCCACAGCTTTGTCGAGTCTCGCGTCAGACTGTCGGTCTTAATCCGTCCGAATTGTACTGCTCGTGCTGCACTACCAACCAAATACACGTTTGGCACCGTTTTCTAAACAATTTTCAGCCCCAAATAGTTAAAAATATAATTTCAACACAATATTGTCACATGTATCATTATAATTCCCATTTTTTGTATCTTTTAATATCAATTTTTTCAATTGAAAAATTATTTAAATATTTGTTACAATTTAAATAAAATTGAAAAAATGTAATGAAAAATGGCTCAATCTATATTTTCAACATTTCTCTCCCCTCCATAATTTAACGGAGCTAACTTTTTTCGATCCACTTAAATAATTTTAAATTATAAAAGAAAATTTAAACATAAGTTTGGTACTTTCAATGGTAATATGCTCATTCCAATTGAATTGTCAAAAGATTTTTCTAAATACCGGTTAACTTTCTTTTTATCTTTAAATCAAATTAGCCGAATTTTATATTTATCTGAATATTGAAAGATGTGAACCAAATTTGATACTTAAATTTTTCGATATTTTGGATTGGTTATTTCTGCGAATATGATAATTGAATTATACCTCCAAAATTTAAATAAACTGTAGTAATTTACATAAATGACTTTTCCTCCACGCTATGAGATCATTGTAAAAAATGGGAATTACTTTTCTTCAAGCCTCTGAGTATTGAAAAGTAAAAGTTTTATTCATAGGATTGAATATGAAAAATTTTCACATTAATCATTTAAATTGCTGAAGTATTCATTTCAAATTATAAAATAATTTAACACTGCATTTAATTTTCATTGCACTTTTACATTAAAAACTGCATATTTTCAAAGAGTAAAAGATAATATGTAGAAAAAAAGGAAAATTATTGTGCACATTGAAAGAATGCAATGATCTTTCTATCTATGTTGTTTTATGTAAAAAAAATCTATAAGGTTTTACAATAATTTAACAGTTTTGTTTGTTATCAGACTTTTTCACATATATTAATACTGTATTAATATATTATTAACATTTTTTACATTAACATCACAAATCAATATAAAAATAGGTCCATTTAATTTTTATAAATCTTAATTATAATATATTCTCTTAAATATACTACTAATTTTACATTAATATAACTACTGCACTTTCATTTATCATCATAATGTTGTAACACATCTGCTAAATGATCATTATCTCTTGGCTTTTTCGGTGCTCTCTTTTTGTTGTTTCCTTTTTTCCTCTTGACTGGTGCCATTTTCTTTATACCATGATCTTGCATTGATCTAATACCTTGTTTTTCCAAGTATTCAGTCATTTTAGCATCATCCACTGCATCAACTGCTACTGCTCTCCAGAGTTTTTGAAAATCTTCATCTACAGGAAATTCAGCTGTCCTATCTTTGTAAAATATAATTTGTTTCTTATCTTGCGGACGAACAATGGTGATGATATCATTTTGAAGATTCTATAATAAATTTTAAAATTGATTTTTAGAATTATAAAAATAAACTGTAAGAATAATTATAATATATAATCATTTACCTTCAAATGTTTTTCAGAATGTGGTAAACTTTCTTTTATATCTTCCAACATAATTCCTCCTTGTCCTTTCAGGTCATGTTGTTTAAGTAGTTTCAATAATGATTTTTTGTCCTTGATTTTGTACATAGACTTGAAAATGTATTTTCCATCATCGGTAAGTTCTATTTTTGGATTTTGAGGCAAAGCTTCATTTTCAAGCCATAGTTTATTCTAAATAAAACATTTGATATATTACTAAAATGTAAATTATTGAATCAACAATTTGAATTAAAATTGAAATTTCAATTCAATTCAGATCAAGAAAATTTGATTCTATTGTCAATATATTTACTATTGTTGAGACAAGGAACACTGTAAAAAACAATTGAATAATATACAATAATTAGATTTTACAAATTTAGGCATATTTTTAATATAGCTGTTATTTACTATAATGCCTTTGCAATAACCATACTGATCCAAGTCATAAAAAATTAGTAAATTGCTCTGATAGTAAAAGGGAGAAAAAAACAGAAAAGTTACAGAACATATTTAATTTGTGGCAAAGATAAAACTAATGCCAATGAGCACCTGCTCTGGGACATTCTTTTTTCCTGGCTTAAACCTATATATGATATTTCTTATCCTGCAGCCTAAAAACCACTTATTTTGTTTGTGCAGCAGAAAGAAAATAATCACTTTTAGGCCACTGGTATGAAAAATATTTTTTATACATGAATTTAGATTCATTTCGAACAATTTAACTCAATAGGCTAAAATAACAATGACAATGTAATTTCTACTCACTCTGGATCCTATATCAAGTTGACTTGTTTCATCAAGAATTTCATCTAAGCTCAAAGCATAATCATCTCCGTCTTGATGTCTAGCTTTCATATATTGAACGATTTTTGCTAGAATACCAAATCTGACGGTGGAAGCACTTGTAACATTTTTGTATGAGTTAATATCAACTTTTGGTTTAGATGGAATAACTGGTTTGGGTTTTTTTCTAAATGATTCATCAGTATTAGCTTCTTTTCCATTTTTGTCTCTTTTCTTTTCAATGCTGAAATAAAATTGTATAGAGTTACAAAAACTTAAAACTTAGTCATAGTAAAATGCTCATATAGAAGTGGAAAGAAAATTTTAAAAAATATTTGACTTATAATTATTTTTTAAAACATTGGTTATACTTGGACATTTACCAAATAACAACAAAATTTGATGAAATTGACCAAATGTCTTGAAAAAAAAATTTATACACTCGTAATTAAACATTCTTCAATAAAAGTAAAAAAAAATAATATCTAACATTTATAGTAGGCTGAAAAATGTATTTGTATTATTTTTTAAATTCTAACCTAGGTGTTGCAGCAGCTCGCTTTTTGAAAGCTTCGTGTTCTTTAAATAAGGCTGGATCCATTTTATTAATTATCACTTAAAAATAACTAAGAAGCTCTTTTTTCCAATTTTTCGCTGAGCTTGTCAAAAACAACGTGTGTTTAAACATGCAGTTATAACTTGAACTACAAATGTCAACACAATACACGCAAGATTCACACGACGTGGTGACTTACACTGTACACTACCGAGTACTGAGCCGCACTACAGACAGAGCGCAGTGATGAACTGAAATAATGAGTGAGCACCAGATCAGCGACTACAATTCACTGTTTACATGTAAAATGCTCACTCGGCTCAGCAGCGAAACTATTCAAATTCTTATGTGTCTATATCGATGCATATTAACTCCAAGTAGATGCTCGCTCATTCAGAAGAGTAGCATGTTTCCATTTAAATTAACAAATATACGTCTCTACCGTGGATAACGTCGAAATTACGAATTAAAATTTTTCTGCAATTACATAAAAAAAAATTTATATTTACATAATGCTTTTTCAAAATGCTTATCAAAATAGAAAAACTTTTGAATCATTACTTTGATTTTTATACATCACGTGGGTGTAGAATATTTTAATTAATATTAATATTTTCCGAAATAATAAAATTAAAAATTATAAAATAATATTGTGGTCTCAGTAAAAAATTCGTCAAAAAATGTTATGTTATTCTTCGTAACAATCTGTCATAACAAACACGATAATTTAATAAAATGTAATAAAACTGGTCGACTGGATTACTTGTCCGATATCGATTGTTAACGATAGTAATTTTACACATTTTTAGATTTTATTATTGCTCGTAACTTATTGAATTTTTTAAATATTTTTAATACACTTTTTCCGGTAGGAATGATGCATAATTGGGTTTAATTTTTTGGAAAGTTTCGATTACTCGAAAGATTCAAATTTTTTATAAAAATGTCTTTTCATAGAAAAGCATAATTTGAAAAAAGTGTATAAAAAATATTTATAATTTTAAAAGTGAATGTTATTGAAGATTAAGCTTACATTATGAATCTAAAAACCCAACAGGGTGAAAAAATCGACTTCAGATAGGTTTGATGAACTATACTTAAACACTAGATCGCATAAAAAGCATTTGGCCAATTTTTATAGCAAAAAGTATATTGCCGGTAGCATATGAATATTTTTATATGGCATTTTAGCAATTAATGAAAAAATACAGATAGAGCAGCTTTATAAAAGGAGGGTGAGGGTGGGTTGAGTTGATGCTGAAGGCTTGATGGGGGTAGTTGGCTTGTGCGGATGCTGCGCACTATGCTCTTCCCGTTCCCGTGAATATCCAGTTCGTATCGTACTGCTGTGAAGTACAGTATGATACATCTTATTATTGATGAATTTTTATCTTACATTTGATTTTGTAGTAACAAATTTTATCTACACTATACATTTTATAGTTAAAAATGGATAATCAAATACGTATGAAGTTACGGCTTCATTTTTTCTTATTTATCAAATCGATATAATCGCTCATAATATAAAGTAGTGCAGAATTAGTGTAAATTCAATAATCTTTGGAATAAAGCTGCAGAATAAAAGCTATTAAAAGCTAGACTGAAAAAAATTTAAGATAATAATGATAAAAATGAATAACTCACCAGATTTACGGATGAAAAAACTGATGCTTCTTTCGTGCAGCCTCGCCCTCATATACATTGGGCAGCCCGGGTTAGCAGATAAAATATCAGTTGGTGAGTTATTACGTGATGTGGTTTTATTATATTTAGTTGCACTTTTGGTGGTTCGCATTAAGGCTTAAGCTAGCAAAAAAAGAAAGTTATTGGAAAATTGAAGAGATACATGTTCATAATAGTTAAATTCAATTTCGTAAAAATGCTAATTAAGGTGTTGAAAAAGTTGAAAATATTGTTTCCACTTGTCAAGTTGTTTCATAGAGTTGATTAAAAAAAATAATAACGATAATTAATTGAATTTAGTGGCTGGTATACGCACCAAACCCCTAAAACATTTCAAAAAATTCAAAATCAAATTTATAAACTTTATTATTTTTGATGTCTGAGTTATGTTACTGTCTAAATTAAATTTTATCCGTGCAAAAAATGAATAATAAGTTTATTTATGATAATTAAACTTTTATCAGCTATACCTATAATCTCCTAAAAATTTGCTTCGAAATACTGAACGCATAGAAACTATTTCGAATTCCCTCCAAGTCAAAGTAAAATATCTTAATTTTGTACTAGAGAATGTAAAACATCTCTTTCTTTGTTGAAGAAAATACACGACGCCGGTTACTAGATACGGTTCCTGAACATCTTCAGATCTCAAGAGATTTTGAAAAAGTCTTGTTTTCGTCTTGCGCGTCAATATGTTTTAGTGGTGAATAAACAAAATATCACTCGAATGGAATGGAACTGAGGATCATCAAATTTTATTAAATTTGATAGAATTTAAAATTATAAGAGAACCTCACGACCATTATTAATTTTTAAGGACCATTCTGAAATTAACACAATTAATAAAACTTTAATTATATACAGCACCGGTAATTGGTTTAAAAATGTTGTTGTATATTGCTCGCTAAATTATCAATAACTTTTCTAAATTCTAGTATCAAATAAAAGACGTAAAGCTGAAAACTAAGTAGATTATTTTTTATACCGTAAGTATATTGAACGAGTCGTACTGTGCGGTCAGTACTACCGTAACTAGTGGGGACGTATTTAGGATTTAAATTGATGAAATTCAAAACTTCTTAAGTTTTCTTTGTTTCATGAATGAATTTCATTTCCTAATCAACAAAAAAACTGTGTGATTGATGAACATCGATTTTTTGCATTATAACAGTGATACACGAGAACTGAATAAAATACTACAACATTTCAATATATTTTAGGAGCCATATTTGAACAAGGAATTGATGAAGTTCAATCTGCTTTTATATATGCAGTATACAATCATAATCAAAATACGACTCATAGAAGATTCGAACTTCAAGCATTTGCAGATATCATCAATACAGCAGATGCTTTTAAGCTTTCGAGATTAAGTAAGTAGTAATTTTTAATCTTACAGCGAATACATTTAAAAATCTGTAAAAACCTATTCTTTTCAAAATAAATAAAAAACCTGGTAGAAATGCTCAATATTTCAAGGCTAGTTTTTGGCCCACTAAAAAGTTGTCGTGAAGTGAGGTGTCGTGCTTTGATTTATATAACTATTTTTACTCTACCACTTGCAGATTTACGGAAGATTTAGGTACTCGCCATCTAGTGGTGAAGTCTTAAAGAGGCACATTATCATATTTAAAATGGTTGAATACATTTTCTAAACTAATTTAATTATTATTTTCAACTATTATATTAGTAATATTTATAACGTTTCTCATATTTGTATTTGTATTATTGTAACATAATAGTTAATAAATGGAGATGTATTTTAAACAAATGTAAATGATCAGTTTTAGAATATTATTAACGTCGAACATTTCTACCAAAGAAATTTAAAAATATTACTTATGATTACTTTTTATCTTTTGACTATATATGAATATTTATAAACAAAATAATTGATAATACCCTTTTACTGAGACTTCGACCGTACATTTTCTCAGTGACTTTATAGTACTTAAAATTTTAGAGTAATTCAGAACGAAGTGAATTTTTATTTTTACTTTTGTTTTAATTTCATCATAAAATTTTTTAATACCATAATTATTCTTCCTTACAGTTTGCAATCGTTTTGCAAGTGGAGTGTACTCTATGATCGGTGCAGTCAATTCCGATTCTTTTGACATTCTTCATTCTTACAGTAATACTTTTCAAATGCCATTTATTACCCCATGGTTTCCTGAAAAAGTGAGTTTTTCAAACAATTACTAACACATTATACTTTATCAAATTGAACTTTTTTTATGTTTTATTTTCATCGATTTTTAACTTTATCAAAACACAAATACTATCATTTATTATTAATATACAATTTTTTACTATTATTTTATACACTACTATAGATAAGGTACATAGGAGCCTGTAAAATCAAATCATCTTTACACTTTTCGATTATTAGGTACTGCAACCTTCTTCAGGTTCTGTTGATTTTGCCATCAGCATGCGTCCAGATTATCACCATGCAATTATTGATACGATACGACATTATGGTTGGAGAAAAATCATTTATCTCTATGAATCTCATGATGGTTAGAAATAAACTTGATATTGCTCATAATATAAAACTTCTGGTATTTGCAAAACAACGACAATTTTCATTTACTTGCTTATTTATTTATTTTCAAGGTCTTTTGCGTCTTCAGCAAATTTATCAAGGGTTGAATCCAGGAAATAACACCTTTCAAGTTGAAACTGTAAAGAAAATACAAAACGTATCGGAGGCTCTTAACTTCTTACGCAGGCTTGAGGAAATCAATAGGTAAGTAAAGATAAATATCAAAGATAAATTTTTATAAGAGTATTCAATCTTGATCATACTCGAACTTGTAAAAATAATGCAATGGCTCCTAATCAATATTTAATATTCTCCCCGTTACAGAAATTTTTAATTATCATGTATAGCAGTATAGCAATTTCAACAAAAATATATTTAAATTTGTACAATATGTAACTTATCAATATCTTCTATATAAAAACTACATTTTTCCGAACATTAAATATTTTAATTTTCATAGTTAAAATTTGAAATTAAAAATATTTTTAAATCATGAAAGATAATCAAACTCAGCATTAATAATAATTATTTAACATACCTGTATCGGTTTTAAATTAAATATTCTTAAATACTTTTCAACTATTTTTTACAGATGGGGAAATAAGTACGTGGTACTTGATTGTCCAACTGAAATGGCTAAAGACATTGTTGTGAGTCATGTGAGAGATGTAACTTTAGGTCGGCGAACTTACCACTACTTGCTCAGTGGACTTGTAAGAATAACAATTTTTAACTTTCAAATCAGTCAAATAAAAATTTTAAAAGTCTTGTATTTGATAAATTATAATGACGATTCAAAATTTTTCAATCATTTCAAATATCAGTTTATTAGAAAAAACTTTATTAATAATTAGATTATGGACGAGCACTGGGAAAGCGAAGTTATCGAGTATGGTGCCATCAACATAACAGGTTTCCGTATAGTTGACACCTCTCGAAGACATGTCAAGGAATTCATTGATGGATGGCGTCAATTATCCACTAATAACTATCCTGGTGCCGGACGAGACTCCATTTCTGTGAGTGGTACATTTTATAAGAATCCTATACAAGAGATCTTGCAATGGAGAACATTTTCAATTAATTTTGTGAAAGATTTTCTTTGCCTTATCAGAATTTTGTACACCAATAGCGTGCTCAAAAAATGAACCTAATATTATTCATAAATCAAACTTCTAGTAACTGATTAAAAATTATATAGGCACAAGGAGCTTTGATGTATGATGCAGTTTATGTATTGATTGAAGCTCTTAACAAATTCCTTCGAAAAAAAACTGACAAGAACAATCCAAGACGAATTGGAGGAATTTCAAACGTTGGACAACAAACCAATGGTACTTTGGACTGTAATTCTAGTCATGGTTGGGTTTCACACTTTGAGCATGGAGACAAAATAGCTAGATTACTCCGAAAAGTGAGTTAATTTTTCCCTTAACTTTGAAAGCTTTTTTCAAATTTATTTTTTTAATCATCAGTAATAATATCTCGGTAAAAATTACCTCACAAAACCAGCAGTCATTCGAATTAAATTTATCTGTTTCATTTCGTAGGTTGAAATTGAAGGGCTTACTGGTCAGATTAAATTTAATGAAGAAGGTCGACGGCAAAATTATTCTCTGGATGTAGTTGAAATGACTGTCAATAGTGCTCCCGTAAAAGTAAATATTTAATTATAGAAATGTCAATATTTCACTTCATCTTTATAATAAAAAAATTTTATAGGTTGCTGAATGGAGAGATACTCAAGGATATTTAGTAGTTCCATCAAAACGAGATAGACATTCCAAATCAGAAATTTTAAGAAACAAAACTTATATTGTAACAACTATAGTGGTAAATTTAAATTTATCCTATTTTCATCGAGTATTAATAATTTCTGAGTACTATGTACTTGCAATAAAAGCGATAATAATTTTTTGTAGGAAGAACCGTACATAATGGAAAAAAGACTTGATGATACTAAATTTGTAGGAAAAGTCAAAGATCGTTATGAAGGGTATTGTAGAGATTTGGCAGAGTTAATAACTAAGAAATTGAATATAAGCTGTAAGTTACCAAAACATTTGAAAAGAAAATTAATACAAATGTAGATAACTAATATGACCATTCTAATAATAGAACTTAATTTTTAAAATAAATTTAAAAAACATAAGAACTAATTTTTATAAAAATCATCAAAACACGGTTAATTTTACTTGATCATTACTATTTATTTTTATACTTACGGAAAGGAATGATTTCAAGCAAAAATTTTCATTCAATTTTGAAAATTACGTGGTTTGTGGCAAAATTATTATTATTTACGTACCGTTTTTCAGGGGATTTACAAATAGTAAGAGATGGCAAATACGGCTCAGAAAATCCATCGGTACCTGGTAGATGGGATGGTATGGTCGGTGAACTAATCAGAAAGGTAAAAAATATAATAGTCAAAACACTAATTATTTATTTCAAAATGAGTTATTAAATGACCTATTAAACTATCGCCCCTTTTCCCAATTAATATTACATATTACGAGAAAACATGCTTAAAATATTTTTTACGTAATAAATTCATTCTACATACTTACGTTAAATAAAAAATTTTTTAGGAAGCTGATATAGCTATTGCTCCAATGACTATAACGTCCGAACGAGAGAGAGTAATAGATTTCAGCAAACCTTTCATGTCGCTCGGAATAAGTATCATGATTAAAAAACCAGTGAAACAAAATCCTGGTGTGTTTAGTTTTCTGAATCCTTTGAGCAAAGAAATCTGGGTGTGCGTTATTTTCTCATACATCGGCGTTTCAATTGTACTATTTATTGTATCAAGGTAAATTGCTTATAAAAAGTGAATTCTTTGCTCAGTCACTCGCAGTTATTAACTTAACTTTCTATAACCATTTTTTATAATGCCAAGATTCAGTCCATACGAATGGAGAGTTCTTACGATTGGTACGAATCGCGATCCCAGTCTTGTTTCAAGGGACGGTACTCTGCAGCATGCGCATGGTTCACAAGGCTCACATATTCAACACACAAGCATAGCTAATGATTTCAGTATTCTCAATAGTCTGTGGTTTGCACTTGGTGCTATAATGCAGCAAGGCAGTGATCTGTCGCCTCGGTAAATTACGCCTTGTTTGAAATTCATTTACCATCGTAAGTAACGTCACTTTGAACCGATTTTGATTATTTATTTCAGATCAATATCTGGCCGAATAGTTGGGAGCGTTTGGTGGTTCTTCACGCTCATTCTTATATCATCGTACACTGCGAATTTGGCGGCGTTTCTAACAGTCGAACGTATGGTATCTCCCATCAACTCTCCAGAGGATTTAGCAGCTCAAACTGAAGTTCAATACGGTACCTTGCAAGGAGGTTCAACTTGGGATTTCTTTAGGGTAAGAGTAGTTCAAAACTATTTTTGTCCATTAAAAATGTTTTAAATAAAATTCATAGTTCAAAAGTAAATTGATTTCACAGAAATCTCCGATCGAGCTGTACAAACATATGTGGAGGTACATGAATGAAAACAAGCAAGTTTTTGTAAATACTTATGACGAAGGCATTCAAAGAGTTCGTATGAGTAAAGGAAAATATGCTTTATTAATCGAGAGTCCAAAAAATGATTACATTAACGAGCGAGAACCATGTGATACAATAAAAGTTGGACGAAATTTAGATGCCAAAGGATTTGGAATCGCTACTCCACTAGGCTCTCCGCTTAGGTAACATTTATAAATGTTTTTTCACCATTAACTTGACTCAATAATGAAAAAATAAATTGCATTTATACAGAGATAACATCAACTTGGCGGTTTTGTCTTTGAAAGAAAGCGGTGAATTGGCCAAGCTAATGAACAAATGGTGGTATGAACGCACAGAGTGTCGACACGGTGATAAACAGGATACTTCTAGGAATGAGCTGTCTCTTAGCAATGTTGCTGGAATTTTTTACATTCTCATCAGTGGACTTCTCTTGGCACTTGCTGTAGCACTCGTGGAGTTTTGCTATAAGTCCCACTCGGAAGCCACTAGAGCGAAGGTATGAACCTCTTTGATCTGCATATTATCTAGTCAATAAGCTGATACAGTAGTTTAACGATACAAGGGTCATAAGTAGCACTTGATGTGACACGGTATAGTTTAGAACTTGAGCGAAGTGAGGGCTCTGAGGGCCCTGTCAAAAAGTGCCACATGTGCACTAGTGTCTTACAATATTGCCTCTGCTCGATGAGTTTTAATGTACAGCTGTGAACACAAGTTAAGTATACACTTGTGAAATTACGAAAACTTTGTGTTCTAGATCCCCTTATCAGATGCAATGAAAGCAAAAGCACGTTTAACTATAGGTGGAAATCGAGCTTTTGATAATGGACGGGTAAGAAGAAGTCAAATATTCTTGAAATGTATTTAATTTAGACTGATATTTTATTTTTTATTTGCAGTGGTACGGATTACAAAGCTAGACAAAGGATACTTGTACCTTATCAAAAGCCATCCGTAAGTCAATTCACCTTTTTTTTTTGTACTCATTGCAATTGAAGAGAAAAACAAAATTCAAGATATTATTAATGATACTTAAGAATATAATAATATAATAATATACAGTAAAACATCGCTTCAGCGGACACTGACGGTATTGAGAAATTTGTCCGTCGAAGGAGGTTTACAGTATATTAAAATTGTAAAGGGCATGATACATTTCAGTCGACATGTTATATCACTAGCATTTCAGTTAATTCATATATTGATTGTACTCGAGTCTTCTGTCTCGAAAATAACTTTTTTATATGTAAATGTCTGCTAAAATGATTATGCTAGCTTCTATAAAATTAAAATAGTTGTAATTTTATTTATTTGAATACAATATTTTAATATACTAACAATAGAAATACTAAACTCTTTTTTATTTTTAGTGTCACACGCCTGTGAGCCCATTGGTAATATCAAAGTAGAACTGGTGCGACACAATTTGCATATGCAACTATAATTAATCGTGGTAGCAGTTTAGATGTCATAATTAAGTATGGTAGTAAGGAATTGTCAATTTCAATCATTTAATCAATGGCATCATAATTATTTAGGAATACATTTTCCGGCACTGTGTAACGTTTACTAATTTTTCTAACAGATCTAAAAAAAATACCATAATCGATGTAAGGTAAACAGGAGTACTCTCCAACGTTGAGAGACATTCTTTGTTAATCAAAAGACTGTTTAGATTTAATTTTTATCCGAATGCTAGAAGCGGTTTGAAATATACTATACAATTCATCTTCATTATGTAACGTGGTTAAAAATACTAACAAGGAGACCACTTAAAATACAAGGTAACCGTTTTTTCCAAAATATTCTTCGAGACTCTAAGCGTCAAAAAAAGATACCCTTTGTATACGATAGTCCCTAAAAGATTCTGGTAGAAATCGATGTTTCAAATTTTAAGTCGTCTCCTTGTAAGTGAATACCAAATAATGATGAAGTCACTCAGCCATAGAAGTCGACAAAATGTTAGTGTGATTTCAAAATATGATTTTCACCATTCAGTAAAAGAAGTTGGAAAATTGCATGTGTCATTTATTTTGCACTCCCAAAAAATCGAAAGTAACTGTTTTCTTTCTACTAGGTATCGTTTGATACTTATGAATGTGATATTAATATCTGAGATAAAAACACGATCAAGACTATTTATTTTAGATTAATGTATAAATCTATCGAAAAATAATAGTCGACGATTTGTATTTTCTACATCATACCAATACGGAAATACTTGTTTTTCCTAAAACTCTAAACAAGCATTGACGTATTCATGGAAGGTTTTTAACTCAATATGTGAAGTAAGTAAAAAAAGTACTAATTGCACTAACTTGGTAAGTTAATATTAGCTATACACATTTAAATGCATGGCAAAAAATCTGACTACTTTTACTGGAGCATTCAAACTGATTCATAGACATACAATTGTCAGTGAAAATAATCAATAATAAAATTGATGTTAATTCATAAAAATTTTCAAAGAATCATAATATTATTCGACGTTTAACTAGGACTGTGATGATATTTTTTACCTTAGGGGGCATCTCTAGCTAAATTTTATAAAGAATAGTATAATACTACCCTGAGCCGTGAAAAAAAGTCTCAGTACACGTGTTTATCTACATCAATCGTTACTTACACGTTACCAAGACTCTTCTTTTTTTGCGCCTTAGGATGGTGATATATTAGGTTTTTCCGCGCAATAAACATAAGAAACTAAGTTGCAAAACTTATTTAAATCACATGTATAAAAAATCTACTAAATTTTTGTCTCCCTTATGTGCTAGGTTTAGTGACGGCAACTTAGTACTATAAACTAATACTGTATATGTAGTTCTAGTTTTTCATGGCAAAACAAATGTGCGTCAATTTGTTTTATAAAAATTATCCGTTATCGAGGCAAATTTCTCTCAACCTCATTAACTCCATATAGTTCAAATGGTCGATTATTTGTTTTTTTATGAAAAAACGTAGACATAGTCGGTCTAGCCGTAAGTTGCCGGCACTGCACCTGGCCCTTATCCACACGGGTTTGCAACCGTTTAACTAATCACGTTGGAACTTTATAGGCTTTTTGATTCATATTATTTGATATATTGTCTACACTATATGCTACAGTTATTAATATCATTCTAATGTGATCATTATTTCGATTAAAAACATTTTATAAAATCGGTCTAAGTAATTTTAAGTTCACCTTCATCCATCACTCGAAATGTTTACTAGGCCATTCACGGGACTCACTTCGTGTAAGAAACAATTTTTGAATATTGATATATCTTATATATCGAAACAAATCAAAAGGTTTCAACTAATTACTTTATTGTAAACAACACATTTTTTGAGAGACTGGTGCCAAAAGCTAGAGATGTCTTCTTAAAATATAAATATACATGTATCATTTTTAATTACACTTCACTGAATTTTATGAACTCTAATAATTTTTATAATTATAAAATGGAAAAATTAAAAGTTATTGATAAAAATACAAAATGATTGACTTGTAACTTTACCCTTTATGCTGATATTATTGAAATTTGCGAAGTTGTGATGATCAACCCCAAATATTGTTTTCATTCAGCGGAATCTTTGCGATGGTGCGGAAAGTGATTTTTGAAATGAAGTATTGTTGGAAAATTGGAAAGTAGAAGGAAATTCTAAACAATTTCATGACACCGTAATCATCGTTAAATATTACTTTGGTGGGCTTCTTTTTACTTGGACTGTTAACTTACAATTGCATCTGCCTTAATCATACACCCTCCATCCAACAATTGGCGATTGGGGATTTATAGGAGGGTCTTCAAAATTAATTCATGATTCTCAAAGCCCTATTTATGACTCAGGTTGGGGAATATTACTCTCCCTTTTATCTTCGGCGAGATCATCCTTTTTCTTAGAGCAAATTCTTGAATTAAACAAAAAACATATTCAAGGGTCCAAATGTATGCATTTATTCAGAAGGCCTGCTTTGAGGCTGAGTCTTATGATTCACCATAAACGAAGTGGAAGAAGTTACAGCTACCCAGATTTTGCCTGAGCAAAGTTTCTCCTGTCAATGACAGCTTACGTTCTAGAAACATTCACACTCATACGCAAACCTAGCCCAGAAAGGGACAGATTTTTTTCTTTGATCGGACAGGATGGGAAGTCCACAGATCATAGCGTCCAATTCATTGCAAGTAAAACTTGAATGATCCATAAATCCATTTCCTGGATAAAGCTGATTGGGATAAATACTTTACCTCATAGTGCTCCCGCTAATCTATAATCAGGTAGCAATTTTGCTGTCCACATTCAATTTTTAGCCTAGGAAAATCTCTGCAATTCACCAACGAGAGAGACTACGCCATATTTCTGCTCAATTTTGTTTGTTCTTACGTTTTTTTTTTTCAATTTTCCAGGCTCGTCCATTAATACAGATCCGGGGTACTGTACTCGCAAGGTAATATTATCATTCAAGAAGAATGCGAGTAAATGCAAATTATTTGTTTGAGTAAACAATATTATCTCCAAAATAGGGGAGTTGATTAACCAGAAACGTGTAAATTTGATTTAGCTGTTAATTAAACTTGTTTGGGTATATCAAATATCAAAAACAGGTAATCATTGTTATTTACGGCTCTGAAAATTGAAATAACCCTTGATCGTGGATCGTAACGTATGCACTCGGAATCACTATTTGTTTTAGTTTAAATATGGCTTGAAATAATTTTTTCAAAAGTAATGACTGACGTAAAGAGATGGGGGCACTAAAGATTGTCTTGATTTATGTAATCATCTTCAAAGAACTGTCCTGTTTAACTATATTTATATTCCTGCAAATTTGTTTAGTGGCGCAGTATAGAGCATCTAAGCTACCAGATAAACTAAGGGAAAAAACAAATGTAGCAGTAATGAATTTATATACGGTAAACGTTATGCTGCACGTACTATGACCATAACTGAGATGGTGTGAAAGGCATACAATAAGTGAATGACGCGTTGACCCGAAGCAGAGACTATTCTTAGATCAGCCACCCCAAACAACCGATAATATGTAAGAATGTATATGAATGAATACCTAAAGGGGCGAAAGCAGGAGTCCTTATGTGACCTGAGAACACAATCGACAAAACGGGATGGAAGTATGTTAACATATTTCTCTTCCAGTAATTAGAAAATGTTACGTGTGAGGCGTAATCAGTAATGCAGAAGAAGAAATTTAGCAGGCTGTTGGGTAATTTTTTCCTCGTGAAAAAAAATTAAAAAAAATTTTTATTCATTTAAATCATCTTCAGTGATTTATGGGTTCATAGGATTTTTTTTTTAGTAACTTCAGTTGGTTCGATCAATAATACGATCAAAATTGTAATAAATGAATATTGTCAATTAAAATTGCGTTTGATTTTTTGTACAAATTCAATAAATCCTATACAATACAGTTAGAGAAATTATCAGTATTGTTCGAGCTCAATAATTTGAATTGAATTTTTAAATCTAAATAATTTAAAGTTACTGCCGCAATGAGTGAAATATTTTTTGCCTATGTATAAATTTGATCGTTGGAAAATAAGAAAATAAAAAACTCGAGGCTTAATTAATTTTCTTATAAAAAAGTCATTGATATATTTCGCCTAGATAAACTTTTCAATATTTGATGACCGAATTCTCTATATCTACACGCATTTTCCTTTGTAAATATTAGCTACTTCTCTAATGTCTTGGAAGCTACTTTGACAATACGAAAAAAGTTACGCACTCTCATCGACTCGCGTATCATAAATATAATAGTTTCTTTGCATGCAGCCTCCAGGTCAGTAGTATGTACGAGAAGTAATACTAAACTCTAATTGGGGTGGTGGTGGTGCACGTCGATGAGGTATGATATGCATAAAACACTGGCGCTTGCGCGTTACTTGACTATCCGGGCGTGCGACTTGCACTAAGCGCCACTCCCGAGCGCGGATTTGCGCGGGTGGGACCGTCTGGTGAGAAACTTCTCGTTGACTCTCACACACTTTCGGTCAATACGTCATTTTTTGCACTTAGATAACGCATCATTTATCTTTATTAAATAAGGGTGAGGATAGGGAAACGTGATTACTAATCAACATTATGTAACTGTAAGTGTGGAATGATTTTAACAGTGTGTTATGAAGAGATTTGCCAGAAGTGACCGGGTAATCAGAGACCAGCCGAAAGAAGATGCTGCTACTATGCGATTGTTGCGCAAGAACGAAAAGTCGTAACGGATAGCCGAGGCCTCGTAAAAATTAGTCGGGGCTAGTGTATGTCCTATTATTGATTTCCTGTTAACATTTTCACTATAACTGATAATATTAGTCCTGGTTGAAAGTTTTTTTTTAATTTATCCGATAGCTTTTTGGTATGTTCATGATAATTTAAAAAAAAATCAATTGATTCAAGCTTGAATTTCTTTATAAATCAGACCGAGTTCTAGATTAAATTGCCACTATTTTTTCGAGGGTTAACATTCTCGTAGAATCACTACTAACTGACGAGAAAGAATAATTGAAAGCATATCAATTTTTTACAGAATTTTTATTTACATTTAGTGCCAAGAAAAGTAGAATTGACCCATGATAACGAGAAATCGCTCGGATTGTATAAATAAGATGTGCGGTTGATTACGAAAAGTGGAAAATAAAAATGGTTAGTGATTAATGAAAAAGAGTGGCTGGCCAATAACCCACTCTTCGCCAAGTGGCAAAGTGCAAAAATACAAAACAGAAACTTAAATTAACGTCATTAAAATAAAACTTCATGGGAGATTGCACGAACTGTGAACTGTTTGTCGCAGCCTCTGGTGAGATGATTAAATATCCTTCGCTGTCTGGGCCATTAAGGCTCGCATTTATTGCAGCTGCTGTCATCCTAATCCCACAACGCGTAACCTTTGCACAAACTGCGTAAGTACAGCTTTTATGTTTATAATAATCTTTTCTGATACATTTTTCGGGATCTATAACGTTTATATACATGCTCCATGAAAAGACTCGGTACAATGGCGATCGTCCTATTAGTGGTTATCAAGGCTTTCCCAGCCATTATTGAAGCTAAAAAGTCCGAAAATCCTTTCTCATCATTTCGCGCATTTTTTTTCCTCATCTTGCTTCAGTTATTGCGTTTTCCAAAAGGTGACCGTGCTGTTAATGTACGTTACTGTGGAATTGGTTTCGCATGAATGAGAAGGGGTGACAAGAAGTAGGTCAATCACTGCATAGAGATACCAAGTGCACGAGAACAATAATAACGATCGCCTAAAGCTTATCTTCCTATTAGTCAGGTGTTACTTAAACAAATTTTTATTTTTTTCCCATGAAAAAAATTAATAACAATTTTTTGCCGTAAGTACTTCATCATTTACTTTATGTTACTGCCACCTAGTCCCAGATACACTATTTTTCGTATCTTTCGAGTCCGAATTAGTGAAAGAATAGAAATTGAGTAGACTGTTTACAAACGTATAAAAACAACTTTTACATAATTAGAAAAAAATAATTGGTTCATCTGCAATTTTCTAGAAAATGTAGCATCAAGGGTAAAAAGTAATAATATAATATCCCAGTCTCACGCATGCGCAGTAATTCAAATTTCAACAAAAATACAGCGTTTTCAAGTGACCAGAATAAATATATACTATTATGTTATTTAAAAAAAGTAGTTTTTCATTCAAAAAATGCTAATAATAATAAATACTGAATTTCGTAATAGATGAGAAAATTTTTCATCTTGTATTTTTCAATACAGGTCGTTGTTATTCCAAAAATATTATGAATGATTAATGTTTTGAAAGTAACAAAAATACTTATTTTTTGACTCCTCACATGAACTATTTCCATAAAAAAAGAGCCACTGCAATTTATAAATCGAATTCAACCCTCTTGAAGCAGCTTTCATGGAATAACATTTAATTTTCTAACCTAACAACCATCTGAATTTACTTTCACCCTAATAATAATTCTCTGCACGAGGTACGCATGCAAATAGTTTCCTAGTAAATTATAAAATTAACATTTCAGTTTGCATTATTGAAATAAATATTCATTATAAGTTATTCACTTTCAAAATATTGTGTTTTAGTACATTTTAATTAATTAAGAGCAAAGGTAATTGCAAACAAGAGCAATGACTGTATTTTCAAAATACTTATTTCACCCTAAATAAATTGAATTAATTCTGTAATAATTAAGTCTATGCCCCAGTGGCAATATAAAAATACATTTATTTGAAGAATTTAATTTTTTTTGCAATAGTTTTCTATTGCAAAAAAATATTGCCACTGAAGTGTAACCTTTGTTATTGTATTGTTCGTAAACTACTACATAAACTACGTACATAGAGTAACTTAGAAGGGATATTTCTAATTAGTTTAACGTGCTTCAAATTTATTCACTTCATCACAATGAATAATAAATTTCTGAAATTTTTTAAAACGACTTTCGGATTTTTAAAACTAATGCTTGAATCTGAAATGCGTATAAATTAGATGCAAAAAATGCCCCGAGAATAAGGATCCTAAAGAGAATTGAATTTAAACAAATTTGATTGAAGTAATTTCTTCTTACTACACCTAAAATACACAAATTTGTCACTAATTTTAGGATTTCGTGTAAAAAAATGGTATCATCAACTCGTAATAAAAGGCTTGTATAATGTATATAATCCCTCGTTTTGCTAAAAAAATATAACTGCACCCGTTAGAAAATATAATAATTTTCTGGCCCGCTTTTAAAGCTACTATTTACATATACTATTTGAGCACTCCATGGATAAGACATAGTTTTTCTAACCTCTTAGTGACACAAAAACTATGTTTTACGCACGGAATGTTAAAAAATATCGTATGCAGCTAGTGCGTGAGGAGGATGGCTCATCCAGGAGTCATTTTCTGTTACATAATATAGTACTATGTGATGAACGTTCAGTTGAATGAAATTCCAAATAGCCCTCACAAATATAGTTTTTTTATTCATAAAAGTAGTATTTATTTTTACTACGTTATTTTCACGTGATAAGAAATTGAGCAAAAAGTATTTAGGATTAATCAATGAAAGTACATCAATTATTTCAGAATTCTAAAGATGATTTTCGATTAGTCATAACTAATTATACACCGCAAAAACGAACATTGAAAGTTGAGGTGAAATTATGATTTTTTTGGAATACTGCATTTAGATTAGTTTCTCATCCGTGTTTTATAAGAATATATGGAATTTATCAGTTCTCAGTTTTAAAATTGAATTTAAAGTCACTTTGATGAGCTAAACACGATTTTTTTCAAACTCTTCGCAAATCATACCAAATTATACAGTATGCATTTTGATGTGAAGTAGAACGTTTAAAATTATTTTATTTTGTTTTAGTGCTGGCGGTGGAAGCATGCTAGGTGACGTCAACATCTCAGCAATTCTAGATTCTTTTTCAATCAGCTATGATAAAAGAATAAGGCCAAACTATGGAGGTTTGTACACTAACCTTTAACTATTCAATGATTTAAAAAAGTAAAATCAATAAATGATACGCATTTTTAAATTACGTATTGTACTTTAATTTCTAAGTATTTATACGTAATTGAACGCTTATCGACCGTCCTTCGTTCTAATTACACTTCGAGTATCCGTATGTAGCATTTTATCGAGTTAAATAATTTTAATTTAAAATTCATTTAAAGATTATAACAACAAAGAAATAAAAATAATCGAAACTTATGTTATAGTTTACCATAATAATTGTTCAATTAGAAACCATATTCGATGGCTTATGCCCTACTAGGTAGACAAAATTTACTCTTAGAATATAAAAGTTGTTTATGAAATGAAGTGTAAAATATTTTTAATGCGTGATAAAAAAGATTTAACTAAAATGTTTTTCTGTAAATTCTTTAAGAATTTAAATCCAATTCCATTAAATTAATTTTCTCGATGCAATGATTTTGGATTGAAAAAACTAAAAAATGTGATACCCTGTTCTACCGTAAATATGCCGTACGCTAAAAATAAGACGTGATCGAATTTTCGAGTCTCAAAAGAATATAAGGCGTATTCCTAAAATGAGGCATACTTGTAAACATAATGTCTGATCAAAATGTAAACAAGATCTTATGACATTGGGTTTAAAAAAGAAAATCGTTTAAGAAACGAAAGGAAAAAATATTTTAGCAATTTGCAATAAAAAGATGATGTTTTAACAGTATACGAATAAATATTTTTTAGGAAAACTAATTATAATAAAAATATAAGTCATGTTCCAAAAATAAGGCGTATGTGCTTTTTACAAAAAAATTAATTGAGGGCGTGGCATATTTTAGGAACACGGTACAATCATCACAACATCATGGATATAATAAATTAGAATTAAAAATATTTATATTATCAATCAATTCATACAATTGTTTCAACCATTTTTTACTATTTTTTGGACATTTCGCAGTATGAAATAATTTGAAACTTTTGCAAAATCCTAGTGGACATAATAAAGGTCGTATTTATAAAAATTTAAATCAATTTCATTGACGTATCTTTGGGGCCAAAACATGGCTCGTACTAAAACAGCCATGCTGAACGGTTATTTCTATGAAATCTCTATAAGCACCATTCGATGATATCCCCACTTCAAACACTGTTGTGTAGGAATTGATAACGTTTCTTAAAAAATCGTGAGATGACATAAGATTTGAATATTGTTGTATTACCTAATAAAATAATCAAAACTCGGGATAATTTTTGATAAAAATTTTATTTAATTTATAATTTTTATCGGTAGCTGACTCATGTTTATCAAAAAATATGAAATTTTATTTCTCTTTTTTAAATCGATTGTAAATTTTATTACAAAAATGATAACTTAGTCATTAAAAACTCGATAAAATGCTCTATTGTACATACTAACAAACTCATACACATAAATATATTGAAATTTTTAGACTTCCAAGTGTAAAAAAATGTATTTTAGACTGACAAAATTACTAAAACTGACTATGCTTTCCATCTTTTGATGGGGTTTTTTAAATTCTTTCAAGTCACTTTTGCAAATACTTAAATATGTTATTTTTAATAATTTTTGGCAAAAAAAAAAGAATTGCACTAGTAAATTATCATAAATATTTTTCATTAAAAATTATTTCGACAAAATAGTTTTTAGTTCAGACTTAGATCAACTTTAAATCGAAAGAAAACTACAGAATTACTCTTATTTATGTATATTAAAAAAAGTATTCAACCATAGCTAGTAATAGGAGTTTTTTTTTAATTTTATCAAGTACTTGCATAATATCGATAACAATAAAACTAGAAACTCGCCAATTTCAGCTAACTGTGTAAGTGACTCTAGAGAGTTTAAAAAATGTGCCCAAATTAAGAGAAGCATGTTATTAATTGTTTCTCATCAGTTAGTCTGAAAATACGTTTGCAATTTCGACTCCTCTGAGAGTTACCAATTTACATATGACCATGTATGCGCACCAAATCAATTTTTATTTTTTCGTTATTTGGACTTTGGCATATAGGTTGGTTTGAAAGTCGCAGTATATATAGTGTGTAAATATCATGTCAAAAAATCACAAAATTATAATGCTAATAATTTCAGAAGTGTAAGACTGTGTTTTTAAACATTAGAATTGCAAAGCAGGTAATAAATTATCATTTTCATTATCTTCCATAAGACAAGCAAGTACATTTATTTACATCTATCAATATTTTAATAAGTATAGAATGCAAATCATGTAGAATATTTTTGTTTCTTGCAATTCATATTGAAGCGAAGCTAAAAGTGATTTGAAATATGTATTTGTAACCATCATCATTGCATTTTGTATACACAACCTGTACCTTCCGTTCTTAAAACCATTTTTTGCAAAATAAACAAGACAACAGCATTTTTACAATAATGAGAAAGTAGTTAATTTATGTTGAGAAGAATATCTATTACTCCAAAAGGTCTAATAACTATAATCTACGATCGTAAGATATAAATGAAATTTTTGGATAAAATTAAAACTTATATTAAGTCAGCATATTATAATACAAAGCCATGCCAAGTTATAAGAGTTCTACAGACAATTTAATAGACAATAATTGTTTAGGTCATTTTTTTTTTATTAAAAAATATAATTAAAGTAACATGAAAAATTAGTTTTATGTTCATGTTTACGCAAAGCTTTAAATTTTTTATTGACTTTTATTTGCATAAAAAACATTAAATTGCCATAATTTTTTTTCAAAATTAAGCCGCTCATTAGTGTATAATCCTTTTATATCGATGTTTAGTACATAATCGACATACGCAGTTGTTGGTTTTCCATTGCCTGGGTGGGGTTCGTCCGCTTTTACTAAAGACCCTGCATACAAACTTATTCTTGCGGATCGATGCTGGGAACGTACCCGTTGCTAGGGAAACCATCCTCAGCACCGGTTCCTGTATACATCTGTAAAGTTGCTTTGTGATATTGCTACACGCATGTGCTACCTGAAAACTCTTGGAAATAGCAAAAATATATTTTTTTAATTATAATAAATAAGTTTACATTGGTTTAAAGAAATTATATAATTATAAAATAAATGGTGCTTGTAAAGCGAACTAGATTACATATTATTTGAAAAATCGTCTGGTAGCTACTGCTTTGAACATATAAATATAGAAACTTAAATTAATTTGACAAAATTATAGCTAATAAATGGAAAAATGTGTCAATTATTTCGATCTATTTATTTGAAAAGTCATTTTATCTCTGCGACAACTCGTACAGTATAAACTTCTTTCAAATCATACAATTGAAACTAGAACTCGGCAATTGTTGACTTATAGAATTGAATTTCGATTGAACGAATATGACTACCAAAATGACTCTAGATAGAAAATAAAAACTGAATGAGCTTTATTGAAAACCAATCGATGCATTAAAAATATTTTAGTAAATTAAAAAATAACACGAGGTTTTTAATAATTTTATCAAGAGTAAAAGTAGTTAAACAAAGCTAAAAAAAATTATCGTTTTGGAAAATGCTTTGAGGGTAATTTTTTCGCAATATACGGATAAATTTAAAAACGTATGTTTACAATTAAAAAAATAAACAAGGCGTATTAATTTTTTTTCTATACTAATTTATGGAAAATGGCATGGCTTTGAGGCGGAAGGTACAAATATAAATACTGTCTTGACGCAAAAATAAATGAAGCTTCGAATAGCTTTTTTACATCAAATAGTGAAATAACCATCATTAGTTTCATCATCGAATTCACTGTCAGAAAAGTTGAAATTTGCATAACAAAACGGCCATTAAGGCCGCTTCTGTGAACTTAAACTTACATTTCAGGTCCTCCTGTTGAAGTTGGTGTCACCATGTACGTCTTGAGTATCAGCTCGCTTTCAGAAGTCAAAATGGTACTATAATTAAGGCCTTTTGAAGTTATTTATTTTAGTTAGACGATAAATTTCAAAGCAAATAATAAAAATTTTAAATAATCATAAAAGATGCAAGGATTCATTGTAGTAATGATATGATGAAAAATTCTAATTATCAAAAAATATTAAATAATAAAAAAAACATCTATTAGAGAAGATTGTTAACTTTGCAAGAAAATGCCAAATCTTATTGTAAACTTTGCAGTTTTTAAAGAATATGATGATATGATGATCATAATATAAATGAAATATATTATGAATGAAAAATTATAACGTTCAAAATGAATGCAAAGAATGAAAAAATTTGACTTACTTTTATTTGCATGCATTTTTAAATGTTTCAAATAAATAATACAATTCCGAAAAAATAATTGCATTTATTATTTATAATTAATATTATTAAAAAATGGTATTATTTTGCAGTAACCCCTTGTCTTAATAAAAAATTTGTATGGCATATTATTCGAATTTTTTAAATTTATCTCTTCTTATCACGGAAGAATGGTCAAATTATTGACGTAAAAGCTGATATTTATTTATAGAAAGCAATCTAAATTTATACCTTCAAACCTCGAACAAATTTTCTTATTGACTATCCCATGAAAAAAGCATCGATGCACCTCGAGTTCATTTATAAATTAATTTTTTCAATATTAAAAAAACCGTGTTTTCAACTAAACCGGTAATGCATGAGGTGTGTGTATTAATATTTTTTTGATACGCATATAATTATTACATGATTTATATTCATTAAATTTCTATTGAAAAAGCTATACTTTTGCCGTAACTTTAATTTTTCTTTGCAATTTTTAAAAAAATAATGAAGTTAATGCAATTATTTTTTTTTAAATTTATGTAGTTTAATACTAGATTTGGCATTTCCTTGGATCGATTGTGTGAGGGTTGTCATTATAATCCACCAATTGCTATCAATGCAACCATTTACTCGAACAATTAGAAACTAGTAGAAATCTTACTTTTTCTTCAAATATTAGTATATTAAAGAAATTTTGAATTTGTATATAAATAATGTGAAAATAATGAATTTTAATTAATTGTTTGAGCTTCTACCAGTTCAAAAGTTTATATTATCACATATTTGTTTTTTTTACATAATAAGAAAATCAGAATTTTCTGCATGCATCTGTTCACATTATATAGTTAAGTTAAAGTCAAATGTACCCAACACTTTCACTTACTCAAGTATGACTTATTACAAGTGTAGAAAAAGATTTACAATCATAATAATCGGGATGGGTCTTTATGACTCTTAAAAATGCAGTTTCTACATTATGTCATATGCGTACTTTTTTCTAAGTACTACTCATAAATTTTATAAAACGTAACCGTCAACTCATACGGCACTGAAATAAATTCGAAAAATGTTCTCCGTCTTCTATATTTGAAGATCCTCAACGTATTATTCAATTTTTCATGATATTCGGAGTATCTTAATTAGTTCAGTATTTAGAGAATCTTAAAAATTCAGGGTATTTAGATTTTCAGAAATTTATCACACCTCCCGTGATGTAACTCGAAAAATGAATGTAAACTAGATAGTCAACTAAAATTTGAGACTCTAGGTCATGTCCTTAAGGATGCACAGTAGGTCACAGTTAATGTTTTTAAATTATAAATATCTTAGAAGACTCTTGGGGAAAAGTTGAAAGAATAACGAAAAATTAGCTTTTATTGTAGAGCGTTCTCAGAAACAAGAATTCACAGGGAAATTAATGATTAAAAAATGCATGATATGAAATTAATTTACATGCATTTTTAATTACCCTTTTCACACAGTAATATGAAAAATATTTCTCTTGGTTTCGTTATCTCGGTGATCATCACATTATTTAATTAAATAAGACAATAATTTATATCTAAGATAAATAATTTTATTAATTTAGACGTTTTAGGGCTAATTTTATATCGCCACTGCATGCAAAACTAATATTAGTACATTTTAGATATACTTTTTGAATAGAATCATTAATTCATACCTTCAACTTGAAATCAAAAATATACCCAAAATAAAATTTTCCCTAACTATATTTTAGTCGTCGTCGATGACGTTGTATTCTTTATTTAAAATTTAATGATGAGGTTAAGCTTATAGTAGTGATTTCTGAATAAACAAACATTTTTATAAAAGAGATTTTAAAACCATACATAAAAAAATTGTTTTAAATGCATTCTCTAAACTATCTATCCACCGTTTTCATATTTTGATTATGTCAGTCTTCTAAATTGTATCAATTTTTACAGAGAGGAAACGTTTTTTTCTGAACATTCATTTTATTTGGATTAGGATTTTAGAATGATTTCACTATTATTACACAAATCTTTTAAATAATTGCTATAGTCACTTCTGAAAATAATGATATCACATAAATTTATATAAAATATTTTGCTCTCAATTCAATTGAAAATATTTGATAAAAATAAATCAATTCATTCATAATTAATAGAGTTTAAGTATTTTTGAGACACGTATATAATACGAATTTCAGTACAGTTATCAGGTTTAAATCGATATTCAATACATTTTTGAAATATTTTGTTTTGTAAAGGATTTTTAAATAATTATACTAAAAATAAGTGATACAATTAAATGAAAATTAACTATGAAAGATTAATTTTGTTTTGATTTTTATGAATTACATTTTAATTAATAATTATAAATTGCATTTTAAACTTTCTAAGAAAAAAGATTGACCAAATTTTTACTTGAACACTGAATTCTCATGATGTTGTAAAAATTTGTAGAATAATAAAAAACCCAACACGTCAAAAAATGAAGTAATTTTAAATACCCTTTCATTTGAAATACATTGAATTCCTGTGTTTTACCGTCAGACAATCAAGATTATGTAATATTTTTCAAGCAAAATATAAATCTAAGAAAATTTTTTCGATTCTCGAATTTATTTGAAATTTGAGATGAATTGCTTCTTCTATATATAATAAATGCAAAACAATGAATGATTTCATTGTAAAGTGCGAAAATAAAATGATTAATTGATTAAAAATCTCCAAAGGCACCTGCTTTGAAATGGTGCAAAATACAATGAAGGTTGTCAGAGTTACGTTGATTTGGTTCCGTGCGCAGGGTGATACAGATTGCGAACGTCTTCATGCACATATCCTTATAAATAGCAACTATAATAAATTATAGCGTACAGGACTATAATATCCAACATCATGTTTACAATTATAAAGAAATTTTCTTATGTTAGAAAATGTTATTTAAGAAATTATGTTCTCGGCAAAATTATCACACACAAAAATAAATATTATCTGCCCCCGTTCTCATCAGAATGAAGACAATTTAAATTTTATTTTTAAAATAGTCATTGATACCTTCATACCACACGAATTTTTGAAAAAATTTCTTTTGCTAAATTTAAACCCTCATTATGGCAGTCGATGTTTTAATAACAAAAATAACAAGAATGTTTTAAATTCCATAAGAGGCTATTTTAATTGGATCGAGGCGTACTCCAGTGCGCCTTTATTGGCAAGCACAATGAACTTGCAGGGCTGCACATCAATACCTGACAGTTGGGTTTTACTATGAATATTTATTTTTCTCTTTAATTTGACCAGTTCCTGTTCATGTTTCAAGTTTTTAATCCTGATACCTAAGATGGTTATTTATTAATAACGAGTAATTATAATTTGAAACAATTTTTGCTTCAAGTCAAGTGAAACTATCCTTCGAGTATGACGGTTTTTTCTACATTTATAAAATCAACAATTTTTACTATATTTAATCTATAATTTATTTTTTTCTCTATTTTTTATAGTTATCATAGATTGTAAAGAAATTAAATAAAGTGATCCATTTTAGATCAAATAAGTATGTTTAAAAACATGTTTTTAACAATCGTAAATCTTTCATTTAAAAATTTTTATGATCATTTTCATGATAAATTAAAAAAAACTTGAATCTTTAAGTTATTATGAAGAATCTGGAAACTTTAAGTTAACGCGGTACTGCTTGGAAGAATTTAGGTGTGCGAGTAGGTGTGTGTATATTATACGGCAAATGCTTTGATGAATGTTTCTTGTGGACTATCGAATAAATATAAAAATCTACACTCCGTTCATACACGTTTGGTACAACTTGATGGATTAAAGGCTCGACATGAAGAAGTATGGTATTTTCGACTGATTACAGGTCCACCAGTTGAGGTCGGGGTCACCATGTATGTTCTCAGCATCAGTTCCGTATCTGAAGTGCTAATGGTACAGTGTATCCTAACTTCAAAACGCTCATTACAATATTTCGCTCGTCCGTGCGTTACCTATTGTGTGTGTTTGTTAACCTATGATTGTTTCATTTCTACTATGCATTCTATTTTTTATGAAATAATTTTTTAATCGCCTATGAAGCAATACTTTTTTTCTCCGGGGTTTGACTGATTTTTCTCGTTTTAATGTTACATCTCACATGATACTTTGATACGTAAAGCATTCATGAAACATGCTCTATCAGCTTTTGTACATTAATTTTATTGCTGTACTTCAAAAATATAAATCAATGTGTATTGATGTTTTTTTTTAAATCGAAAATTACTACTTTCTATTATATCATGGCAATTATTATGTACTAGCAGTAATTTTGTATTTTCAAAATTATACCAGCATATCAATGTAATATATCATGACAAATATATGACACGTTATGACTTGGCTTAAATAATTTCACAAATGAAAACATACTACACGATTAATAAATTTGAATAATTATTTGAATAAAGTATAATACTTTTTCGATACGATTTAAATTTATAATACTTCCTGTACAATTTTAGAAAAGACATTATTGAGAATTCACAAATAACGTAAATAATCTCGTTTAATAAACAGCCATCATAGTTCGATAATGATCATTTTTTGATTTCTCTAATTTAACTTTTTTCCATGGATAAAGAGTGCACGCTTCGGGCCTTAACTTAAGATCGGCATTAAAGTTCATCTAGATTAGAACTTTCATATAAACTTAGTAAATCGAACTTTTAGATGTAATACAATTTTATTTTATAGCAGCGTGATACATTTCAGAAAAAATCACTCACTTGTATTGCAAAGAAAGAAAAAAGACTTTGGTGAGTGCAAATCAAAATATTTTAATGAGACTTGATATCACCAATCATGTGACCGATGTGTCATTTTTTCTTATACATTTTTTTTTGTACAAAAAATGTAGAATTATACAACATTTCTCATGTTCAAGTTGATATTAAGTACAGTTTAAAGTACTAAAAACTCATGTATCATGTACAAAGGTGCAGATAATAAGATGCAGAAAAGTAATTTCACTCGTACAAATATAAGATTCAGTTTTCAGGTTATTCATCAGTATTACTAAAAGTGTAGCTTTAATTTTTCATAATCATTTTTGACGGTTTTCTACGTAAATACAATCAGTCAACGTATTCTTTCAATTGTATGAAAATTTTGAAAGGTATAAAAAAAATGTAAAGGCTGAATATGCAAGTCTGAACCCCAGGTGTTGAGCCCTGTGCGGGAACCGAATCAAATCGACACTGTCACCTAGAACGTGACTCAAATTATACTTAAATTTCATATATTTTAATCGATGCATTTCTTACATTTATATAAGCAGGTTAAATGTATAAACCCTTCAGCAGGACATTTATGTAATACTGTAAAATACAAAAACATGTAAAATAAAATTTATAATTTTTTAAGGAATTTCTAATAGTATTTTTAATATTTATGATTTTTATAACAGCGAACTTTTTTAAATATAATCCATTCATGTACAACTAACATCAAAGTTTTTTATGACTAACATTTTCACTGCAACTGAATGTAATCATAAAAGCTCAAAGGATTACCTTCGTAAACAAAATAATAGTATTTATAATATTATGATGATAATAGTGATAACAATAATAATGATAATAATAATAATATTAATAATAATGATGATGATGATAATAACTCCGTAACTTATTAACTTTATAAGCGTTAAACACGTAGAATAATTTTTTCCGCTTACCTTAGTTTCAATTCGACCTATCGATCATTTTCTATGCCAACTTTAACATATTTTTCTATACTACACAATAAAATTTTCTATCTCAATAAATTCGTATATTATAACATATTTCAGATATCTTAATAGCAAGTGTGAAATCTAAGAATTATAGCTAACACTTTCAGAATTATTCGATATAGTAAATGAATTTTTAATCTTACATTACGAGTAAATACGGTGTTCAGTTAATCGTGAATTTTTGGTTTTATTAATAACTTTCCAAAAAAATGTGAAAACTCTAACATTTCAGAATCAACAAAATGACTAAATTACTGATAATTAACGGGTGATAATTCCAATTTGATACCCCCCATTAATTATGTATCGAATGATTTTGCATTCTAATTTTGTAATAGAAACCACGAATGTTTCAGGTTCAAGAATTAAATTATCACTAAAAAATTATGCAAGATTACAATGTTTTTGTTGCTGTTCCGATTTTTTCTCGCCTTTGCAACTCATTTCCAAAAATGGTGATTGCTTATTGCTGAGATTTGGTTTTTTGCGTGAAATTTGTTTGTATTAGATAGTGAAAACATCTTTTCTTTTTTCTACTTTCTCGCAGTTCATATTTATGCTCAAATTCATGAACTTGGTACACTTTTTCTAAAAAATATTTGAACTTCAAATTTACAAGTACACGATATTTTAGGAAATAATAAGATTCAAGGTTTAGGTTTTGTGATTAAACCTTCATATTCCTGCAAAAAATACTTAACGAAAGCTAACGGGAGCGCAGTTTACTATTTTAAATTTTATCTAATAAATCTACTTAAACATTTTTGAACAAACCTCAAGCAGCTTAAAAAAATGTTGAAAATTCATTTTTGTCAAAATTTTGAAAATGAGCTGGGAAGTAAAAACTGGTTCTTGACCTTTAGATGCCCAACACTGTACTACTTTGCGTAGTACATAATTAATGTAGAGTACCTACATTTTCTATGATCTTTGTGCATAAATATATTCTTGTAAAGTATCAAAAAATTTTAAATACCAAGAGTAAACTCTAGAGTACATACATCAGTTTTCTTCTAAGCAGTAAAAGCCGCACTGCGCATTGGAGCAGTGCCAAACGAACAAAACGACTCTTTCGTTTTAAGACACACCATCAAAATGATTCACTCTTTCTTCCTAGCACTCTGAATTATTAAAGCAATAGCTTTACCATACTGTCTGTTGAAAGAAAAAAGGTAGCATCAAGAATGCGCTCGGTGTGTTCATTTTTCACTGCCTCAGTACTTGATTCAGTCTCATCATTTGTTGATTAAAATGCGAATTTTCGATTTTCGATAAAAAAATTCGAATTATTTATGATTTGTTTTTTTTTATCATTTGCGTGCTCTTGATTAAAATAAAAATATATGGTCAATAAGTAAATAAATAAAATTAATAAATGCAAGATAGTAAATGATGAGTACAATTTGATACGAAAAAGGAAATTCTACATACTAACACCATAAATGATGGTTTATTCAAAATATCATTTCTATTTGTAATGTAGTAGATGACTAACGAAGCCATTCCGCATTCAAACAACTGAAAAATTTGATTCGCAAAATATTAGAGGAACAACGTTTTCTTGATACAGACAAATAGAAATATTAAAAAAATAATATTAGAATAGCAGACACATTTTTTCAGTACAATACTAGACTTTACGTTCTTTTTTAAAAATAATTGATTGGCACATTTTAAAATAAAGCAAGGAAAAAAAAATTTCTAATAAAGATTCAAGTTTCCCTACGATCATACACCACTACAGTTATATGAAAAGCAAATTCAGTGCTATTTTAGATGCTGTTATACCATAAAATTCATTGTTAGCAAATAGGATAAATGTTCGAAATTCGAGCAATCACCTGCGGTTTGTGCAACTGATCCCGATCGTTTTAAGTTAAATAATCTACATCCGAATCCGGTGCATTTTGAACTATCAATCACACAGACAGAAGTGATTTAGAAAAATAATTAAATGTTTTTCTTGATCGAAATTCGCTTCCACTCAATTTTCCAATTGAGTGTCTCGACTTTGTTTTTACGAGCTATTTGGAAGTATTTATCACATTGGCTCTTGTAAAAATGCACGTAATATCATTTCTAAGGCGTATATATTTTTATTTACGTTTAATTTTACATCTGTATACGTTGGAAAATAAACTCTCCTGGGAAAGAGAAAATACTAATACTTCAAAAGCAAACAACAAGAAGTATCATTTCAAAGAATTTTTATAACAATTCCTTATATCATAGCATTAAAGTGAAATTAAATAAATTAACGATGCTGTAAAATAAATTTACGAAATAAATAAATGTGAAGCTCGATTAAAAGTAAAATTTATCGTAGCATCATTGATTTATTGTGTCAGTTTCACAAAATAATAAATTGAACAAATGAGTTGACAATAAATTCGTTAATGCTTTTAATAATAAATGTTTGATGTTTTATAGAAATAATCCATTCTTCAAATTTACGTTATGTACTTTTGTAGTAATTTTTAAGAAATTTAGTAATGTGAATACTATATATGAGTAATAATTTAATGAAAGTATTCTCTATTTATTAATATTAAAATAAGCATAACGTAAGTTTGGAAAAATGCACATTAAAATCAAATTTTTCCTAACATTTATTTCTTTTTTCATCAATCAATCTGCTGCCAATTAGGATTTTACCTTGGATTTTTACTTTCGTCAATTTTGGACGGATCCGCGGTTATCCTTTAAAAAGCGACCAGGAGTTGAGATTTTAAAGGTTGGATCAGAATTTATCAAAAATATTTGGGTACCAGACACATTTTTCGTCAATGAAAAGCAGTCATACTTCCACGTTGCCACCACCAGCAATGAGTTCATTCGTATACATCACAGTGGTAGCATTACACGAAGCATACGGTAAGTCGCGAATGATTTTGTCTTCCGTTTCAAAATATAGTAAAAATCCTATTTGAAAAAAAAATTTTAAGATATTTTTCAAGGGAGAAAACAAATTATATATTAGATTATTATCATTACATCATTTTGATGAATGAAAGCCTTTTTTGATATTATTTATTAAAAAATTTTACGTTATTATTGTTGATCTAAAACGTACACATACTAGAATTAAATAGTGTAATTTATCAACAGACTAACAATCACAGCTTCGTGCCCCATGAATCTACAATACTTCCCAATGGATCGACAGTTATGTAACATAGAAATCGAGAGTTGTGAGTATTCATTTTTATAAAATTAAAATCACAACATTTGAAAGTTGAAGTAGCTTTTAATTTATCGAAGGGCGTTCCACTAGTTTTAAAGCGAATAAGTACTGGGATCTCAATTTGTCAATTTTTTGTATCCATTTTCAAATGTTCATGATTTATTATAACTGCAGCATGCTTGAGAGTTCGTTTAATTTACAGTATCTTATATTGAACAATTTCTGAATTTCCAGTCGGCTATACAATGAGGGATATTCGCTACAAATGGAACGAAGGGTTATCTAGCGTTGGCGTCAGTAACGACGTCAGTCTCCCTCAATTTAAAGTTCTTGGTCATAGACAACGAGCTATGGAAATTAGCCTTACTACTGGTAATATAACACTTTTATCCTAATGAGAATAAAATATAAATATGAGTAATTAATCGTCTAAACTGTAATCATTTGATAAATAATCAAGACCATGCATCAAAAAAAATCTATGATGAAATCTTTTTTTAAAACTTGATAGGATTTAAATTCGGTTTAACATATTCTTTTGTAGGTAATTATTCACGTTTGGCGTGTGAAATCCAGTTCGTTAGGTCGATGGGATACTATCTCATCCAAATTTACATACCGTCAGGACTGATCGTCATCATATCGTGGGTGAGCTTTTGGTTAAACCGAAATGCAACCCCCGCTCGGGTCGCCCTCGGAGTAACCACTGTGCTTACCATGACGACACTCATGTCCTCAACAAATGCGGCGCTACCAAAGATCTCCTACGTTAAATCTATTGACGTTTACCTTGGCACCTGTTTCGTGATGGTCTTCGCATCGTTGCTCGGTCAGTAACGACAATGACGTCAGCAATTCCAACTACCTTTTGCACAATTATGAAAAATTATGACCTATAAATTATAACTGTTATTTTACAGAATACGCAACGGTCGGATATATGGCGAAAAGAATTCAAATGAGAAAAAATCGTTTTGCTAAAATAGCAGAAAGTATGAAAGCAGCTCGGGAGACACCTGGTCCACCTGGACCACCGGGTGATCACGGTGATCTGATTCCGAAGCAGACCGTGAGTGAAATTATAACTCTAGTTTACTTAGTTTGCTCGGCTTTAGAGTTTCTGCCTCGCATTTTTAATACTTCAATATGAATTCATCTTCTATTGAAATTATTTATTACACAATTTATAGATAATGCTCATTTCAAGTAACATAATTAATGAGCATAAATGTGTATTACATGGAAGATTAATTGATTTTGAGGTACGATTAAATTCAAGGAAGCATTTTTTTTCTTGATCTGCAAAAACGCTCTGCTTTATGATGCTTGGCGTTACAGAGTAAATTCTTAAATCATCAAGTATTCTATCATTTTAACGTGGAAGTAACTAGAAATGTTTTTCTTGCAGAAATTGATAATAATTACTACACGAATCATCTTTATAATCCAAATTTCGCAATCCCTAATTTATTGAACAATAATAATTTTTTAATCGTATGAATAATTGAAAAATATATATATTTATAAATTGTTGTCAATACTAATTTCAGCATTATGCACAACCAAGTTTAAAATATTTGTTGAGTTCAAAAAAACTTTTTAAATATCGCGCTATTCGTTTCTATTACGTGTGGAATATTGTTTAGTAATATTTTCGCGAGAATTATTATATTTTTACTTTGCGCTTTTAAATTCAAAAAAAGTGTCAAAGGTACAAGAAATTCTATTCCACCTTCATTTTCACAACTTTCTTGTCATTCAGCGAAATCATCTGAATAGAAATATGCTTGGTAGATAGAAAACTCATAAAAAACGAAATAGTGAAATTGATAGAAGTAGTGCCACATATATTATAAAAAAATACAAGATCTAGCATTGCTGCATTGGCTGAAGTTTGGCACGTATTTCGACGCGCTTCAATTGCTCCGTTAGACACGCGCGTACTGCATTTCGCCCATGCTTACTCTGAATCACTGCAAAGACAAACGCTCTGTCTCTCTTGCTCCAACCGCTACAATGGCACGTGTTATAATTTGCATGAAATTTCTGGAAACTTACATACAATTTTTTTCTTGAATAGAACTTAAAACTTCGTGCTTAAAATATCGAAAAGATGTGGATAAATTTCTTTGAATTTTTACCCTGAATAACACGGTTAAATAACTGTTCAAATTCTCTTAAAAATATGGTAGAATGAAAAAATTTGGAAATTTTTATATTTTCTGAAAACAAATGCTTCTAAACAGTCTTCATTCAGTGGAAGTGCAGATTGTGGTTTTTCTATTTAGTTATGAAATTATTTTAAAAATCATTAAATTTCATAATTGAATTATAACTCCAAGAAGTGTTACTTCCATTTAATTAAAAGTCAAATTAAAAAATGTCAATGTCACTCTCTTTCTCTCTCTATCTTTATTCAATATATGTTGTGCACATCTTGTCAATAAAAGTAAGGGTAAACCGACGCATGTCGGTTAAACCCTACGCTAACTGCCGTGTCTCTTGTAAGTGGCCCCGTGTTGTCCAGGAGGTGCGTTTTACGGTCCGGGATCACAAGGCTCACAGCAAAGGTGGCACACTTGAAAATACAATTAATGGACGAGCCGACGAAGAAGCTCCTCCACCACCCCAACATCATATTCATCCTAGCAAAGACATCAGCAAGCTATATGGTGAGTTTGGCATATAAGGGAAACTGTTCATTTATTTTAAACATAAATATGGAATAATTTAAAAAAACAAAAATCATAATTGAGAGTAAAACATTGTATTTTCATGGTTACAATTGATAAAGCAGGAATATTAAGGACCAAACGTGTTTAGCAACGTTTTGAGCGATCCATTTCATAATATTACGTTTAATGGTTCACAATTTAAAGGTGATTATTTCAAACACTTGTATTTTTAGCTCAAGATGATGCCCATGCTGCTCTTCAATCATTGCCAAAGTTACCCAAGCACACAATATTAGGTAAAGTATTCATATCATATTTTTAGATATATTTTTATAGTTGAAAATTGATATTTTCTTATAACAAATGATCAAATTTACATCGTTCATTTTATCTCATTTCAATCGAGGAGCGCGACCGGCGCTCCCGCGTGTCCAAAAACTTTATAGAACATTTCGTTCACAAACGGTACACAAGTAATCGTTGAAAGCCGTAAAAGTAACTCAGAGTCTGACATTTAAAATCGACTTGGATTAATATAATAGAATCTGATCGTTATCTTTACTGAATAATGATTTTCTTTGATTGAATTTCAAAAAAAGGTTCATGCGTGTGTTAGTTTTATATTAAAATATAAGTTATTTAAAAACGTCCAAAAACAAATATGATGTAATTGAAAAGTGTCTTCATTACAGGTTGCTTATCCAGTAAAAAAACATATTCTCGCGAATATTTTTCTTATGCGTCTCATTCGTATAGACCTGCAGTTAATTATATTCACATTACCGTGTTCATCATGCCACAGTTTGCGCATCTACATGCACGGCTATTGTACGAGTTTGCGTAGCAGGGCTTCTGTGAATTCTACCTCCGTCATCGCTGTCTCGCAATCTCGAAGGACTTTTATTTGAAATTCTCTACTTGTCTTGTTTTGGCAAGTTATCTCTGCGATTATCGCTCTTCTCTCCTTTGCACGAGGGAAGGTATTGAAGCTTCCTGTTTTCTTTTGTACTCTGCCACTTTCAAGGTTCAATCTCCTACTATTTTCAGCCCTTTCTTGCTGTTTTCTAAAATGAAATTTTCTAACATTCTCAACGCTATCACTTCTTTTCGGTATGCGTCGTAGGCCTTCTAGTGGGCCAGAAGCAGTGAACTTTCTATTTTCCGCCAGTTCTCGTCCATTGTGAACTAAGCCGAATTTTGTGTTTGGCCCTTCGGTCTGATCTACTTTCAAGAGATCCGATCTTACTAAATGGATTTCTATGATTCTTTCAATTGTGATATTGGCCATTCACCTCTTCAAATTTTTATTGGTTTCACATTTTTCTGGTCAGATCAGCTTCGCTTGCTAAGGCCGAGTGCTCAATTGACTCAAGCATGTTGACGTTCCCTGAAGTTTTCACAGGCAGTAGCTGTTAATACTAACTGCTTGACGTTTTTTACCAAGACTTTCATCATTCCCACCACTTTTAGCATTGGAGACCAAAGACAAACCCCACCAAGTTTCCAGTCAAGTTTATTTTTCTGTTGTAAAATTTTTGTTTATGACCCTTGTACAAGTGCAACATTTTTTTAATTTATTAATAAATTTCTCTTTTCTTTCAAAATCAATGGCCCACTGAAAGGACCATGAAAATTATTGGTAGCTCCTGATCACTCGTTCATTCATAATCTACAAATTGTTTTTGAAAATGAAAATTTTGAATTATCAATAAAATTTATTTTAAGACTCAAATCGAAGTTCTTTAATAAAAATTTTTTTTACAGGAATAACGCCATCAGACATCGACAAGTATTCACGTATTGTATTTCCAGTCTGTTTCGTATGTTTTAATTTGATGTACTGGATAATTTATTTGCACATAAGTGACGTTGTTGCCGATGATCTTGTTCTCCTTGAAGAAGCCAAGTAAAGAAACAATGTCTATTAAATCTTCTTTGGATAAACATTCGCACTTGACTAAAATAAGAAAACTATTTTTGCGTGGAATAATTTGTGCAAGACTATAACTTCCTTAACAAAAACAAAATCTCGATGCCTCAGAGGTATATAAAAGCATGATTTACATTTGGAAGAACAGCGTTCGATTAAGAGTACATAACCTTTCAAGAAAAATTCTCTACTCTAGTTCCGAACACGAAACAAAATTATAAAATAGTGTTAAAAATAAAAGTTTCCTGTGCACGTATCAAAGACTGAATATATGCTACAGGTGCATATATGCTGAAACAGTATGTATAAAGAGCATACAAATGCATGAAGACTCAAATGTTATTCTAAATCATTAAGGTCGCCAAGGAAAGGAGATCACAGAAATTGTAGTATACATTAGTGTCTACAACAAGCGTGATCATGAAATCAAGCAAATAATCGATAACCAAAATGCGTTTATTAGATAAAATATAAAAAAATTAATTAAATTATTCACAAGCCACACATTCAAACATAATCCAGATAAAACCCATACCCATGAAATGGTAGTTATATAAAAAATGTTCAAAAACTTAGCAAATACGATGTAAAACGTCAATTTCGCTGAATTAAAAATAATTTATTTTTAGGGAGATACAACAATGACGGAAAGTTACTACTTATAATTTTCAACTTAAACGAAATATGAAAAAAATTCGCCTTTCGGTACGAAATAAAATAATCATATTAAAATTAAAAAAAAAAACAGCAACAGGTTGTAACTATTAAAAAACATTAAGTAGTAAAATTTTAAGTGCTTTCAAGCGTTTTTTTACTAACTTTTTAACAAAAAAAGAGTGGCGAAAGCATTTAACGAAGCACAATACATTTTAAATATTGATAAAAAAATGATTGTAATACCTGAATTCTTTAAAAAAAAAAATAATAATAATAACTCTTTTTTTTATCGCGTATCTAATATTAACAACATAAAAACTTATGAAAACCCAATAAATAGATATCATCTCAGGCCGTTTCCTAGGATATAATTTTTAAATTTTCAATTAGAACTTTTTTTTGACGAATTGCAATCATCGTTCTTTAAAAAAAAAGATTTATTAAGTTGTTATGTATAATAAACTAAAATTGAATGCACAAGTGAACCAAACAAACGCTTACCTATATTCACCTATCAAAAAAATGTTTAACATTGGTTTAAAAATATAGGTTTGGAAATTTTGATTCAAGTTCAAATTTGAGCTGATTAGGATAACTTGTAAAATAATCATATAAATTAATTAGTTCCAAGCAGGATGTGAGATTTTTAGGTACCTGATTTTATTAGTCCTATAACGATAATTATATTAAAATATTAAGCAATTCTATATAAAATCATTCGTTCTGCAATCAATCAAAGTATAACATTTTTAGCACAAATCTAAAACGTTGAAGTACAATGATAGTTTTTGATTCTATCTTCATAATTTCATGTTTTATATTTAATTCAACAAAGTTACTTTAATTTCGTAAAAGATTAATGATCTAGTATAATTGCTGTAATGTACTTAAAATATATGAAAATATCGTGAACCAAAATACAAATGAAATAATCATACTAATAAAAAAATATATTATTATGAATTCGTAATATATATTGTTATTATTGTAAATATTTTATTATTGCAATGACATGTTCACGTGGAGATATGTTCACACACTAATTACTGCAAATACCAAAGGGTTCGAATATATTACGCAGGTATAAAAGAATGATGTTTTTTTGATAAAACCAAATTAAGTTTTCAGGATTTAAACTTTTTAATTCCTATCCATTCATTAAAAAGTTTTTTTCACTCTATTTCAGATTTCATTATTTATAAAGTCATTAGGAAAATCCGAAATAATATAAATTTTGTTGGGAAATTTTTACAATCAATTTCGTAAAATTGTTTAATTAATCTAAGTTATCCACAGCTATTCTCAAGTCATAATCATAATAAATTTCTTCAAGAATGAATTTTCCATGAAATTAATTATTATTCGAATGCCCCGATTTTTACCACGAAAAAAACTAACGTTACTGAGCCTCAGATGGTTTGTCATGCTAAAACACATTTCTTCAAAAGCCTGTGTAATTATTTTCAAACATAGAAAATATGATTATTATAAACTTAAAAAGAACATCATAACTTTGATTATGAGTATGTTTTTTATTGACATATTTCATGTTTATGTGATACATTTTTTGCCATAAATAAGTTTGAGAGTCAATAAATATATATTAATTTTAGATGACAAAAGAATAAAAAAAATTAATTTATCTTACAATAAATTGCCACATGTTGCACACATTTATAAGTTCGATCAAGAGTTCAGTTAACAGAATATTAACTATCATCAATATCTAATCAATATGTAACAAATAATGTTGAATTTGATTTACAATATAAATATATGTTTTGTATTGTCAATTGACAAAAAAACCTAGGAATGAATATATATTATTATAAAATTGATAAAAACGTTAACAGCATTCAAATTATTGATACTATGTGAATTTTATAAATGAATGTGTACATTTTGTTATTAAATTCGTAAGGTACGTGAAACGTTATTCAAAATCTTTAGTCACAATAGAATTCATACATTATATGACTCAAAAATAAAAGATGCACTGTACAAGTTTGCTAAGCCATTGATAACTAAGCTTAGCACATAAATTAAATAAAAACTCAATGACACTTAGAAGATAGGATTTGAAAAATACATTATTTAAAAATAGAGAGTTATACAAAAAAAAACTTATAAACAAAGAAAGAAAATTGTGGATGAAAGATAGAAAAAATGAATCAATCATCTTGTACATACAAGTTTTATACAGAAATCATATATGTACTTAAATAAATAATATATGGTACATCAAATGGAATAAATGAGTATAATGAAAATAACCAGAAATTAATACAGTTAAAAAACTATGCGCATTGAAAGTCGATGCGTAAACTATTTTAAAATATTAAGGTCCGTAATAGTAGAAAAAGCGCTCCTCGGTTGCAAAATACTATGGATACTCCAAAAACTTATTTAAAATATACAATATTATTGTAAGAGTTTGATTAGCTGCCGAAACGAAATATTGTGATGCAATACGTTTTTAAACAATCGGTGCAAAAAATTATAAATTATGTCAGGTTGATATAATAAAAATAGTTTTTACAATGAAGTTATTCAATTAATTATTTTTAAAGTTGTATTAAGTTGTTACGAAAGTTGGTTATTGTGAATAAAAGGGATTGTTTGCTTTCATTGATTTATGAGAGACCTAATAAAAATAATTCAGAGTAAATTGGAATTTTCTCGTGGATTTTACAGCACATAATATTCACAATAAGTATGCTAAAATATAAACACACATCGATGTGACTAAGGATATATTATTTTACGTTATGAAAAATTTTTTACTATTACTAGGGATATAATTGAACAGTACGTAAAGGGAAAATTTAATAATAATCTATCGTGTATATTTCATACATAAACATAATTATCGCAGAAATTTAATTTTCTCGACACTTTACCACACTTTCATGGTACTTTTTGTAATGAATCTTTTCGATTGCGACACGTAGGAAATTTTTACTCAGAAAAAGTGCACGAAATCTTACATTAATATTATTATTTGTAAGAAATCGATTTATATTTTTTAAAGGTTATCAAAAAGTTCAATTCATTATAGTAATCAAAAAATTTGACGCCAATTCTGCTTAGAATTAGAGGTATTTGTAAACTCTAATAATCTTCTTAAAATAAATAACAACAAACTTGGATTATTGAAAAAAAGAAACTGAAAAAGACAGAAGTGATGCTTGCATTCCATAATCTTTAAAAGTTTCTGCATTGTTTATGTTGCGCACTTGCAGGCCTCAAGTGCTAAAAAAGTGTACATAAATTCGGTGACTATTTTTAGGAAAATCTTTTCGGTCTATTAATATATTAATAATAGTGACAACATATTCTAGTCTCATAATAACGATTAATTTTTACTCGTGAAAATTCATTTTTTTAGTACATATTTAAAATGCCATTTGAAGAAAAAATGTGTTCAATTAATCATCATTCAATTTAATTGATTAATTAATGACTATTATTAATTGATTATACGTCACCATAACAAGTATTGCACAAATCGACCCTAGACAGGCAATCTTAATTCACTTTCTTAATTTCGAAAGGTTTTCTCTCAGGCGTCAAATTTTATAGTACGATGGCCGATAAAATATTGTTTTTAGTGAAAAAAAAAATTGCTAAAAAATATCTTTCTCACTTGCAATAGGTAATTTATGGCAGACCTTCTAATGCAGCCATAAAACATCTAGAAAAATGAATCTGTAGATATATTTTACTCCCATTAACAATATTTTTCTGAATGATGTATATTAATCTTCATAGAGCAAAGCTCATGATTATTACTAGCAAAATTTCAATCAGTTTTGTAAGATTGAGACTGATATAATGGATAGATCCGAATAAACAATTTGAAACAAAAAAAATCAGATAACATGAACGATGCTCACCTAAGTCCCTGTTAGAGGAATTGCAAACCGTTTAGAAAGCAGGAACCGAATTTTGCCGATACATGACTGCGTGTAAGAAAGTATTGAGTTAAAGTCAAATAACTTTCTGAGCTAAAAAGTAAAACAACCGATGTGCGTCTTTTTCCAATTATTTACACGTAATATTTAATGACGATTTAGTGCACAAGATACGTGATTGTTCCACAAATTAATACAATAAAAACTTAGATTTGATATATGCAAGTTCATTTTGGACTACAACTTTAAATATGACTTTATAAACTTCGGGTATGCAATGACTTGAACAATTATAAATACTTCTTTGCAGTGGAAATTCATAACACATTAATGAGATTAATAAGATGGTCATTCATTAAACATTTAACTTCAAATGAAATTGAGGTAATCATACCATCATTAATCACCTAAAAAGTATTAATTTGTAGCAAAAGTTTTTAAATCAGATGACTCACATAAACTGTATTATTAGTATTACATCGATGAAAAGTCGTATAACAAATCCACCGATCAATTCCACATATATATAGGCAAAAATAATTTTTATAGTAAAACGTGTACTTCAAACGAATAAAAATAATTGAAATGGGTTTAATATGGCAAGTTATCATTTCATATTTTGAGCTGCTGCAAAATATTATTATTTTTTGCACTTACTAATCATTCACAATACTGTTTATAAGAAAAGTGAAAACAATGGTAAAAAAAGGAAAGGACTAACTGCCAATTATATAAATTATTATTAACCTGAATATTTTACCTGCTCTAATATTAAGGAGCAAACAATGAAAGATGACCTTCAATTGATTGATCACTATGATTGTTATTGTATAGCTGTTATGATAAATATTGATTTTATAAAAAAAAAGTTATAGTTACACGTTGAATTACTTGTTTCAGCATTAAACTCATTATCGATAAAATCGAATTCACTATTTTATCATTCAACACTAGTTTCGTTAATCAAAGATGACTTTCATAGAAAGAATCTTTTTATTTATATATTATTGCAAAGATTAATTTTTATGACAGTATTTAAAATTTTGTCATAGAAATTTTTTTTTATGCATATATTTAAGTAGTGCATCTACATAAAAATGAAAAAATCTTTTGCACTTTCTTTAATCAAAAAAATGAACACCTTAAATATTATCCAGTTAAAACTTAAATTTTGCTTCATAAATAACTTTTTCCCACAATTAATTGCACTATCTACAGTAATAATTTGTTATTTTTAAATTGTCAGGCAGCAGGAATGAAAAAAGAATAAAAGTAGAAAAATAGTTATCAAATTAAATCGTTCTAATTTAATTGATTACAAAGATATTCCTTTAAATTTGTGTAAATTTTAGTAGAAAAGCTGTTAAAAATCTCTAAGTATGAGCCAATACAACGAGTTTGAAAACCAAAATTATTAGTTCTATAATAAAAACTGAAGAATTATATTTTCAAAAGTAACCTTCCAAAATTTGTTTCAGCATTAATTAATAATGCTAGGTTTAAAATAGTTTATACGCTGTTAAAAGCAAAAATTCTCATCAATAAAATAATCACATTGAGCGATTATAAAATCGACAAATGAAGTTAAAAAATTTTGCATAATTACTCGCACGAAAATTTATATCTTAAATGTAAATAATACCTAACAACAAAATTTTATTAATAAATCATTTAAGCACTTGAAAATATCATTTCACCATAGCCCATAATACAATCAAGCTCATTACGCGTAAATATTAAATATATGTTTATGACGGGTAACTTAAATTAGTAAAACATTAAATGAGAACAAATTAAAATATGTTCAATAATATCAGTATTACCAGCGAAACACGTTAGATTAATTTAAGTAATTTAGGAAAAAGCTTGAAATCATTGAGGGGAGTTTTCACTTTCAGATAGAAGTATTTCTAACATTTTTACACGTAATGAAAAAAGTTTTAGTTTTTAAAATATTTTAACATCTTTTTAAACGGTTTTAATAGGGTATTAAAAAATTTTTACTTATGCAGGTAATTAACTTTAAAATTTATTGCATGAAAAAGTTATAATTCAAAATGTATATTTTCCAATTTCATAAAAGATTTAAAACTTCCATTTCTAATCTTGACCGAAAAATCAAAAAACTATTAAATATTTTTGTTTTAAACTTCGAGAAACATTTAAAAATATGTCACTATTGCTTCTCTGCAGAAGAAGCTCTGTGACAGGCTCTAAATCGAAATTTTGAATCAGGCTTCGTGGGACAATTTTGTTTACATATTTATAAACTGGATTGAATTCCTAACAAATGTGAATAAAAATGAAATGTACTCTTAGTATTTCAATTTTAATTAAAGATTCATAATTAATTTATCAATAATACAGGTTTAGTTTGTTTATATTAGTGGTAATACAAAAAAATAGCTTTTTTTATAAGGAAACTCTTTGCCAATGAATTGGCAGCGGTTTCTTAACTTTTTTCGTTGCATTAAAAAATGCTGAAATATAATTGTTTTCTGTCTGAATGTGAGAACTTCCTGTGGAAAAGATATGGTTTTATACAAATCGGAAATAAATAAAAAAATACCATTCTTTTAAATATAAAATATAAGTACAATTGCGATGCGTGCAATTTTTACTCTGATAATTCGTCAAAGCAATGTCATGGTTATTGCCAAAGTGCCGAAAGGAAGTCATTTGAAACTCATTTTTTTACTCTATTTATAGACAGTTTTTTTATTCATTTTTACAATCATTGAAACAAACAGATTCGTTTTTCTCAGGGCTTCCATTTACTATAAAGTTAATTTAATACGATATGTCATCGTCTACTGATGAGGCGACTGATAACAGATTTCCTTTCTTCATTTTGCAATCCTGTCAAGATTTGACAATTTTATTCTCAGAAAACAACTGAATATGTAATTCAGAAATTTAATTTTACATAAACACTGAGTAATTCGTTTTCGAATTAATATTGAATGATGATTATAATTTTTATGTAATAACTGTTCATTGAATAATATCTTTTAATTGATAATTGATTAATTGAATATATGTCAAAAGTTCCAACAAAGGAATAATTCATTAAATGTTCAGACTGTTACCCCTTGTGATCTTGTTTAATTGTTCAGAGTTAATTTAAAAGTTAGAAATATTAAATTGATAGTGATGGATTTCACTGTACGTGAAAAAAAATGAGCTGCGATTTTTTCTATTATGTCTATGAATAATTATTGATAAACAATCAAATTAACGTTTCTGTAAAAATACATTACTTATATTTGTAATTTACTTTTAAATAATGCTGATACTTATTTATATGAGTTAGCAAATATTTTGAAAGTTCCTTGTTCTTATTTACAAGCAAGAAATAAGCGAATTTTGCTATAAGAAAAAGATTTTATTTATAATTAAGAAAAGTGAAATGTATTGAAATTAACTAAAAATTCTTCAAAAATGAGTCATCATGATTTTTTAATAATTTTTGGTTAATTTTAAATCACCTATGTATTTTTTAACAAGAAAAATGTGTAATATCACGATAAAACTGATTTCATGTAGACTATAACTCAACTACTCTTAAGATAATCTGCACAGTTTTGAAAAAAAAAGCACTCAACCATAACGATGCCATGAAAATACATGTTTTACTATGTGTTGGCACGATCGAGAAATGTACACTGCTCATAACATAATAAACGAAAATTTGTTAAAAAATATTAAATTGTCCCGTTTATTTATGCTGCTTCCTACACGAGGAAGCTCTATGATGCTCTCGAAATTTTTGAACCAGGTGTCGTAGGAAAATGGGTTTACATATTTGTAAACTCGATTGGATTCCCAATTAATGTCTATACGTGTGTGGCTACAACTAACGTCCCTATCATGGCCCAGCGTCCGACAGCTACCAACTTGAGTAGACCATCTGCGTGGGACACTTTGATCACCAAGGAGTCGGGCAAGTTTGGTCATAGTTATAGGAGAAATTTATCCTCATCATTTGATCATCCTTTTTCCGCCCTCAGGAAGCATGATGGAAGAAAGTTGTTTTTCATGTCATAAGCCGACCAAGCTACTTCAAGACACGAAGTAACTTAAGTTTTTGTTGTGTCTTTAATAAGTTTGTTGAATATTTTTCGTGCAAGGAATTATGACTTTTTTCTATTTGTTTTTATTTTCATTAATTATAATTATTAAAAAGAAAAAATTAAATGAAAACTATTTTTGGAGAAAGCTCTTGGTTAATAATTTAGCAGCGGTTTTTTACTTATTAATGAAAAATTGCTTTATTTTTCGCTGAGGACCCGAAACCGTGCCGTGTCGTAAAGTTTTACTAATGGCACTTGTATCATAAAGTACTATTATCACTACTACTCAACGATTCTCAAAACCATCTATTTTTTTATTAACGCTATTATCCGCACGAACTTTTGATAATGATAGGATGAATAGTTTAAAAAAACAGAAACTTTCTGAATTTTGAATTTTAGTTTAAAAAAATTTAAGTTTAAATATATTTTTTTTTTAGCTTTTTTCCTTTTTTATTTACAATCTGTCGTTTTACATAAAAGGGACAATAAGTAAATAGAGTACAGCGAGTTTTCATAAGTAATCGGGAGTCAGAACGGTGGGCCAATACACACCGGTCTGTCTTTAGTTTAAATATATGATCATATACTTCATTTAAATTATTCACAATAGTAGTTGACAATAGTTATGTCCTTTTTCATATATTACTTAACAGTATAGATTCATACGTATCAGTTATTTTAAAATGTTGAGCATTATAAATATTAAGTATATATGCATCAAATTGAAAAATGAAATAATGAGCTTTGTGGATCCAATATTCGTTGTATAAGAAATAAAAAACGACGTTGGCAGCTCTTTAGAATAATTATGTAATATACAAGAATAACACACTTCTATATGTTTTAACATGCATCGGTTTGTCATGAAGATATAAAGTTTTATAAAAATAAACTACTCGCGTATAGCAAAATGGCACATATCAATTGATCCTGTAATGATTTATAAGTATTACGAATAAAATGCACTATTTATCGGAAACTTGACATAATTCGTACTAGCATTTATAAATTAAAACTTATATCAACTGGAATTAAAAAATTAAACTAACACATAAATTGACTCAACAATTCGTCGATTTTTATATTTTCAATCATTTCATCTTGCATAAGTGATTCTGCTAATTCGATATCTTCTAGATCAACGTCAACTTGTTCTATATAACTCAAATCGTTAAATATGAGTGTCAATTCATCTGCGTTTGTTGATGTATCGTTTCCTAAGTTAGAAATGGTCTTCAATCCATGTCTTTTCAAAAATCCCATTAACCAGTCACGTCCTGCCATATAATCTTTTTTCCAGTTGGTCGGTAAATTTAGTCCAAGAGCAGTGGCATATTCATAAGCTAATCTACGAATTTTCACAGATGATAATCGGGATTGTACTCTCAATGACTTTTTGACGTGCTGAGCTAAATTGGACTCTTGTACCATTGAAAACACCTGAAAAGTATATTGAAATTTGTTTACGCATTGAATATTATTTTTATTATACAGGTAAAACAATTTTACATTTGTCACAAACGTCATAAAGTAGTGGACAAGTAATCGGAAGAAAAATAAAAAATGTTCAAAGCCCTTTCAAATTCTTTTTAATTCATTGTTTTATTACGAAAAGGTTTTCTAGAGAACTGTGCTGTTTTGTTGCTATGTTTCCGCTAATACTATGAAACGTATATATAATATAAATAAAGTACATACCGCTCTCGGTCTGCAATATCCAATAGTGATTTCATTTTCTGGAATTTCTTTTTGAGATTTAATATTCATTTGAGCGCAATATCTACTCAAACTACTCAAGGGAATACCAAATTCCGCAGCAGCATGGCGCATAGTGCACCCTTCGAATTTTACTTGCTTCATGGCAAGCACTATAATATTCCGAGGCGTGGAGACCCGATTTGTTTTTCTTTTATACGATCTAACCATTTTATTATGCCACTTGCGCCCGCAAAAAAAATCGAAGTCGTTGTTTTCCGAAAACTTTTTTTAAAACTTTTTTTTTTCAATTTATACATCAAATGCGGGGATTTTAACGTTTTTTCCTCCCGCGAGTGTCCACGCTACTGCTCACAACTGAAACTCTTTTACTCATTATCACTAGAGCTCGAGCTTGTACTAAACATTTTTTGTATAAGAAGTACCTGCTTGGAGCTTATGCCGTGTACTAACGAAACATGTCATCCCTACCATGTATACGACAGTGCTGAGGTAACAACATCACCTACATCCTAGAAAATCAACAAGTCTATCTTTTTATTGTAAAAACGTGCCTCGCCATTAGCACAATGGTGTGTATATCTATTTATACCGGTATTACGAACGAAACGTTAATGAAAAAATGAAATACCGCCGCTGCAATAATCAGTACGTATCTTGCATCTGAATGGCATGACAAAACACTCACACGGTTGAATATTATTATGTACGCGACTTTTCCCACGAGCTATTTGCGTTCCACTTGTATGTTGCATATGCGGCTCACGCTTGCTTTCTAATTCTGCCTTCATTATTACGCAGAAATAAGTCACAAAGTAATAAATGAATAGGTTTTTTTTTGCCTTCTTGTCCAGAGTCAACAGGTGGCAGAAGGATTCATGAAATTTGTAATTTATTCATCTTTTCAAACTTGTCAATGCGCAAATGTCATAACAATAAATAAGTTGCTGATTTTGTTGACTGTTTCTAAGTTGAAAACACTAAAGCATTTGTCCTTTTGTTATCGGTCATTCTCAATTTCAGAAAAATGTTTAACAAATGTAAATGATATTACAAAAAAGATTATTTCCGTCCATACTTTATAATTTTGTACTATTACATGACCGTTTGAAAAAAAGTAAACTCTGAATCAACTAATAGGTTCAAGAATACGCGCTTGTTGGGTGTGTCAACAGAACATTGAACGACTTCAAATACTTCAAATCTCTATTTAATCACAAATAATTTTAAATTAGCAATTTCATTTATTTATTGATTTTGCGTTACAATTGAAATGTAATTAACTTTTCCGTGAAATTGAAACTTTTTGAGATGTTATATACATCGCGTATTTATTTGTGTCTGGCGCTTTTTTTGTATAATTCTTCGGGTGTACAATTTATTTCGTACTTTCAGAAAATGTATTTTTTCAATCGAATTTATTTACTAGTAATTTTTGTTGAGAACCACGATAACAGAATAAAAATATTAATATCCAAAACATAAAAGAAATTCAAGAATAATCTGTAACGATAAAGTTTTAAGCTCAATTGGTAACTATTAGGCTTTGATATCTGCTATTGGTAAAAATTTATGATTTTGTTTGATAAGCTGAACATTAGAGATTTTTAACGTGTACCATTTTTCGTATTAGCCTCATTTTACTCATTCTAAATTTCATGATTTTTATAAACTTACCGTTTGGTTAATAGACACAAAGACACAATTTATATAATCTTTTCTTTTTGTGTTTAAATGTGGCATACAATTAAGAAAGTGCTCATTTCTTACGATAGATGTCTCTTGCAGAGCAACAAAGCAGCATCGGTACTACCAAGGCTATGTGTAAAAATCCATAAATTTTAGTTTTACATTTGCTCATTTATTTTAAAATGTTACATTACCTATGAAAATTTTTATATTATCGATGAATGTTTTTTTCTTTACTCAAAATTTTGTTGCATTGAAATTTTCTGCAGATGTCTTTGGCTGTAAGCCTAAAAATGTTTGTACTAAAAAGTTTTTCAATTTCTATTGAAAATGCTTCAAAATCGTATATACTGAAACTAGGTCGAAACATGCTCGAAAATGAAGAAATCTGTAAAACTGAATATTGATCTATGATTGAGTACTTTCTATAATTTCCAAAATTGTAGGCTTCGTATCAGCAAGGTAATATTAGATCTAAATTGTAAAAGTTTTTCGTTCTCTAAAAAAATGACCTATATGTAAAATTTCAAACATATCTGACCAGAATGTTGCAAGTGAAATATAAAAGGTATGAAATATTTTCTTCATTGGGCGTGAGCCTATTGTATCAACTACGAACCGCTACAGTACTAAAGTGGAATTGTGTCTATGTTTTCTGGATACAATTCATATTTATCGTGCCGTTATAACGGGGTCAACTCTCAAAAATCATTCGAAACGAGAGCTCACTTGCTGGAAATTTAAAAGAGAGCAGATCGGAGCTGAAAAAATAACTCAATATTAAGTAGCTACTAAAATATACTAATATTGATAATTATGTACTCGAGTTCGTCACATTTAGTTCAAAATAACGCAGAAAATTTGAAAAAAAATGTTTTCTTCTCATTTCTGAGATGGCCTCCACCATAATAATTGAAACATTTATTTTATATTAATATAAAAAAATGTATAAAATTGTAGATCGTAAGAATTAATTGCGTTAGACGCAATAAATGCTTAAAAAAATTAAGAGTAAACATTCAAATTAAAAAAAAAAAGTCATCCATGTTCACATTGTTACTATTACATCTATTTGAATATTGATTCCTTCTGTTCTACGCATTACTCTTAGCCAAAATCATTTATAATGAAATAAATAAAAATCTATATTATTGCTAAGTTAAGCTTTCAACAGGTTTTTATATTGAAAAATAAAATCGATATTAATTTTTGATAATTTTGACAGGGTATGAATTAATGAAATGATAAAAAATATCTTTTTACACAAGTTTGCCAATTTAGAGCTCAAGAAGAGTGAAAGTTGCACAGTTATGACTATGAAATCACTTTCCACATAAGTTGCATACAGTTTCTTTTTACAATAGTCTGTAGAAAGTAAAATGTAAATTTCTCATGCATGGGAAAATTCTACATAGAGCAGTAGTATAATGTGAAATAAGTTATTGAGTAAAAATATATCATATACATTTAGTATGTGTACAGTTATGATTCTTCGCTTCCTCTCTTCATGCTGTATTTTGCTATAATTGAAGCAATTTTTCATAAAAGACCGAAAAATGATTTTTTACGAAAATAACGGGAATGATTCCAAAAATATATACTGTATGAGTATGAAGATAAAAACTACATGAAAAAGTATGTTCCTACGGTGTAAGTCACATGATTCAGCGTAATTAGTAAAAATATTTTTTATAGCTCAATCGAAATATCTATTTGGACAGAATAGACCATGAAACAGACACTTACCATTAAATAATAAGCATATAGACACGAGAGGTAATTTATTCGATTAGTATATTATCAGTTTCAATTATTAAACTCGAATCAGACTAATAATATGTCAAATTTTAGAAGTTATTTCGCGGAAGTAGATCAAATATCAACGACGATATAGTTACGTGATAATATAACGCCGAAGAAAACTAGGACAAACGTGTAAGCGTAGTTTTTCGTTAATTTTTTTCGATGATTTTTACGTATCTCAACGATACCTTTTGAAAGATGTATCGTGGCGAAAACATGAAAAAGGTATAAAGCACAGTCGGTGCACTGCAGTTGCGTGTACAATTTTTTTATTTTCATAAAATTTATTTGAAACATTTTCAAACGGATCTTTGTAATCATGCTATGTAGCGTTTAGTTTCGTACCCTCCCCGCCTGTTCTCTCTCTCTCTTTCTGCCACTTTTTTACGCACACAGTCGCATGATCGCGCAGGCATGTACACATTCATATTCGCGTACTCATGGTTGGTACACGCACACATCGAGGCAGGCTACGTGGATGTGCACGAGTGTGCGTGCGTATTCTCATCTATACACGTAAATAAATACCTACATACCCTGCGCAGAAAATAAAGTGGGACAAACTCGTAACGACGTCGACGACGACGACGACGACGTAGCGTCGGGCGTCGAACGGCAACGGCAACGACGACGAGGCTCGCGCGAGCAGTTCGGAGCAGCAGCAGCGGCAGTGCTGCGCACAAAGCTGGGAGAAGCGCAGGCGCTGTCGCGAGCTAACGCGCAGCGCAGCAGCAGCAGCAGCAGCAGAGCAGAGCAAAGCAGCAGCAGCTCTGCAGAGTAGAGTCTCTCAATGTGAGTCAAGGACGACACGTGTGCGCGCGCGCCTCGACCTACATAAACTATTACCGACTGCCTGGCTTGTGTGTACTGTACGTGTACACCGCGCCGCCACCGCCTCATGCTGCTGCTGCTGCTGCTGCGCTATGCCGAGCTGCGAGCGAGCCGAGCTCTCTGGGCTGGTGCTTCCTGCTACCGACCGTCCGACCGACCGACCGACGGACGGACGGACCGATATATATCTACACCTAGCATGAGCTCATGCTGGAAAACAAACGAAAGACTCGGAGCTAGAGGCCTCACTCCAACATTATCTGTCACATAACTCTATTCTCTCGCCAGCGCATACACAACACACGTTTATTAGTATACACGCAGAGAGAACCACTGTGTGTAATACCCATTCTCGGCGCAGCCACCATTTTCTATATAGCTATATATGCGATTTTACGATTCTAAGCAACATTGCTGTGCTCGAAGCTTCGAATGATTGTCGTGCGGCTGAAGGTCTCGTAATTCATAAAAATCCCAGCTCCGCTCGTTGCAGTTTTTTATTCAGCTTTTTTTCCTCCACATTTCTATTGCAATTGAAGCACTCGCGACCTTTAATGTGCGCGAGCTGCATTGATAGTGATTCTATGCGATGAGAGACCAGCTATGCAATTGTCTACTACGTTGAGATACGCAGAAAAATAATTATTTAACGTTGAATTTACGTTGACTCAAAGTTTTGCTGCATTTGAAAGAGACAAATTCAAAGGGAGTTCCAAGTAGTGAAATTAATTCACGATTTGATGTCAAATAGAGCGTGAAATTCGGAGCTAGTGAGCAGCAAAATTTGCGTTTTTCATCCGAGGCAAGTGTATTTATTTTTCACGGAGCAAGGCCATTGCGAAATATCATGGAAAAATGACAAAACTCTCTCGCTCGACGGATAGAAGATGAAGAAAAAAAAAAAGAATCAGAGTCTCGATTTCGTAAAGCAAAATTGTCTACGTAGCGCCGACTCTCCATGCGTATACGCGCGCCCGATGAAAGTGAGAAAACGTTACCTTCTTTAGCGAAATAAATAGTTCAAGCTGGTGAAAGTTAAGAACCGGCCTTTCATATACACATACATCCAATCGTATTTAAATTTTATACTGTTAATTCTCTCATTTCTTTGACGCGTCAACCAAGTAACAGTATTTTTTTTTAATAGAAATTTATTCTTCGTTGCGAAAGAAGAGAGATTTTTTTCTATCGCATCTTAGAAGGCTCTGTTGTTCAACGAAGAAGAAGAAGAAGCAAAAAAGAAAAAATCGCAAGTGAGGCCATTTTTTTGTCGTATAGTATCAGCGATTAGAATTCTGAAAATCTATACTGATATCTTTTACATTGTACATGCGCAATGAGGCACAGTTCGTCGGCAGTTGTAGAGAAGTGTCCTAGTAACGCGGGTAAGCGAAAAATCAATAAAAGAGAAGTAGGTCGCAATGTTGCAGATTTGGCGATTCCTACGTTTCGTTTCGTGAAATTTTACGCGCGACGCGCATCGCTGTGGAGTAAAAAAATTTTTTTTCACGCGCTCGACAGGCGAAAATTTCAAAGAGGCGCAAGAAAATGAAATTATTAGATGTCTAATGAATTAGCCTGAGACCCGTGCGTAATGCGTATGTGTCGTTAAACTAACATTCAAGGGACCCAGTCGCTGTTCGTTGGCACGAGAGATGGGAGAATCACTAGATAAGATACCTTTGTGCAAAGATATAAAAAAAAAGTATATCGCGACGCTTGTCGGGCTGCAGCACGCACTGCCTATGAATGCCGTGAATTCGTATTAACACGAAGCGTTTATCATTTCTCCTTTGCTGGTATACGTGACTTTTTTTTGACAAAATGAAAAAACCATCAAGGTGTATCTCCCAATTCATAATAAAATTTTTCCAATTGTGTGTATAGTACGCGCCACGTTGTCGATGTATGTATAATAATATATATATATATCGACGTTTGTACGTTTATGTATGTGTGTGTGTGTGTGTTTTATCCACACTCCCATTCTGTCCAATACGAGTGGTATATCCACGTTATATGTGCCGTAGGTGGGTATGGGTCTGTGCCTTGTGTGTAATAAGTAGCGCGTTTTAACACAAAGCACAGCCAGTAGGTGTTCAACCACCGGATCGTCTACATCGTGCTCCGAAGTCTCTCTCGCAGTTGTCGCACAGTTACTCTCACACGCTAGCACGCCCTGATATCGGCGGCGCAGCGCAATATATATATCGTGCAGCATACACACACTCACAGTCATCGTTGTCGTCGTCGTCATTCGTTGCCATCCAGCGCGCAGAGTCGTATAGTTGTGCCCCACATAGTGTCGCGCTGGAGAGTACAGTAATATCCCCTTCTCCGCGCCACCGAGCTGCTGCTGCTGCTTTTCTGTGGCTCTCTGCGCCGTGCAGCAGTGTGCAGTACTGTACCGTGTGGCGTTGCCTCTCCTTGGTGCGCGACATCGCCTGCGCAACAAAAAGCAGAGGGAGTAGGTAACTGCTGCCGCTCGGTCAAGAGGCTAAGCAGTAAGCATTAACGTCCTCGTTTTTCTCGAACCATCGTCGGAGTTGGTCGCGCGCAGGTCGTGCTTCACGGATCATCGTGTTCGTGCTCAGCTGCTGCTCTGCTCTGCTCTGCTGCTTACACTTCTACTGCTGCTGCTGTTCCTGTTACTGCTGCTGCTGCTGCTGCTACTACTGCTGCTACTACTTCTACTTCTTCTTTTTCGCCACGGAACGATTCAAGATAGTCGCGAGTGTGGTGACAACTCTGCAGAACTCGGATCTTGATCGTCAGGTTCGAATGGAAAATACTTTCATCTGTTACTTTGTCAAAATTCTATTGATTTTTTTTCGTATGTAGTCTTTGTTGTCCAGTGACGTACGGTTAAAAAAAATATCTCTGCGGCCATATTGAATCGGTCTCGCGCTCGCAACTAGGCCAGCCTTTCTTTCGCTCTTTATTCGCGCCGTACGCTCGTTTTCCGCGATCAATAATACGTTGTTTCGATATCTTATCAGCTGGAAATATTCAGCTTTGAACAACGCGCGTCGTGCGCCCTTTACTTTTCCATTGAATTATTTTCGCTGCTCCGAATTTACTGTGTACACCGAGTCGCGCGGGGCTATATCGATTAAACATTTCGCCACTTCCACATTAATTTCTCGGCTTGTACGCGAAACGCAGAAAAAATGTTTGCCAAACCGAGTGGCAAGCTCTAGGCACCGGAAGTGTGTCTCCTTCTCTTTTCGGGCCGCTTTCCAGATGGAAAGAGAAAGG